AAAAAAAAAAACATTTCAGAACAGTGCTGTCTTGTTTACATTTTGGCATTTTCAAGTTGTGACTTTGAAGTTCCATGGGCCTGAAGACCTTTGCTAGTCACATTTTCTGAATATCCATGATACTAATATTTTATTATTAGAAATTGATGGTCATTATGCTGTTAAACATTATGTAATATTGCATCAAAATTTGAAAAAAATCTATTTTGGGCACTGCTCCCATGATGAGCATTTAAGAAAAACCATGTCACTTACTGTTCTCAAACAGTACAGTAAATATGTACAGATGTGTCTGTACATATTGCCATCACCTGCGTCTGTCGTCGCCGTCGTCACTGTCGCTGGTGCCGTGCACTTTCATTGTAAACACGATAAGTGGAAGGCAATTTTACTTTTTGACTGTATATTTACAGAGCTGATGAATATTCATAAAATGCAGATCAAGTTCGAAAATCAGCATGATCGGGCCACTATTTTAGTAGTTATGCTGTTTTTTCATTTTTCAGCATATATGCAACACTGTAAACACAATATAAGAAAAACAGGCCAATTGTCATTAAACTCACAGGAGTGGTCATTCCTGCTAAAACGCAGGTTGAGTTAAAAAAAACAGCATAATCGGGCCATTATTTTAAAAAAATGCCGTTTTTTCACATTTCCTCAGATTCAATTCTTAGGCATGTTAACAGTTTCATTATTTAATTAATAAGATACGTAAAAGTGTTTGTTTGGCATTTCCTGCATCTTTACAACATTATTAGTTGATTATGTAAAAATGATGGTAAACTTGTTATCATGTATTGTGTAATAAAGTTTCAAAAATGGAAATAAACTCATATCATTGCAGTTTGTCAGATTCAATCATTCACTATGTTCAGAATCTCAGAATGGAAGAAATTGGACATTTAACACTGCTCTATTGATATTTTCCCCATCTCATCAATTTTCTTAGTTGATCATATAAAAACGGCAGTAAACTGTTAATTTTGTGTTATGTTAAAAATTATAAAAAATAAAAAAAAACATTTCAGAACAGTGCTGTCTTGTTGTTCTTTTTATACTGATATTGCCCAGCAACAGGTAATATATTTTCCAAATGTGAGCCTTAAAGTTACCTGTATGCTGAAATGGCCTGATAAAGCCACATCGGCATCCCACATACATTGTACCCATTCATTTCCCCCTGGGATACAAAATGAAACCCAGACATTATGTTCATTACATTTATCTTAATTACATCTTTATTGCTTGATAAGGTAGAGTGACAGAGGTCCCCAAAAGAGACATTTATCTTAAATGTGCAGACACTACACCTGACAGTTGGGGGACCTGTAATATTTTATCTGGATGAATGGGTTTCTCTCTCATTTATGCTATGATACCTTGAAGGAAGGGGGGGGGGAGGGCTAAGGCCTTCAGTGCCCTGTCTAGAGTCGATGAGAGAAAAATAAACTTATTCACATTAAAATCAGTTAACTTAAACTTCCTTATCTTTCAGACCAGTGAAATCAGTGTAACAGAGAAGACCTTGCCCCCATTGAGGAACCCTGAGATTCTGATAGGGGAGAATGACCTGACCTCCCTCAGCTATCTTCATGAACCAGCTGGTAAGAGGCATCAGGGTGCACTGCTTGATGGAAGGGGAGGGGGGCATCATTCTTATTTCAATCAAATGTATAATGCAATATATTCTAATTCCTGCATTTTGAAAGTTTCAAGTTTGAGACCCTTAATTATGTCCATAAAGCAGGAAGCTATCACATGTTTATCTGTTCTGGGTACATGAATTTTAAAAGGTGTATACAAAATCCCCACTCATTTGCCCACTCTGAGAATTCACAGAGTGCATGTCTGATGTCATTTGGGATTAGTTAGCTCGGATTTGAGCCATTTGCTGTGTGTTGATATGGCCAGTGCTCTCTGAGGTAATGTTAACACTCCCACTTTTGCCTCACACTAACCTGTATGCATTGCGTTTGGAAAACATTTTTTTAAAAAACACCAGTAAGCAGTGCTCATTGATTCCAGTCGGGCTAAGACTTCTCTCCAATTCCTTCCCAGTAAATTCTCAGAGGTGGAGATAAATGAACTGGTGGTTACATTGGACGATTCCCTGTCTGGTCCATTATGTCTAATGTTCTGGTTGTAATTGGATTAGGTGTTTGGAAATGGTAAAGTGATGTTGTATTGACTTGGAAATGTTATAATGGAGGCTGAGAGCTGGAATAATAAGCAGAAGAATTGATTTGGTTTTGAATAACCTGACACAAATGAAATTGTCTGTGAAATTAAACTTGGTACTATTTCCATTTACCTCAAATCGAAGAAACAATTTTTTTCTACTTTTTGAGTTAATGCAATGAGGGGGTTGCTCATAAATGTCACATATCCAATGTTCAATATGTCAAGTGGATTGCTGATTCTTTTCTGGGTTTTTCTTTTCAGTTTTATACAATTTGCAAGTCCGGTTTTGTGATAGGAATGACATATATACCTACTGTGGTAAGACTTTTTTTTAGATAATTAATTTTATATTGTTTTCTATATTTCAAACTGTGGCATCAGGGCTATTTTGTTGACTATAGATTGAAACCATATGTTTTTGAGGCAAGGAAGCACTTTGTCACAGTTCCTGTGGCTGTTATGTATTGTTTCTAGTTATGTCCTGTCAACAAGTATTAGCAATGAAAATTTGATAAAGGTGAATGGCTCTGCACTTTGCTTTGAAAATTAAAGAAATAAATAAAAAAGAATTTACTGTGACTATGATGATAAATTTTTAACTTCCCTTTTTGTCTCCAGGTATTGTCTTAGTTGCCATCAATCCCTATGAGGAGTTGGACATCTATGGCAATGACATTATCCAAGCATATCATGGCCAGGACATGGGTGCCATGGACCCCCACATATATGCTGTGGCAGAGGAAGCTTTTAAAAGAATGGTCCAGTAAGTGTTAGTGTGTGTGTGTGTGTGTGTGTGTGTGTGTGTGTGTGTGTGTGTGTGTGTGCATGCCCATGTGAGAGAGAGAGAGAGAGAGAGACTTATACTAATTCATTATCATTATGGTGTTTTAATCAGAACCAGTGAGTTATTGTAATGTTATCATATTAATGATATTATACCTGTGATATGTATCTAACTTGCTTGATACCCTTGTAGATTTGACCAGAACCAGTCAGTTATTGTCAGCGGAGAGTCAGGAGCTGGGAAGACAGTGTCTGCCAAGTATGCCATGCGTTATTTTGCTGCTGTGGGTGGCTCTCATACTGATGAGACACAAGTTGAAAAGAAAGTACTGGCTTCTAACCCTATTATGGAGGTATGGGTGCACAAGTCCTTGAAGAATGCCTTAGTTATTTCTTTTGAAAGCTTAATGTAAATGATTACAATACTACAGATATGAAAAAGTAATATTCTGTGTAAGTAGCAGTTAAACTTTACCATTTTACCATGAAGAAACTTTTGACTCATTTTTGACTTTTGGTGGATTTCTTCTTTTTTAAACATCTTTGATCTTACAAACACTACTTGTATTGCATGATGTATAAAAATATGAAAATTCACTTATTTCAGGCCATTGGTAATGCCAAAACAACCAGAAATGACAACAGTAGTAGATTTGGAAAATATCTTGAAATAGGCTTCAAAAAGAACCATCACATCACGTCAGCTCATATGAGAACTTATCTTTTAGAGAAATCCAGGTAAGTTGTCTGAAAAAGGTTATGGGGTCATACATGTGTATGAATTTGGAGAGGGGAACAAAAGGAAAATAGGTCGATATTTTAAATGCTTTTAAGTAAAATTTAGAGAAACTGTTCAACTTTCCCTCTAAGTTAATTTTGTTTGATGAGTACATTTAGTATTGTATACATACTCCAGTGTATGTGTTTATTAAATGTCATTTAACATGTGACTACTTTCAGAGTGGTGTTTCAAGCTCCTGAAGAAAGAAATTATCATATATTTTACCAGCTGTGTGCCTCATCAGAGCTCCCAGAATTTGAAAAGTTTCAGTTAGGTGAGTTCTCATAAGCAGTGAATGAAAGCCATAGATTAAACAACATCTGATATAAACTCTGGCTTTTGTTTATTTTTTATGTTCATACTAGCCCTTTTCCCAAAAGTAGCATAAAAATGTTCAGGATTCAACAGCTTATTTGTTTGTGAGTCACTCTTAAAAAAATATTTAGATGTTTGGAAACAATGTGAAAACAATGGTAATTTGGATGGTCACTCAGTGCAAGAGTTTCTTAACTGTGTAAGAGGGCGTTTAAGTCAATAGTCAGTCAATGAACCTCAGGATATGTGGGGGTTCTCAGTGTTTGGGATGAGTCAAGTGGAGATACAAACTGGTTATTGACATACCACAAAAACATTGGGATTTTGGATCCATAAATTGGAAAAAACATTGATTACAAAGCTGTTAAGCACCTCACCTCGGGGTGTTTTACTTAAAGATTTTTAACACAGGCACTTCCTAGAACATTGCCAAATACTTTTTATGTTATTTATAGTTACTTTGGTCTATAGATATTAACCACAAAGCCTGACAGTTGAACCTGTCCAACTGCATTAAGAGTGTTAGTGGCGGAGGTGGTATATTTATTGAAAACTGATAAAACTACTTGAGCATTCTTTTTCACTTTGAGTGCATATATTTAGCACTGTATTGATCAGCTGATTGAGTCAAGTGCAGCTGCAGTTATGCTATTGCCCAACATGCATGCACTTAGTGTATGAATTATGTGTATTTGACTTTTTTATTAATAAGTTTATACGATTATTGCTGTGTTAAGTAAAGAGAAAGTGTAGGCGATTCCTTAAATTCAGCAGTGATTATTGCATAGTAGTATATTGTAAATCTATACATTAATAAATATATATATGTTGAAGCTGCTATGGTTATTATACCAGTGTTTAAAAATTACTTCCATTTTCTAATCATTTTTTCTTTCCATTCATCTATCAAACATCCAGTCATCCATCTTCAGTAGTTCACCCCTCTTCAGTTTAGTTTGAAGTATATAAAGTTATTGCATTTTTTCTCTCTCAGATCACCAGGATAATTTTTACTACACATTCCAAGGCTGCAATCCAACTGTAGATGGGATTGATGATGCTGAGGAGATGTTGAACACAAGAGAAGCTATGACATTGCTAGGTATACTTATCAGTTTTGAGACTACTTCCCATAAAGAAAAATGTATTCAATTTTTCCTGCTCATGTGTATTTTAAAGTGCACTGAATGAGTAAAATGGTACTCTGAATAAGTTTATTTTGATTGTCTTTTTGAGATAAATTCAGTAATGTTTTAATATCGCAGGCATATCAGAGAAGCAGCAGATGATGATATTCCAAATTCTGTCTGCCATTTTGCACTTTGGTAATGTAAATATCACAGAAGATGAGGATGGAGAAAATGCCATTATAAAGGTACTGGGTCCTTCCTTTTTATGTAAACAGGTATTTCACCAAGAAAATCATAAATCTATATTTTGTCTTTCCTGTATTCTGATTCATTAGGGTAAATGAAAGTTAAAAATATCAAATGAGCATCTGATTCAGCAAAGCTTGTGTATCTAATAGTATTTTATTCTTTATTTTAGAAGGGAGACAAGAGTCTGCAGACAATGTGTGACCTGCTGGGGATAGATGAGGAGCAGACCAGGAAGTGGTTGTGTAATAGGAAGATTACCACTGTGGGAGAGACACTCATCACGCCACTGGATACTAAAAAAGTGAGGTCATGAGACATGAGTATAAGTGATTCTCATTGTCCCGGAATGTATTTCCTTAGTTCATCCGGGTCTTTTTTTTTCTTTTCTATTTACTGTTCTAGCTATATTTCTCATTTTTGACCAAATTGGTGATAAATTTGCGAAAATACTCTGGAATGTTTTTACTCTCCATAGCCATGATAACAAGCTTAAGGTTCATCATTTGGTGAACATTTTATAAAATTTAAAATGGGTGAGTGTGAGAAAAAATAATACTTGTAAATTGTTTTATTTCGTTTTCAGGCTTGTTTTTCTCGTGATGCTCTTGCAAAGCATATCTATGCTAAGCTGTTTGACTGGATAGTGAAGATGTTGAACATAACCTTGTCCATCAGTACAGGGAAACAGACTAACTTCATAGGGGTACTGGATATCTATGGGTAAGAGATGCTAGATATATATGGGTAAGAGATACTTAATATGGGTAACATATATTTTATATATGGTAAGAAAAGTATGTAAAATCACTTACAACTTTTTGTTTGAATGAAATTGAGTTGTGGTGCTTTGTAAAAATTTAATATGTTTTTTAGAAAATTTTCTTATTTCCTTAAATGCAAGTCTTAATTTTCCAATCATTTTTGCTTCAGGTTTGAAACATTTGAAATAAACAGCTTTGAACAATTCTGCATCAATTATGCAAATGAAAAACTGCAACAGCAGTTCACATTGGTAAGTCTTAGAGTAACGGTTATTAATTAACTATTTGTTTGCTAAACTATTTGTTTATGATTGTAAATGAGTTTGAATACATTGTTCTTTTAAGATTAGATTGATGAAGGAAAAATTGAAAGGAATTACCATCATAGCGCACATTGTATGTTGTAACTAGAATGATTGAAAAATCCTTGACAATTGATTGCCTGAATATATCCTAGAATTGAAAAATGACACCTTGTATTTGTTTTCTTTTCCAGCATGTGTTTAAACTGGAGCAGGAAGAGTATGTGAAGGAGGAAATAGAGTGGTCTTTCATTGATTTTTATGACAATCAGCCCTGTATCGATCTCATAGAAAGCAAGCTAGGGATATTGGATCTCCTTGATGAAGAGTGCAAGGTGATTTTTAAATTGGTGTTTTATATTGTTATACCTCTTAAAAGCAATCTAGAGAGACTGGACCTCCTTGTGTTACAGAAGATGGACTCATTACTTTGACCTATGGGTAAAGATAAAGAAAGATAAGTTCTGAGCTACTCCTGCATTGGGGTTGAATCTTCTTTTGACCCTGTGTTTCAAGGGTCAAAAGAGGATTGTTTGTGTAAATGCCAAATGCTAAAACTACTTGGCATTCAGGAAATGCTTTCATTGATTGGTTCAGAGGCAATCTGTGTGGGCTAAGTGAAGTGGAAATAAAGTCAGTGGAAGTGTAAATGGATTGAGAGCACAAGAGATCCCACATAAGTGAAGAATGCTGGAAAAAATAATAATTGAAAGACTTGAAGTGTGGTTGAATAAAGATAGGGAAAATTGTACATCACTTTGATTCAATGTGTTCTCTTCCTGCCTGATTTGTAAATAGTTTTAATAAAATATTTCTTCCATTTTTTAGATGCCTAAGGGTTCTGATGAAAGCTGGTGTAGGAAACTCTATCAGCGCCATCTGAAAGCAAAGCACTTTGAGAAGCCGCGTATGTCTGAGACTGCGTTTGTAATCATCCATTTTGCAGACAGCGTGGAGTACCAGTCTGGGGGCTTCCTGGAGAAAAACAGGGACACAGTTCTGGATGAACAGCTGAATATACTCAAAGCCAGTGAGGTAACTGATATACAACTTGGAAAAAATTGCTATCTGAAACTTATTTATTTCGGACCCTTGCATGCGATTAAGTTGATATGCCCTTTCAATAAATATTATTTATAAATCTTTTTCAGTTGATATTTGACAACTTCAGGTGTGTCTGAGATCTTTTGACTTCGTTTTGACTTTAATATGGTCCTAGTAATAAGTAGTATACTTAAATTTCTGGAGTGCTGTTGGAAAAAAAAAATTGACGACCTCTCTTTTATTTGGCAAATTGACTGCTGATTACCATATACTACCAACTGTGTCCATTTTTAGCATGAGTTAGTGGCCGATTTGTTCCAAGAAGAAGAGCAACGGAAACCACGTAGTGGGTCAACGTCTGCAGCCAAGGTGAACATCCGAGCTGGTACTCAGCAACCCAAGGGTTCCAAGTCCCACAAGAAGACGGTTGGTTCTCAGTTCAGGGACTCCCTGAATAAGCTAATGGACACCCTGTTTTCTACCAATCCGCACTATATCAGGTGTATTAAACCCAATGATATGAAACAGGCTTTTACGTAAGTCATGAATACTACAGTTAAAACCACGTAGATATGGTAAAGGCAGTACGTATTATTGCTTTAGTTTAACCTTGTGTGCAGTACTCGATGAAGCTTGAGCTTGATTGAAAATTAGACATTGCCTATCACTTGAAAGTGTTTCTTATGTCTTGTGTTATGTGAGATACACCTTTTAAGCACTAAAATGGTATGAAATAGCATATAAGAATGTATTTCTGTAAAATTAGATATACATCTTACACACCAATACATTTTGTATCCTTTATTCTGGACATGCTTACTTGCAGATTTGAGCCCCAGCGAGCAGTTCAACAGTTACGAGCATGTGGAGTTTTAGAAACAATTCGTATCAGTTCAGCAGGATATCCATCCAGGTAATGATGCCTTAATCTTCATTGTGCATTGATGCCTCAGCCATTGCTTTATTATACACAATGTAGACTTCACATCACTGCCAAAATTTTTTACGCTTTTAGTTCACTTCAAAATAATTTTGAGGTTAATGCAGCTGTAACAAATGAAATTGCCAGTCCCAATTTAAAAAAAATCATATTTGTTCAGAGTAGAAAGAAAGGGAAAGCTCTTCAGACAGGTGTCCCCACAACTTTTCTGTTTTATAGTGACATGTGTCAGTGACCTGTCATTGTACAGCTTGTTTTTTTTGCACTGATGTCGTGTTTTAATTTGAACAGATGTGTCACTTTGTAGTCAATTTAACTGCTGATTAATATGGATAGTGTTGGTCATTGGGTTAATTATTTCCATTTTGCAGTATTTCTACTTTAACCCAGTATGACATTTGTTTAGAAGATTACTTCATCTCACACAATGTCTCTTGTTCTGTCCTACAGGTGGAGCTATCCAGAGTTCTATGAACGCTACAGGGTGCTGTCTGTTAAGAAAGATATAGTGAAAAAAGACAAGAAGCAAACATGCAGAAATATTTTATCAAAGCTTATACAGGTAAATGCATGGAGTGAAATTAAATGAAATATTTTATTTTTCAAAAAGAATTTTGCCCCAGTGGTCATAGTCAAGTAGTATTCAAAGAGTAACAAAAACGAGGTATATTTATATCTGAAAATTTTTCATTATTTTTTCCAATAGGATCCAGACAAATTCCAGTTTGGTAAAAGCAAGATTTTCTTCCGGGCTGGCCAGGTGGCTTACCTAGAGAAGCTGAGATCAGACAAGCTGTATGCATGTGGCATTATGATACAGAAACACATCCGTGGTTGGTTGTGGCGCAGGAAGTACCAGAAGATCAAGAGAAGTGTTCTGCTGGTACAGACATATGGTAGAGGAATGCTGGCTAGGAGGTAAATACTGGTCTTTTAGGTTGGGCATTTTGCATTAAATTGCCAACACAAGAGGTATGAATGTGAATGGTATGATTTATTAGCATCATGCGATTGCTTGGAGAATATGTAACATGGTATTGCTTGAACAGCGGATAATCCAAGATATTGAGAAAGGGGGGTTAAAACAAACAAACAAACAAACAAACATACAGCATTTTTGTTCCAATGTTCTCACCTAAGCCGACCTTTATATAGAAGTATTTGCAGCTGTTTATAAAATATTTTTACCATTGTAGACATGCACTCCATCTACGCCGCACTGCAGCTGCCACTAGGATGCAGAAAGTGTGGCGTGGGTACAAGGTCAGGAAGGCATATCTACGCACAAGACAGGCTGTTATTACTATACAGGTGGGTGGTAGTCACGTAATTCTGAGATCATTTACTTCTTGTTAACCCAGGATTATAGTAGCACAACCTGCTAAGGAAAGTAAAGAAATCAATTAATACCTTGGTTTATGCTCTTGGTGTAGCATCAGTTTGTGTAAATCCAACAAAGAATGACAAAAGTTTTTTTTAGTATGGTAATATGCTCTGCTACAACCCATCAAATGTATGGCTTAAACTTACTGTTTTCTGGTAAAGACATTATGCAAACTCTGCATTTTGTGCTTGGTTTCAGAAATACGCGCGAGGTATGGCTGGCAGGCAAGAGTTCAGAGCTGTGCTGCGTGACCACAAGGCCGTTATCATACAAAGTCACATCCGCGGCTGGTTGGCCAAGAGGCGGTACAGGAAGGTCATGCGTGGCATTGTTCTCATACAGAGTCACTACAGGAGAAGAAAGGCCAGGGCGATGTTGAAGATTCTCAAGGTAGAATTAAAGACATTTGATATGCAATTAAGTGTATATAAATAAAAATGCACAATGGTACAAAAAGGAAATATCATAGTACATTTTATGATATAATTTAGAGCCATTGTTTTTTACTAAAACATTTTCTTTTGCAAAAGAACTTGATTATTTTGTTACATTTAGTTTTTTTCTGTGACTTTGTAACCTTTTTGTCTCCAGGTTGAAGCCCGTTCTGTCCAGCACATCAAGAAAGTCAACCTGGGACTTGAGAATAAGATTATTGAAATGCAACATAAACTGGACGAAAAGGTAAGAACACAGAATCACTGGTTGTAGTCAATAATTGAAAAAAGAAGAAAAAGAAGTAGACAAAATATGTGATATTTTACATCTTAAGTAGCCTTTGTTTTATCTTCTCCCTTCATAAATGTGAAGATAGAAGTATATATTAATATCTATAAGAGCACTTTGTACTCTATCGTAAATAATAATTTACTACTTAACACACGTTATTTAATTTTTGTATAGAACAAAGAGATAGGTCTGTTGCGAGAGGACCAGGTTCTGCTTCGTGACATGCAGAACCAAATGGCACAACTGAAGAACATGGAGTCCAACTCCAAGACCTACCTGAGCAGGATTGCTGAGCTGGAGCAGACAGTGGCCATGTTGGAGGCCCAGTTAGAACAGGAGAAGGGGGAGAAACAGGACCTCATAACTGAGAAACAACTTAAGGCCAAAGAACACGAAGAGGTGGGTGGAGTTAGCAGATATGTTGTAAGATGTGCAAATCAAGAGAGTATTAATGATTGGAGGAGGGGGGGGGGGGGGGCATTAGATACATATATTAATTTTTATAATGAAAACCAGCCATGTATCTCACGGTCTCATAGAAAGCAAACTAGGGATGTTGTATCCCTAGATGAAAAGTGCAAGAAGATTTATAATTTGGTGTTTTATATTGTTATTTCTCATTAAATCTCAGATAGATTAGTATAAATTGAAATAAGAGATATTATTTTTGTGTATGGCGTAAGACATCACCCTATCACTAGGTCATTATCATGGATCATAATTGTGGAAGTCATTTTATATTTTCTATGAAGTAGATTTTGCAGCTGTTATGAAATTGATCAAGTGGAAACTTAAGATCACATATGCTCTGCTCATGAACAGAAGACCTTTATGTATGAAACAAATCTGAAACCCCTGAGAAAGTAATGATTATAAACCCACTCTGTGTGCTGTAATTTTTACCATCAGAGGTAGAGTCCAGTCTCTAGCTCCATTATAAGAGTGGTAAAAAAAAACTAGAAACTTAAAACTCAAAAATAGGTCTATGAATCAGATTCTTTGAACAGCTATACTTGCGTGATTAAGGGGGAAACTTCCAAAAAAAGTCTGGAAATTTCCAGGAAAAATGCTTTTTTGCTATATCAAGGTATGATGTTCATCATGTGCCTTTAGAATAACCTGTAATGTGACTCTAAACTATCAGGTGGATAGAACATACATGTACAGTGAACTTACTCTAGTGAGGCATCCCATACAGTGAACTATAGTTTGGACTGGTGTGACCATAAACCTTTCAATTAGTGTGTTTACAGGGTGAATCATACATAGGTCAAAAGTTTTATTTATTTCACCAAATGCTATGCAACATTAGACTCATCTTCTGGTGTAGACACAGCCTAGGTACACCATGACAAAGTATGGGGTACAATGGTGATTGTTAACCCATAAAACTTGATGGTAATTTTATGAAGATTGCATTATGGCCATCATATATCTGGTTTACTATTAAGAAAAATTGTTGTATAATGACTGTTCTCTTTGGTGATATGTACCTGAAGGCACTTTGAGGTAGTTATATTATTTCTGAATATTTCTTTGTGATTTAGACAAGACAGTGAGGGGAAATTAGACATTTTTAAGTACTTGTATCACATTTAACTCTCAGTGTTGTTATATGAATCTTCAGCTAGCATTTGCTTTAATGTGAAATATTAAATAATTTTTGTAATAGTGCGAGTTTGGATGTTGAAATGCAGCGACAGCAACATAAATGTAGGCTGATACAGGTTTGTGGACAGTTCTAATTTTTCAGACCTGTAGATTTCATTATGAGCAGTTTGATATGGCAAAACCCCCTCACATTTTACATTGAAGAAAGTTAAAGAATTTTTCAACATTGTCATGATAATTTTGATGGCATTTAGATTGTAGAAAAGGGTTCATTTTATGTTAATTTATGTTCCACTATGAATTATATCCAAGACTAAGATCTGTGTTGGTAACCAAGATCCATGGCATGGATTCTTCTACATTATAAGAGGTGAAGAACCCCCTTGCATGACCTATGTGTTATGTATATAAAAGGATCTTTGTACAAGAATTTTATTAGCCTGGTAGTGTAATTTTGCTGTGCCCTGGTTGTCTCTTTACCCAAGTGAGGTGAACTAGAACTTGACGAGATATGCATCTTATAGCAAATTGTATTTGTGTTGTTGTCTTCAACTAAAGGGATATAGCGGAAATAGTGTCTAATTTTTCTGTTAACCTCAGTGTAGTCAGTATATCTGGGTTAGTGTATGATGGCGGTGTCATCTACTTTCTTCAGGTGGTGGGACGTCTGCTAGAGGAAAATCTGAAACTGAAAGAGGAGGTCAACCAGTTGAATCTGAAGAACAAGCAACAAGAACAAGTTGCTGATGGTAAGTTTTTTTTTTTTTGTAATTTGCTTTTCATATTAATTTGGTCAAAAGACAAAGTTAAAATTAGGTCAGTGTCCAAAATATTATTTACTATGATTGTAGTTGTTTAAACTAAATATCGTAGTGTACAGTTGAAATTTTGGACTTCGTAATTAACTCGTTGTACCTAGATAAATTGAGAGAGAGATGTTAGGTTAAACAAAGTGAAAATTTTGTCAGTTTACAGTATTTTCACCTCCCTAGTAAGTAACATAAATAGCATACTGGCAAGGAGACCCCATTATCAGTAATATCTATATGATACAGACTGAAAATCAGTAGATCATCTGTCAGATCAAATATTTATCACTTTACTTTTTGTTATCAACCTTTAAAACTTAATTAAAATTGGGTCAGTGTCCAAAATATTATTTACCATGATTATAGTTGTTTAATCTAAATATCTAAGTATACAGTTGAAATGATGGCCTACATTTCAGATGTTGCTAGGGCCAAGCTAGAGGAAGCCAATCAACAGCTGAAGAGGGAACTGGACGAGGAAAGAGAACACCACCAGAAACTGGTGAAGGAATACAACCGTCTGCTTCAGAGATGTGAGAACTTACAGGGAGAGGTCACGGTAAGAAACTCCTGCCATCAAAAATAAATAAATAAATAAATAAATAAATAAATAAAAAAATAAACACTTCATAGTTATATTTATGAAATATTCCGTGTTATTCATATTTGTTGATACTTGATTTTCTTAATTTCAATTGAGGCTGAGATAGTGGAGAAAAGGTTGTTTTTAGGTCAAAGGTTTTTCACATACAGTTTTAATATTTTCATGTATGTCACATTAAATCATAAATGCTACTTGCTACTACAGATTCAACAGTGCATATATCAGATATCACTGCAAGAAAATATTTGCCGATTTAGTCTGATAATCATACCTTTTTAATCACAAAATTTTTTGATGAAGTAAAAATCCACATCTTAAACTTATATTTTTCGTGTATATATCTAATCTCCTTTTGTCTTTATAATGTTTATACATTATTATCATGTTTTGCATCAAATGAACCTCAGCTAAGTTAAATGTCTTATCTCCATGGTAACTCTATGCTGGATATAATGTCTAATCTCCTTGGAAACTTTGTTCAGGACATAATATCTAATCTCCTTGGTAACTGCAGGACGTGATGTCTAATTCCTTGGTAACCATATGCAGGACATAATGTCTAATTTCCTTGGTAACTGGGCAGGTTCTAATGTCTTATCTCCTTGATAACTATGCAGGATCTGACCAGTCCTCAGAGAGACTTGTTACAGCTTGGACACAGGAGAAACCTGTCCAACCTCAGTGGGATCAGCCTGGAGTCAGAGATGACATCTGCTTCTGAGAAGGAGAAGGATGAGAGTGAGCTGGCAGAGAAGGCCATGAATGGGGTACAGCCAGGAGAGGAGGTAAGGAGGTGGCTGGGCAGAGAGGAGGAGTGCAATTCAGTATTGTATATTCTTTTAATGGTAGAGAAGTTCCTGGAACACCTCTCAGGCTTTGCTGAACCAATTTTTTTTTCTCATGTTAACTGAATTTAAGAGGAAATGTTACAGGTATTTGGAAGTCATTTATTCAGATATGACTGGTAAGTTGCAAAATAATTGTGGAACACCTTGGTACTTAGAATTAAACAAGGTAATGGAAATGTGAAAAAAAGTCATAATATATTAATTTAATTGACATAACATTTTCTGTTATCTGTCAGGACCAGGGTTATGGCACAGAGAGGAAAAAAGAAGATACAGGAGTGCGTGAAAGTATTGAAGCTGTGCACTGGAACCAGACTACGGAGACTGTGGCCAGTAAAAACAAAGATAGCAGCCAGTTGCTCAGCCCTAGCTCAGCAGAAGGCAAGAAGAAAGAAAGATCTGCATCTAGGAACAGCATGGATGAAAAGGTTTGCAAAAATTATGTCCTATATTTGGTCATTTAGAATGTATTTGAAGCTCTTTTTTGTTTATAATCAGAATTGTTATATTTTTTGTCTAGAAGTCTGATAAATTATCCAAAGATTGATTTGAACCTGCTCCCAAACAAGTTATAGGCTTTGATAATGTAACCTCTCCTGCACTCCTTCCATGATATCTTAACACAAACTGGACCATAATGACATATTTTTATGTAAGTGAATAAGGGACAGTTGACTGCCTGTTTTGTAAGCTGCAGCTATTAAAACCCACAACTAACATCCATAACATTGTTTCCTATTCCAGAAAGATGCAGAGAAGGTGGATGTGGGTCTTATGATCAAGTTACAGACCAGAGTGAAGGACCTGGAGAAGGAGAGGGCTCGGCTCCAGGAGTTACTGGATGAGGACCAGCAGGAGAGACCCAGGGCTGGTTCCAAGCTGGGGATGCTGGGGGATGAGGCGTACGAGGCCATCAAGGTGTGGCATGTGGCATGTGTTTTATGATTTATTCTGAAGAAGAAAGGAAAACATTTCTCAACATTTGTAATGTCTAGAAAGTTTTGTTCTCTTCGTTTGATGATTTTAGATTGAGCTGTATTGTAGAGTTTAGACTTGTCTGTGTAAGTATGGAAGTTTACACCACAGTCACAGCAGTATATATAAATGTTAACCAAGTAAAGACCAGAGGCAGCACCGTCAGATTGGTGATTTATGCTAGGATTTTCTGCTGGCATAAGTCTCGGGGTTTATCAGTGGTTATAAAATATGGTGGGTAATTGTCAGCTGTTGTTATTCCAGAACCAGGAGTTGGAAGTTGAGAATACAAAGATGAAGGAGGAACTTCAGCGCCTCAGAGCAGCAGTCGCTATGAATTCCAAGTTTGAAGAGAGTGTAGATCTTTCCAGAAGAGGGTCCAATGTAGCTGGGAAAGAATTCATGGGTAAAGCAAATAGATTGGAATAAAAGGAAATATTATCATATGTTGATTGGTATTAACTTGTAGATTTAGCTAGCCCCACTATAATAATAATAATAATAATAATAATAATAATAATAATAATAATAATAATTCCAACTTTTGTTGGCATTTCGACCCTTTCAGGGTCATTTGGGTCCTTCTTGTGAATTGTGCAAATCCAGTGAATCATGTAAATCCTACTTTTTCAGTGAGGACTGGTATCATGCCTGAATAATAATAATAAAAAAAATAATAATGATAATAATAATGCTTTTCATGATTTTATGTAGCTGTAAATTTTTTGTTATAATAATCAAAAAAATTTCTGTCCAATCAGACCAATTTGAAGCTATGGCAGATGAGTTGGAGAGAAGGCGTGAAGAATGCATCCAGCTGAGAGCGCTACTGGTCAACAGGAGCCGGGACCAGAGTTCTGTTGCCAAGGAGAACTATGAGGGAGATGTAGACAGACTGAATGAGGATGGGGAGCTGGCCATGGCTTATAAAACTCAGAAAGAACTGCTGAAGTATGTTTCTTTGTAACCCTATCAAAATAATTACAGTTTTGCAAAATAATACTGGAGTACTTGTTGTATTATTAATTGCAAAATGACCAAAATTCAGTGACCGTGTCATTCAGATTAAAAGCTTTGATAATGTGAGACATTGATAAAGAGTCAGTAAGCACACCATGGCATCAACACGTGTTAATATTTATGTTTTCAGAATGCAAGAAGAGCAGATAGACAAGCTTCAGAATAAATACAGAAAGATGGAGAAAGAACTGCGGCATGAACTCACTGAACTAAAGCAGGACAATGACAGGCAACAGAAACTGATTGGACAGGTAGATAAATGTAGTGACTTAATGGCTGGCTGTCATTCTACACTGAAATTTGTAGCTTAAGCTTAAAAGCAGTGTTTGACACTAAACTTGCTGTAGATGTAGATACAAACTTATTTGTTGCACTATGAATACTCTCACAGGACATTCCTTTTAGACATTTTGATTTGCTTGGCTCTGTGCGGGATTTGAACGAATTAGTGTTGTGTCTTAGGCTTTTGAGGATTAACTACGCCTTTTAATTTCTTGCTCAAATAACAGTTAATCACTTATCTTTGTGTTAGATATGCAAATTGAATGTTGTGCTTATAAACCCCGAAAGTTCTATATAAAAACTGTAATTATAGAATGGGAATCTTTAATGGAGAGCTTTCTTATCTCTGAACTTTTGTCTTTCCTGTCAAATGTGTATGCAGCTGAACAGGGTAGCAAGTGTAGGTATATGCATGGGATACTTTCACTTTCATTTCTGTTGACTGAAAATAAAAATAGGTGTCAGCACTTTTTAATTTTACTTTCAGTTTCATTGCCCAATGGTTGACATAGATATCAGCTTGCAGAAAACTATGCTTAGATGGAATAGTTCCAATTTTAAAATAGTCAGCACATTTTATCAAACTGCTGATGAAGATGTTGTTGATTACTTGGAAGGCATTCCTGTCTAAACATGGCTTCTCTCACTTAAATATCCCAGTTGCATGCACATTTTATTTTCTCCTTGGCGAGGTGTTGCGGTAAATTTCTTAGTTATTTCTTTTCAGTTCAAACTAGGTTACTAAATATTGCTAATATTTTCTTTTATAATTAAAATTAAAAAGTACCTTATTCATGTTGCCTTCATTAACAGTGGAGTTCTGTTTTTCCAAAACCTTAACTAACTTGCTCAGTATTTACTGATTTGAACCAGAATCAATTCAACATGGTCTCATATAACTTATAAAGTATTTTCAAATTCCCTATTTATTTAATGGTTAAGGTGTTTTATTTCAATTTAAAGATAGCTGCATGATTGACCAAAACACACTTTATTTGTCGAGGAGACAACTAATATATATTGGAAACCTGCAAACTGCATGTTTAAGCTAAATGAATGTGTTCATTATAAAATAAATTCTTATAATTGTTATGATGATAATATAGCAAGTTACGGCAGTTGAAAGCAGTGAACCCAGTATCTTGTGTAAAGATGAATGCACAATACATTAAGGTTGTAAAGGTCACTTGTGAATTTTAGTGATGCCATATAACCGTTCAATATAAACTGATATGATATAAGATGCGGGCTGTTGCTCTGATATGTTGATATTTACAGTTCCTGCCTTATGTCTGTCCTTCCAGAACCTAGTATTCATGACAGAATTGACAGTTCATGTCTATCCTTTCAAAACCTGGTATTCATGACAGAATTGACAGTTCATGCCTATTCTTCCAGAACCTAGCTATCATGACAGTATTGACTGTTCATGCCTATTCTTCCAGAACCTCTCCCTGTCACCAGAGGCAAAGATTGAAGCCTGCATGCAGCATGAGATCACAAGACTCACTTCGGAAAACCTGGTGAGGGCCTTGTTTTAACCCATTATTTCTTTGACCTTTACAATTAAACTTACACTATTTATTCAAAACCAAGAAGTGATTTTTTTTTTTTTGAGACAGGGGAGTCGGGCTCGATTGCTGTATTTCCTTCTTATTTTTATTTCAAAATTTGGTTTATTTTCAAATTTTTTTTATGTAGGATCTGAGAGAACAGATTGAGAAGCAACAACAGCAGATCCATAGACTGAAGAAAGCCCTCAAGCTTTACGCCAAGAGATTAAAGACTGGAGATGTTGCACAAGGTATGCCTTGAATGCAAGTTTTAAAGTAAAAGGGAAATGTTACGGACTATTTAGCATTGAAACTACCTGTGTAAATGTTAAAATATGGAGTCTTTTTAAAGTAAAGTATATGGTGACAAGTCTTCTTTTACAAAAGCAGTCTGGTGTGATGTGATATGCTTGTTAACTCTGTCCATTTGTCTCTGTCGTAAAGAATTTGTGAATTTTGCTTGAATAAAGGCAGCACCCAGGCCATTGCTGGTGAAGAGCTTGTTGGTAAGATCACACCTGCATGTTTTTATTCCATGGCTATCCCAGTCATGTGGCTATCCCAGTCACATGGCTATCCCAGTCACATGGTCTGGGATAGTTTTGTCTTACAAGTCTCAGCATGTTTATCTTTTTTGAATTTTTATTTATAGAAAGTTATCATATAATCGGCACTAGTTATTTCTGTTTGCATATAACTTAATTATTATATTGGTTATCTCTTGGTTCTTGTTTGATAAAATATCTTACTTAATTAACATTCTTGTATGCCCCCAATCAACCGGGAAAATTGTTTGTTCCAATACTTCCTTATTGAAAAGGCAAAGTTTATGGCATAAACATATGAAATGAAAACATCTCTATAGAATAGCTAACTTCTTTCAGAATAGTTTTGAGAAGCATTGAATTTCTTTGAATGCTCATAGCACTTTAGAAAGTTTGGCATAATGTATTTAGTTTTCTTATTTTCTTTCTAAAGCAACCAAACAAAATAAAAATTAATTTCTTCCTTTTTAGTAGACATAAATGTCAATTAATATTATACTATTGTGCCTAGTGTAAAAGATACACACAGGTTCCCTCATTAATTCCCAGGTGATAAAGATCCCTTTATATATAACATCTTAAGAGACCGGGGGGGTCTCTGGGTGGTAGAATAACCAAGCTCATGATGTCATCAGACATTGACCATTGCTAACACTATAAACTATGTATTAAGTCTATCTACTTCCAAGCACATAAATGTATAAACATAAAAGGTCTGTGTAATTCACTTTATTGAAACATTTGGAGAGAAGCAAAAGATTTTATAAGCACAAAATTTGTAGTTCAGGATTTATGTTTTTTCTGAAGAACTATGACTCTTGTACCCATTGGATATTATTACTTTTTTATGCACAGTGTAAATTTGCCAATGCACGTAAATATTTTTAAACAAAGCTGAAAATTCACAAAATTTGAGTAAAATTAATTGGTTGTATATTTATGATTAATAAAGTAACATTAATCTCATTTTAAAATTAAATTGCTTGTAATAATTGAGGTATAAAGATTATGAACAATTACTCTATTTATGTTTCTTATTTCTAGGGGCCGACATCATGGCGGAGGTGGAGAAAGAAATTGCCAAAGAGAATCCAGACTTTGAACGTAGCACCAGTGTTGCCAGTGTCCGCCACAGAGAACGGGAATACATGGGAATGCTGGAATACAGGAAAGAGGATGAACCCCTCCTCATCAAAAACCTGATTCAAGGTATTGTTTTTCATCCATTGCTGACAAGAGATTATATATCTTACTCAGGGTTAGTGAAATGATTGTACCATTTTGTGTAAGAAAGAAGTGTGTTGATTACTACAGGATATCAGTAGAAATGTTGGTGAACTTTTCATGAGGAACTTTTCATAACAGTTAATTGGGAATTTGCATATTGGTAGGATCCTATTGTATTTTGTACAATTTGGCATCACAATATGATTGTATACAGGTTGGTATCCAGTGTCACATTGTGTACAATTTGGCATCACAATATGATTGTATACAGGTTGGTATCCAGTGTCACATTGTGTACAATTTGGCATGTGTTATTGTATTATGTGGCTTTGTGTACAAGTTGACATGTAGTATATAACTATGTGTACAAGTTGGCATCCCATATTATCACAATTTGCATTCCTTGTCTTTCAGAACTGAGCCCCAAGGTAGCAGGGAGCTGTCTGCCAGGTCTTCCAGCCTATGTCTTCTTCATGTGTATTCGCCACACAGACTACATCAATGATGATGAGAAGGTCAGAAGTCTGCTCACTAATGTCATCAATGGAATAAAGAGAGTTGTCAAGGTGATTATTTCAGATTGACGGTGAATTTTTTAAAATGATCTATTTCTTCCAAAAAGATTGTCTTATTTGCAAATCACATGAAGATCTAAAAAGTTGCTTCAGCTCTTGAAATGGAACAATGTTAAAAAGCAGGATAGTGTCTTTTTTTTAATTTCTTTATGAAAAAGTTGTTATGGGTTTGTTTCCAGAAACGCCATGAAGATGTGGAGAGCGTCACCATGTGGCTTGCAAACACCTGTAGACTTCTACACAACTTCAAGCAATACAGTGGAGACAAGGTATAACTAAAGTAGTATTGTTACCATGTGGCTGGCAAAAACATGAAGACTGAAGTAAAGACATATAACCAAATAAGCTGCTGAGTTGGTGTGCATTAAATTAGGTATATTTTACAATGGCCTATTGCACTGCCATCTTGGCTCTTGTTAAGTTTTCACCTTCTTTCCATTCCAGGCATTCCAAACTGAAAATACTCCAAAACAAAATGAGCATTGTCTGCGCAACTTTGACCTGTCCGAGTACAGGCAAGTCCTGAGTGACCTGGCTGTGTGGATATACCAGACACTGACCAAGTTATTGCAGGACAATTTACAGCCTATGATAGGTAGGGGATTCTCGTGATATTCGGCAATTTTTTGGATTCTTAAATCAGGGTGTTTCAAGTTGCTGGAACACCGTCCCTTTGCCAGAAATTTTGATTTTTTTTTTTTTTTACTTATTTTGGTTGTTCATGTTAATGGTGTATTAGATTTGTAGACATAAGCTGTGTTAACCATTTCAGTGGCTTTTTAACAGCAACATCAAGCCATTGCCAGGAGTGAAAGTAATATCAACTAATAATATAACTTAACATTATTTTAGTTCATGGATTGCTAGAACATGAGGCAATAGCAGGTTTAACTGGTAGCAAACCTACAGGAATGAGAGGAAGATCTACCAGTAATGCCAGGCAGCTGGATGATTTTACCAAGAGTTTGGACATGGTCATGAAAGCTGTAAGTTCATCCTTAAGCACTTTTATCACTTATCACATGGATCTCAGTTTATGTTTGTGGAACAGTAATATTATGTGGAATTTTGAATTCTGAATTTATCATTGAGCCATTTTAAGAAATATGTGAAATAAAACAAATGAACAGGTATGATGATAATTTAAATGATAATTTCTGTTATTTTTCAGTTGGGCACCTTTTTGAAAATCTTTAAGACACATGCTCTGGACCCTGAACTGGTGAAGCAGGTTTTCAAACAGGTTAGGGTGATTTCTTTATAACTGTACATACAGATATTTACATCTGTTTTTGCATAGGAGCTGTTAGTCAGTTGTCAGAATAGAAGCATCAAAGATTAGATATTCATAAGTGAATACTTCACATAGCGGTTTACTGTGTATTCATAAGTTTGTAATTTGTGTGTAATTCTGGTGAACTTTTTCTTTCAGCTTTATTATTATGTTTGTGCTGTGGCATTAAACAACTTATTATTAAGGAAAGACTTGTCTAACTGGTCTAAAGGGATGCAGATAAGGTAATTTTATTTTTTTTTATCATATTGAATAGTTTTCTTATAATTTCTTATACATATACATTTATATATGAAAATATGAAGTAGTCTTAATGAACCCAGAATTTAACATACAATCAAAAAGTTTATTGATGTAACTAAATTCATGTTATATTTTTATACAAAGATATGCTATGTAAACACTAGACCCGATTATACCAGCAGTGATCTTGACCAGAGGTAGAAATATTGGCACTTACAAGACTGTTGGGAGGCACTTAACAACTTAAATATGTCAGTCTATACCCTATATATGTTGTTTATCCCCAGGTATAATATCAGCCATATAGAGCAATGGTTACGAGACCAGCACCTCCAGGACTGTGGGGCGGCCGAGCAGCTGGAGCCGATTATCCAGGCATCCCAGTTACTGCAGGCCAGGAAGACTGAGGCTGATGTGGAGAGTATATGTGACATGTGTTCAGCACTCTCTGTTCCACAGGTACTCAAGTTATTCTGCATTGTTATTAATTTAGAAAAGATAGCTTTCTTTACAATGATGATTATTGATGCTTGGTAATTTCATTGCCAGTAATATCGGTCAGTACTTTCCTCTAGTTTTGAGGACCAGCTTTTGTTTTCATATACCAATTAAAGGAGGCGAAAAAATGTATAAATTAAATGAGTCGAAGACGCAGGTGGTCAGTGTTCTATGCTCTCTTTGCAGCTAAAAACAATCTAGCTGTATTCAGCTTCATTTTCTTCTTACATTTCTTTTCAGATTGTGAAACTCCTAAATCTCTACACCCCTGTGGACGAGTTTGAGGAACGCGTGCCGATAGCATTCATACGGAAGATACAGGAGCAACTGAAGAAAACCCGCCAAGCCAACCAAGCAGGGAATCTGTTAATGGACACTAAGAAAATGTTCCCGGTGACTTTCCCCTTTAATCCCTCCAACCTGGGGCTGGAAACAATACAGGTGCCAGAGACCCTGAATGTTAATTTCTTGAAAAAATTGTAATGGATTTTTATCCAACAAAGAAAGAGGGAGAGATGCTGGCAATACTGTTGGAGTTCTGAGCATAGCTTTGAAATTCCATGGTGCTTTTGAATGTCAAATGATGAGCAGAGTTGGGAAGTGACCTTTTTTCACAAGCCAGGTGACAAATTATGTACAGTGATAATTGTCAATTATGTAAATGAATGTGTATTGTAGTTAAAGACAGAATCTATCTGTAAAAAAAGCCAGTAATTGGGCAGAGGGCTGGTGATGATCCTATCCAATCCCAAGTTAGACTGTGCCTATTCTCTTAGCACTGATCACTGTCCAGAAGCGACAGGATAACACTGACCACTGTCAAGTAGACATAGGATTCCTGTGCCTATCAAGGTTATTGTGCCTGGATTGATATGCCTGTGTAGCACTGGTCAGCACTGTTCACAAAAATTGTATGCTTCATGAATATGTTTGAGACTTGGAAAAAAGGAAGTTAGGAAAAAAAAGGGTTAATCTAATGGTAGCAAAATTAAAATGTTTAAAATAAGGTTTGCCACAAAAGGTGTATTTGAAGAAAAGGTACCTAAATTATTTTATAATTACAAAATCATGTGTCTGCTCATCAATATGATGTTGTCACAAATTTGTTGCACAAAATTATATTAATGTTTAGACAATAGTTAGGAGCATTGTAATAAAAAACACTTTTTTGGATTGAAGTAATTGAGGGGTGTGCAATATAGAGGACATTTTACCAAGTTGTTTGTTAGAAATGGTTGTCATACACTTATTTAATTGAGGTGAAAACTGAAAGATCTCAAAAATTAATTTTACCCAGCATTACAAGAGCTGAGTACTGGGGTGCCTGCAGTGCCACCTATCTATCTGAATGCCTTACTGATTTCATGATTTACCCAGAAGTAAAAATTGCTGTGAAACCATTCCAACTAGCCTAGTCAGTGTGAAAAACATATTGCAGTTTTCATACTGAGAACAGTTTTAAAGTGCAGTTTTGCTCTACTGTATTGGATGTATGTATTGATTTATTGTTTCACTGAAGCCTGTGACAAGCATGTCAACTTAGAAATTACTTCTTTTGTGATATAAAAGGTTTTTGTCAAACGCACTTACTTTAAGAGGCCTTCAATATATATAAAAGGTACAAAATCCCCCCATGATGATTATGTTCTACTTAAATGGATATTTTGATTCTTTGGTATGGCATGACATGACTTATGCTTTTCACAATTTATTTTCAGCAACAGTCAGATTTTGTATAGAACAATTTAAGAACTATATGATTACAGTGGAGACCACCGTTGTGTACCCCAGAGTAGTAATTGTGACCATACTTTATTATAAATGAATACTATATGTTCTGTACGTTAGATAGTATTTATTATCATAGACACACATATGCAATTTACCTTGGTGCTTGCTATATCTCTGTCTGCCATTGACAAGCAGCTTCTTGCTGCTGGTGAATTTTATGACCTGCCTTGGTTGTGTACCTTTTTTATGAGGTCTATTTCTCATTATTTGTCATTCCTATCTACCAAGTCTATTCATATGTAATTATATACATATAGATATATTATAGACACATATACAGGACATCAACTGGACATCAGTTTGTGTGGAAGCCTCTGCCTTGTGTGATTAGTGATAAGCAGAGTATTCCAGGTCTAGACTTATTATGGACTAGTGCAAAATTAGTATGTGTGCAACCTGGATATATTTATTTGAAGTTTAGAGATGTTTGAGAAATTGGGTCATTGTTAATTAATTAATCAATATTGTGTTTGCAATCAAAGGTACAGGGATTTCTTTTTGAGATAGAGAAAGGGTGAAAAAATTTACGAAAAGTTGGTGCACAATTCTTAAGGCTTAAAAGCTGGTAAAAAAAGAGCTGTAAACATATTTCATGATCTCCCAAACACTGGAAAAATGCAAACGTTTTTGAAGAGGTTGGGCCTCCAACATGTGATGGAGAAAGATACTTTTACAACCAAATGGGCACAGTATAAGTAAACCAAAATCCGTGTCACCATAAAACAAGGTATGTCCATATGACATTAAGGGTATACATATTTATGTGAATAATTTACTATATAGGTTACCTATAGCAGGTGTTGACATCATGGTCAGCTCTGATGTTGACGTCATGGTCAATTAGTAATGATATCTTAGCTCTGATACTGATTTCATCAGATTTCATTAATAATCATGTAAATAATGGACTGTGATTCATTTTATTATGATTTTTTGTTAATTTATCTTGTATAATATGATGATGGAGCTTGAAATGCAACAAATAGAAATATTCTGCAATTGATTTGTGGTTTTTGTTTTTGACATAGCCATTGCTCAGATAAGCATTGCTTGGCTTGAACCAATAAGAAAGATACTATAATTTAGGAAATGGTATCAAGGGTAGAGTACATAACTGTATCAAGACTACAGATAACAGTCTCAAGTTAAACTAATTGCTTTTATATAATTGCAGACATTAATTGACCAAGAAAAGAACTATGGCAAGTTTTTAACTTCTTTTCCTTGGACGATTATATGCTTGTGATCAGGTTTGCACCACAACATTGACAGTAACCAGTACCCCTGAAGTCTGTCTTTTTCAAAATGAGGGGTGGTCAACATGGTTTTAAAAAATACGAATAAGAAGAAAATGTCATTTTAATAACCATTAAAAATAATTTATTCATTCCATTCAAAAATTCTATAATACTGATAAACTTGTAAAATTATTTGTCATGGTGTAAAAGTTTGTCCATCAAAACCATAACACAACATTTAAACCTCCCCCTCCCAGACAATAAATAAGTGTTCACACGATGGTAACAATAAATTAAATGATTGTTTAGCATCTCTCAGATGAGATATGGAAGCTTTAAGTATATTAAATGATTCAAATCTTGGAAGTAATCAGGTGCCTGTCTTTCTCACTGATGTGTGTCATCATTCATCATGAGATATTGAACTATCAAACTCAATTTTTTTTTCATGATTTAAGAGATAATTTTTTGGGTGCAGGAGATGGCATCTGTGTATGTCTGGTCACCATGGCAATTGGTTTAAGCATAGCACTTCCTGCAGAACGCCCCTCTGGGATGTCTCTCACTGGCTGTAATTGGGAGGGTTTTGGTTTCTGGTTATCACCATTGGAATACCCATTCTCTAAACAGGAAGCCCTTTGAAACCCTCTGCCAGATCGAACAGTTATGAAGTTTTCTGCAGGTGAGCTACACCTAGAATCCTGCTCAGAGTCTAATTTCTCCGGAGAAGGATTATAAGTCCGTGGTTGCTGTGGAAGCTTGCTCAAGCCTCCATCTGATTCCCCAATATGGATATCCATTTCACCGTTGCTACTGTAGTTATTGTATCTGGAAGAGTTTCTTTGATTCCCTGTGATAACCCTCCTGTTGCCTGTGCTTGTTTGCCTGTCGTCAGCTTTACTGTTCCTACCATCTACCCTAGCAGGGGCAGGAGTGGAGTGATCTGATGGATACTGGTTTTCCATTCTATTCAGGAACTCTAGTGCACCATGCTGATCTGAGTTGAAGATGTCCTGCTGTGTGTGAGGACCCCCAGCGCCCCCTATCTGATGGAAGGCCGATTCTCTACTTGGTGTGGTTGGTTCCTCTTGGGTGAGTCCATGGGGTCCTGGGGACACGGTGCCTTTCACACTTAGATCCACCACATAATGTGAAGTTTTTCCTCTGACCTGATCTTGCTCAGGGTTTAACCTGGGCACATCTGGTGCAGTATTGTTCCTGTAGCCTGGAGTTAGTGTGCGTTGACTAGAGAGGCTGGGGTGTTCCTTAGTAGGCTGCATGGGGTCCCCATGATATTCAGTACTATTTCTACTGGGAGTTTCTCTGGGATTGGGCTTTGGTGTAGAAGAAGGTGTAGGATTGGGGGAAAACTGCTGTAGGAGCTCTTTCATGGCTGATATGATCTTTGACTTTTTGGCACTGAATAAAAATAAAAAGGATAAAACTATTACTTACACATCTAAAAGGGGCAAATATGTTCATCTGTGTTAATTAAACAGACATTGTTTCAACTGTTATATTGATAAATTCTTCCTGTTAAAGAAGATTGATGCTGTATATATATATACTTAAAGCAATAATAACTCTTCCTTTGAGATTAAAAAATCCGCATGAAATACATTGTAAACAACGCATGGAAATATATTCTATTGTATTTTACCACTAAAACGGCCGTTATTGTAGGAAAACTAAAATCTGTGCTTGTCAATATGGCTTTCGATCCCTTTTTTCCGCTCGACAAGTGCATTCGTTGCTAATGACGTAATGGTGTCACGCGGATTCTCGCGTTCATTCGAGACCAAAATAACATGGCGGGAAACCCTCAGACGTAAGTTGCGAGTTTTTGTACAGTGCGTCGGATAACGAAAAGCCCAGAATGGCACACATTGTGGATATAAATGCGTTTTTAACAAAAAAGACGAATATATCTCATGAATCTTATATAGTGTTGTTGTTGTCTGCTTTTCCCGCGGTTTTAAGTAGGTCACCAGTGACTTTGCAATGTCAGAGAGAGCTCCGTCAGTTAAAATCTCTTAAGAGATTTTAACAAAAAAACGTACGTTTAGGAAAAAAACCCTGGATTAACTTTGAATGCAGGAATGGGGTCGTTGGCCATTGGTAAGTACGGGAAAATTGCCGTTTACTCCAGGAAAATCCAATTTTTGGCCAAAACGAAGAGTTATTATGACTTTAACCATGGCCTATAGCTTAACACTTGCAAAATTAATCTTAATATGGATTTGTTTCCCCTTACCTGTCCATGTTACTGAGGAGCTTCTCCAGGCCCCTGATACAGAATGTCTTCACCCTGGCTGCAGTGGCCTGTCTCTCCTTGGCCACCTCGGCCTTCACACGCTTGGCTGCACGGGAATTGGTCTCATTCACATGCCTCAGGACATCCTCTGCAATCAGGGTACATACTTCAGCTTTTACAAGTAAATCAACAATACCATATATACAATATCAAACTGTGTCATCCTATTTTATGGTATTACTGAAGGTATCAAATAAAAAGTTTATAAATCTTTGAAAAATGAACCCTGAAGCAGCAAATATGGTAAAAACTGTTTACACACATACACAGCCACACACAGCATATTTTGTTTTTCATGACATTCATTCAATACTCTGGCTTAACTATGGATTAAGCACTCACCTCTGATCTTAGTCACTGTTTCCAGGTAATGTGCCTTCAGCTGGTCCAGCAGCTTGGCATCCACAAGACCTCCATCAGTCTGAAATATTGAATCCGAGTTACAAAATGCAATAAGATTACGCTGGGGACACTTGTCTATAACCAGCTCATCCAAAAAGGCTATGTGAACATCCATGTGGCTAACTGCAGGGGGGAACAATTTCAATATAATTCAAAACTTATCTTTATAGTTAAGGAAGTTGCAGTCAAACCTATGTCAGATTGTGATTCACTGAGAGATTTACATTTAGACAAACTCCTCTCCTTGTTAATTTTGTTTAAAAAATCAGTTCAGAGCAGACATACCTGAACAGGTGTGCACACAACTTCTTTCCTTTGATTCTCCACTTTCTGTTTCAAGTCTCTTATTTCTCTTTCATGTTCTCTGTTTATTCTCTCTATGGCTGCCTGATTGTCTCTGTTTGATTCAAATAACTTCCACCTGAAATCCTCTACAGCAGCCATATGTTTCTCTTCCAAATGTTGCCGAAGGTTGTCCAGGGAATTCTCTTGTTGACTTTTTGCACTTTTCAACTGCTCCTCCAATTGTCTGACCTTTTCATTCAGCTCGTTGTTTTTATCCTTGTAGCTGTTCACGCTCTGTCTGTGCTCCTCCTCAGACTGCTGCAGCACCGTTTGCAACTCTCTCTTCCTGGAATCTAGCTTCTCTAGCTTGCTCTTTAAATCGTCAATCTGCTCGGCCAACCTGTGTTTTTCCTGCTCCAGCCTTTCTATGGCCTTGTCACACTCCTCCTGTAGATCTGCTTGAGCATTTTGCAGTCTTGCGCTGTAGAACTGTTCAGACTGCTGAAGCTCCTCTTCCTTGGCACTCAGCCTGGCTTGTAAACTGGCCAGTTGCTGTTCATACTTTCTTTCCGGAGAAGACTTTGAACCTGAGCCATCTAAAGGTACCTTCCCGTACTGGGTTCTCTCCATGTCGGCTCTCAGTGTCTCCAGTTCACTCTCCCAGTTGGCATGAGTTGTCTGTAACTGCTCTTCTAAATCTTTGATTTTCTGCATCAGTTTTGATCTCTCATTTTCCCACAATTGCTTTTGGTTTTCTGCCACCTCCTGACAGGCCTTCTTCATCTCCTGTTCATATTGCTGAAGTACAGAACACAAGTATGTGAAAAATTGATGCCAAAATATGATTGGGGGGGGGGGATACAATATAAATTGCTGAGATATTTCCTTCATAAACCAGACATGTAACAGCAGAGTTTTAAATCAAACAAATAACAGTGAAATTTGTGATGTCAATGTTACAGCACTATATCAAGCTACAAACTTGTCAACATATTCTCATCATTTTGCATCCCTGCAAAAAATAAATAAATAAATAAATAAAAAAATAACTCACCAGTGTCCACTCCTTCCTGGCCTCAGCTAGGATAGACTCAGTCTCTTCTTGCAGCTTTGTCTTCAGTGTCTCCATCTGGTGCCCATGACTTCTGTTAGCATCTTCGAGCCTCTTCTGCCAGGTGCTCTCCAAAACTTCTTTCTCCTTGAAAAACAGAAAATATATCTTCAGTACTATGAAAATTTGTATCAATTTTCATTAATTATCACTTTTTAACATTGTGTGTGTGTAGTAATCTTACTGTAGAGACAAGCCAGAATGACATACCTTGCAAAACTGTTGTTGTAATTCCTGCAGAGCATCACTGTCAGCTTTGGCATGCTCACTCTGTAGGTTTTTCACTCTCTTCTTCAAGTGGTCTATTTGCTCCTCATATTGCTTTTGGAGTGCAGTCTAGGAGTAAGAAGCAAAGACAACTGAACACTTGTTTACATCTCAATAAGGACTGACCTCATTTCAAACATAATTACTACTTACTATATATTGCACAAAATAACTAGACAACTTAATATTATTAAAGACAGAACAAATGGCACATATTGCAGATGTTTCAGTTACCCATTATTTGCAGCACCTTACACAATATCTGAGAAACATCCAATCATAAGTAATCATGTAACTTCATCTCATATATCATATTCCTACCTTTTCTCTATCATATTGTTCCTTGGCATTCCTGAGGTTAGACTGCAAAATCCCCAGCTGAACCTCCTGCATCTCCTTTATCTGTGCTGCCTGCTGCTCCTCCAGCTCATGCAGCGCCCTCTGCTGCTCAGCCTCTTTCTGGGTCAACACTTTTTGCTTTTCAGCCAACCACGATGATTTGGCAGAGTGTGACTCTTTCTCTAGGTTTTCCAATTCCAATTTCAGACTTTCAACTTCCTGTTAATGAGGCAAACATTTTTCAAATATAATCTATCACAAAAATTCAACTTAATTCATAAATATTACTTAACACATAGAAAACAACTTTTAAAGCACATCAATTACCCTTGCTAAAAACAGCAAGGATCAACAATTTTATTTTCTTTTTAAAACTCAAAATCGAACTTTCTGATCTACTGTATTTTGGAGTGCACCAATAAAATATTTTAAGATAATTATTTTTCATCTGCCATAATGTACCTGTTTGTGAGTAACCTTGACTTTATCAACTGCTTCTCGAAGTTCCGTCTCAGCCTGAAGCTTTGCCTTCATCAAAGCTGTTTCTATTTCAGACCTCTGAGCATGTTCCCAATTGTCTTTAGCTTCTTTTAGAGCTTTGGCAACCTAAAGACACACATTGCCATAATAAATACATGAACAGGACAAATTATATGAATACTTGAAAAGTTAAAGGAATAATGAAAGCATTTATGCTAAATCATAAGGCATAGAATCTTTTCTGAATGCACATTTTACAACTGCCTAAAAACCAGATGAACATTTTTCCATATTAAAATAATAGTGACCTTTTTAGATAGTAGACACATTGGGCAAATAAAATCTTATGAAAAAAAGTCAATTTTGTTTTTATATTTGCTGTGCTTACTTCCTGCTCAATGAGTTCCTGTTGTCCCTGCATCCACTGTGCCTTCAGAGTGTCCACATCCTGAGGCCGGTGTTGCTGCTCCCACTTCAGCCTGGCCTTCTCTACAGCAGATGATATCTGGACCTCCGTCTGCTCTTCCCATTTCTTCTTCTCCAGCTTCAGGCGCTCCAGCAACTCGTTCTCAAAGCTCAGTCTTCTATCACTTTCTAATTTGGATTTAGCTACAAATTGAAATCAGGAAAGTTCAAGTTGTTGCATAATCAAAAACCTTAAATTTCTTGTTTCAGGTACTTTTGAAAAAAGTTTTCAGTATTACAATTAAGCATTTGCTGTTGGCCTTAATATCAATCCATAATATTAAGCTGGACATTTTTCTCAAACAATTTCTGTGTGTGTTCTTGCGTTTGTACTTGTATGCATGTTTGTGTTCAAATTAATTTTTTTGTGTATCATTTTGGTATATTAGATTTTAAAAATTGTAATAAAATTAATATTAAAAAAGGGTAAACTGTTAATAATCCACCTCTTACCAGCATACATCTTCCTCTCCACTTCATTCTCAATTTTCTCCTCAAACTTCAGCTGCCATTGCTTCTCTACCTGTTTCACGGCAGATGCTACAGCAGCCTCCTTGGACTCACGCTGTTCATCAAACCAGGCCACTTTGGCCATAGCAACCTGGAACATGTAAAATATATGCTATTTGTTTGCACATAATTCAACCCTTACATCTCATTTTCATCCATTTGAAGGAATTTAGAAAATTAAATTAAAACTATAAGACTGTAACACATTTAGACATTAACATCATATCCCCTGTACCCATCTGAGACTGCACCCCCCTGCATCCCCTGTACCCATCTGAGAGTACACCCCCTGCATCCCCTGTACCCACCTTTGTCTGCACCTCCCCTGCATCCCCTATACCTATCTGAGACTGCACCCCCCNGGACTCACGCTGTTCATCAAACCAGGCCACTTTGGCCATAGCAACCTGGAACATGTAAAATATATGCTATTTGTTTGCACATAATTCAACCCTTACATCTCATTTTCATCCATTTGAAGGAATTTAGAAAATTAAATTAAAACTATAAGACTGTAACACATTTAGACATTAACATCATATCCCCTGTACCTATCTGAGACTGCACCCCCCTGCATCCCCTATACCTATCTGAGACTGCACCCCCCTGCATCCCCTGTACCCACCTGTGCCTGCACCCTCCTCTTCAGCTCTTCTTCTTGCTCCTGTCTCCACATTTCCTTGTTCAGTTTCTCCTGGGATTTGCTGGTTAATTCTTTCTGCTGCTTGTCAAGTGCCTCATCTTTCTCTTGGTCACACTCAGATCTGACCTGTTTAATATATGTAAGTGATGAGATCACAAAACACAATGTTTTATCAATGCATTAAGATTTGATAAAAGCCTCCATTTTGATATAATCAATACATTTATAATAGTCATTACATATTGTTTTTTCCTAAAAGACTATATATACTTTGATTAATTTGATTAAATACCTTGCTGATCTCCTCTTCTAGTTTAGTTTCCCAGTCCTGACGTAATTTCTCCTCCAAAGTTTCCTTCTCTTCACAAATGTTGACATAAAGTTCTTTCACTTCATCCAACTCTTTCTGACACTGTACAAGCTCAGCCCTGGGGTGTGATTTCAGTGATTAATGATATATCTATACATAATTTAAATACAACAGAATAATTTATAGAGATGCATATGTAAGCTGCAAACTCCATTTTGAAGTGTGATTAACCCTCAAGAGACCAAGCTATTTTACTGACTGAAATGACCAAGTGGGGTCATCTATGACCCCATTGTGCTCTGTACAGGGATCCTTATTATAAAAGGCTGTTGAGGCTTTATCACACCCATGCTACTCCCAGGATTTAAGACAAGTATTTTATAATGATCTAATGTAATAAGTATTTGGTAATAATACTTTTATTGCATGAAATAACCAATCACAGATTTTAAGAACAACATTACATCGGTATTTAGACAGTCATTGTCAGTTTCCACTTGCAGAAATATTTCTCTTTTTATTTGCCACACTAAATGAAAAAAGTACATTACAAAATTACTTTGAGTAAAAATATTTTGATTTATGTTGAGATAGTATCCTGCTAACTTCAATAAGAATAATTAGCTGACTTGCTGAGTAGGGAATACCCTAATGCTGGTAAGGAAGTCATACTACTCAGAACACATTCAATCAACCTACATGTATGTTACTACCACAGCTGTGTATAAAACAAAATCCACACAAACAATTTGTTAATATATGTATAATATGATATCGACAGAATTATTTAGATTTCAGAAATACCCGAAAATTGTAACCGTCAAAATAAGAGACCAAGTTATGAGAACAAGCTCCAACAAAGCTACTGAAATTAGATTCAGCGATGCACTATTAGTAACACTTCAAGCACAATCTTCACAAACCACTTATTTGTGCCTATGTTTTGGGCACACTGGTTGGTTGCATGAAGCACATGCATGTGACATTTTCCTGTCAGTGTTGCTTGGGCAAAACATTTGAATAAAATTTAAAAACTAATATGTAAAAACCAATGCTTCTCTTTGGGGTCATAAATGACCCCACAAGAGTTTTTGATATATACGCCACACTAATTGGTTGATCCCTACAAAAAACTGTGAAAGTGTGTAGGATTAGTAGACTGACAAACTCATGCAAAGAAAGAAAATTCGAATAAAAAATAAAGAGATGGCACATTAAATCATATGGCTAGGGTCGTAAATGACCCCACTCGGTCACTTGAGGGTTAATGAAAATGTTAATTTAATAACTTTGAAGCAAATTTGTGTAAGCATACATGTATAAGCGTGAGATGAAGAAAAAAAAGTGACAGAAAGAAGAGAAGAGCCACTTACTTCAGTTGTTTGATTTCACTGTCATGTTGCTCTAATAGTTTGGTTCTGTCCTCATTCTGCTGACACATTAATTCCTCTCGCAATTTGGCCTTGGCAACCTCATGATGCTGCAAGCAGGCTTCCTGACACCTGAAATGCAAGGATGACATGATTAAATAGAAGAAATTGCAAAATACAGCAAACATTTCCGACTTATAAAACAATACACATTGCCAAAATGCATTTGCTTCAAAAGTAGAGCCCTAGCATTTTTAAAAGCAAATTATACTTCAACATACACATTGCCCAGAAAATATTTTACATGCCCATACCTCTATATGCAACAGTACTTCAATTATTAATATAACAGGACTAAATCAGCGAGTTCAGTTTCAAATAACGATCACATATACAGCCATGAGTTTTACAACTCCATGCCACGACTTCAAGACTACAAATATCATTTCAACATTAGTCTTACTTACTTGGTAGAAATAAAGACCTAAGTACTGGTATTCAATGTAGCGCGTTTCTTATCAGCAAAAAGCGTAAATAGAAGGGCAAAGGGTACTAACAATGTCTAATTAGCATATGAAGTAGTCCGAGGTGGAGTGAATACACTATTAACACCTCATGAATGTAAATCCCAGCGCAGGTGAATGAACCGCCTTTTGTTGAAATAAGTAGCAATGTAAACAATACAACTGTAGCAATTGGGACCAATGAAAGGCTGTTATTACTGCATCAATGGCTCTTTAACAGGTGAATACCACTTGCTGGGAGATTTTTTCTTTTTAGAAATTCTTTCTTGCATTTAGTTTTCAAGTTTTATTTGTTCTTCCATGGTAAATATTTTTAAAACAAATTTTTAAAAGGTTTGTGATTTCATTTCAATTTTGTTTCTTTCTTTACTTTTCTACGCTAAGACCTGAGTTTTACTCTAACACTTGTGAAATGATCTAATCATCTTTTGCAAGGAAATAGTAACAATTATTTCAAGTTATTCAGTGTTTAAAAAAAGACAGCATTAACATTATCATAACAAGATTGCTTAAAATATAATACAATATTATGTTGTTTTTTTAATGTTTAAAGCAATAATTTCTTAATTAAGCAGAATACTAGAAAATTATACAGAAAAAATAAGCCCAAAAGAGGAAATAAAATTATTAGAAATTATTTACTTCTCTAAAGCTGTCTTCTTATCTTCATCAAATTCCTGTACCATCAGCGCCATCTGGTGGTTTAATTCAGAGTTAATCTCTCCCAGACGTTCTTCATTGGAAGCAACTTCTTCAAGCCTGTGTTTTGTTTCCTGAAAGACAAGAAAACCACTGGTCTTCAAAAGTGTAGAAGGTGTCCCAAACTCATTACCAATGACCTGTGCTTAAACTTATCTCTACTGTTTCTCAAAATATTTGTAACAAATTCTTTAAAATTAAAGAATATTCAATAATGTGGAATACTGTTGTAGTAAAAAAAAAAGTACAAAACACCACTGAAAATAAGCAGATAGCAGATAAATTAATTGAAAACAAAATGTTTCACAAGGTAAAGTATATGATGGTCTGTGTCTGTGGTCTCCATCTCTGGCTATCTTACCTCTAACTCTTGCTCCTTGTCCTCCAGTTCCCTCTGATATCTCTCCACCTCCCTTCGCAGTCTCTTCTCTACACCTGAAATACCACTGGGGTCCAACTTCAACTCTGCTAGTTCACTCTCTAACTCATGGATGCGATTCTAAAACAATAAATAATAATAATAATAATAATAATAATAATAATAATAATAATAATAATAATAATAATAATAATAATAATAATAATAATAAATAAATATTTTTTTTTGCATAAATATAGTGATTCAGAAATTTATCAGTTAATAACATAATAATATAAAAATAACAACAAAAAAATACTGACATGCACTTAATCAACTCTGCATTTCATAGATCAGCTCAGCCCAGCCTGTACTCACATCTTTCTTATCACTCTCACTCTCCACCTTCTTCAGACCTGTTCTAGCAGATTCCAGGTTTGCCCGGAGAGTCCCCAGTTCAGCCTGCAGAGAGGTCACCTGCTCCCTCTTGTTCTTGTTGTTGGACAGACATTTCTGTAGCTCTGCTTTCAGGGTGGCAATGGTGTTCTCCGGACTGTAGGTGTCACCACCTGCTGTGACCCTGGGAGAAGGAAAGTGAAAGTAGAAATTATATGGTGAAATAATAATAAAAAATATAAAATAACCTCCCAAATGTAGATACTGCACATTGCTATTTTGAATCCCCGAAGAAAGCAACAAAAGCTTAATACAATCAAGTTTAACTGTCCACAAATCTATTCTTACTTGGAGGGGACTTGTTTAGGCGTTTTCCAGTCAAGTGTTTTCTTGACTCCTAGTTGAGCAAATGATTCAGAATGTGTGTTCTCAGCACCATTAACAAACACCCCACAGGATGCCGCAGACTCATACATGGTCAGCTGCTCCTTCAGCTCACTCATCTCTCCCTAAAGTCAGAGATTTATATGTAACACAAAAATCTATAAATGGACATGATAAGAAGTCATGGCATCAAGGAAAACACACAAAGACATACTTTGTTGGTCTGCTTTATCGTACTGGTGAAAACCTGATAAAATGGTATGGGCTCCATCATATCTACATGGCTTTTTAAAGATCAACAAACTTGACACAATATTTCAAACAAAGTGGATCAAAAGTTTTGGTAAAAGATCTACACCTTTTTGAAATACAGAAGGAAAAAAGATCTAAGGTCCATTTCTGGTCCTTGCATTATACAAAACTTTAATAATTTTCTCTCTTTTTCCTTTCATTTTTACCAATTAAAATAATGCAAAATTCCTGTATAATTTATTTAAGACTTCAACAACATTACATACCTTTAAAGCTGTGTACATATCATCAGTCATGGTTTTGGCAGCAGACATCTGCTGTAACTGAGCTTTCAGATGACCCAGTTCTTGGGAGGAACCTAAAGTAACAAGACATGCTGTGGTCAATGTGACCAGGGAATAATGAAGAGGTCTGCCACACTTGATGTTTACTAGGTTACAAGATGGAATCTTCACCAAAGGGCAAATATTTGGCAACAGCAAATGTTATACAGTGGATAATTTGAAACCATTTCTCATCATTTAAGCACTGTTATCAAGCAGTATCATGGTACATGTATACTTAAGTTGGACATGTTTTCCATTATGGTGAGGCACAATCACACATTACAAAAAAAAAAAAAAAAAAAAGGTTATAAGCCCTGTTTAAAAGGACACTGAACCCACCTGCAGCTAGCAGGTCCTGTACTTGTCTCTGGCTCTCCTCCAGGCTGCGAGTCAGCCTGTTGATGGTGTCTGCTCTCTCAATGTGGGCATTTTCTGATGCTTTCATGTGAACAGATAGCTGCTGGCGGAGGGACGAGATTTCATCATGCTGGAATGAAGAAAAAAATTTCAGACCAAGAAAAAGATTTCAGACCAAGATACCCCCCCCCCAAAAAAAAAAAATAAATATATGAACAAATTAAGAGCAAAAAGATGCAAACCCATTCCCAAAATGCATTCACCTATAATATGTAACATTATTCAATTCCACTATTCACACTTACCTAAATATCTGCAACAACACAATGTGACATGTCAGCTGTAAAAAATCTTCACACCACCTTTCAGTAAAGTTTGTTGCCTACCTTCTGTTGCAGTTCCTCTTGCTGTTCATCCAGCCTTGCCTTCAGGTTGAGTGTTTCCTGCTGGTGCTTCTGTTGGATGCTGCTCACAACAGCCTCGTGCTGCTCACGTGCTCGCGTCAGGCTCTCACTGTTGCCGAGCTCAGTCACGTGCTGGGTCATGTTCTCCATGGTGGCTTCTGCCATCTGTAGTTTGTGGATTGTCTGAAACAGGTCACAGATAATTCTTCAATTTCTTTTTTTAAAAAACTAATCCTAAATCAATCTGGCATATGTACCCCAACATTATGACTTTATACTTAAATCATGCCAATAAGCCATTTCAGAATGTTGAACAAATAATTGAATTTTCATGAAATTTAGCTGTAATTCTTTACTTCCCCAATGGACTATGTAGAAGTTGAGCCAAATTCCTTAATACATTGTGACCAATATTGGCAAAAACTTCATCAAACAACCATTTTATTAAATCTAACTCACCTCTTCTTTGGCCTGTTTCACTGTGTCCAGTTCCTTCTCCATAGCAGCTATTCTCCCCTTCAGTGCTGTGTTCTCTTCCTGGGCATCCTGCAGAAGCTGGTTGACCTGCTGTAAACTCTCAGACATGCCATCCCTCTCACCTAGGAGAACAGCACACAAATATTACACTTCATAAAAAGACTCAAAAAGGAAGTCATGGGGCATGATATGAAAAAGGAATATTAAAATGTAGGAACAACCTTATGAACCATAAATAATGTGTAGGGAAATTTTCACCTTTTAATCAAAGAACTTTTCTCACTATTATTAAGTCTTCAGTTTAATAGTGTGTAAGCGTCTTTGAACCTTCTCACATGGTGTTAAACTAGTAATATTAGATGGTTTGTTTTAAACAACAAGTTTTAATCTCTACATTATACAAAACAATCCCTGAGAAAAATGCACAAACTTAAAGTTCACATTTCTATCAACATTATATTCATCATTGTCATAATTCAGGATTTCATACCCAGAGAGTTACCTTGAGCCAGAGCCAGCTGGTGTTTCAGAACCCGCATCTCCCTGGCCGTGTCCTCTTTCAACACAGCATAGTCCTGCTGGAGCTGGTCCAGCTGTCGGCCCCGTGCCTTGTACAGGATCTGGAGCTGGGCATGCTGACGGTGCTCTGTGCTGCCACCTGGTGGGTGAATAAAATAACGTTTGGAGAAAATGGAATGTGGGTTCAGCTATCAAGGTAGTTGACAGAAGAGTCAGAATGTTATTTAAATGAATTCCAATGAGAAACACTGCCATTTGAATAAACGACGGAAGATTCTACCTCTCCCATAACCCCCAATGAAATGCTGTTTAGCAAAATCAAATAAAAGTTAAAACCCAGCAACTGTCCAAGCATTTTTACATATAGGAAGTAAAAAAAAAATTATCTGAAAATTTCAATATAGAAAATAATCATTAAAGGGACAATTTACACAAAAACGTTGTTAATGACACTTTGTACTCCAATGATTCTATAATATAATTTTTAATACAGGCATTTAATTTATCAAGCAGTTTTCTTAGACATTTTATTTTTACTTTGCCACACGTCCCCTAAGATACAGAAATACTTTTATCTGCTTATAAATTATATTCCTAAAGTATATTTTAATGTATCAGTGATTCTTTCCTGTATTTTGAGGTCAGACTGTTGTCAATATTGATTCAAATTAGGCAAGAAAAAAGTTTCTTGTTAGATCTTGAACTAACACTGTTTTTATCAAAACCAGAAGAGATCCTCAATCTCTTAAAAGGGTTTTAACACTGACATCAAAGGCAGTTACTTAAAAGCTAATCTACTGATCCAATTAAATGCCAGTGAAAAGATGGATATGGTACATATTTAACACAAAACAAAGTTAAAACCCCATAAAGAAGCCTACCAAAAGAGTAGATGGAACTATCCTGTATAAGGAAACCTTTCAACCAAAGCACTTCACAGTAATCTGGTTGTTGTCACAAGATGTACAGAATAAATGGTCAGACTTCCTCCCTGAGTTACTCCATCCCCATTAGTTCTCTTTTTAGCAGAAAAATATTCTTCAAATCAAATCAAAGAAATATATTTTATCAATGAAGTAGCAATGGAAATAACATACATCTTGGCATCCCCTTCCTTTTCTGACATACCTTGTTCCATGAAAGCCTGCTGAATATTGTCATGTTTCTCCTCATGTTCAGTCATGGTCTCGGGTACCTTCCTCCCCATGAACTGGACTTTATACCCATCAATGAGTTCCTGAGGAGAGGTTTTGTCATGTCTGTTCATGTGGCCAGGCTGGTCCAGGCCATAGACTGGCAGACTGCCCCTCCTGGGATGTTCTCCTGACCCAACCAATCCATTGGGTGGGCCACTCCCACTGGCCCTCCTCTCTGGGCTGTACGGGCCACTGTTATATGGCTGGGGGTTAGGGCCATAGTTTGGTATGTAGTAGCCCTCTGTGTGGTGATATAGCCTGGGATAGTCTTGCTGATGTGGGTGTGGGTGGTGGGTGCCATGATAGGCAGGGTGATATCCATTAGGGATATGATGGAGATATCCATCCTGGTGGAGTCCATTTGGATGTTGAAGGTACCCGCCATTATCTGGGGGTTCATTGCCACCTTCTCCCTGCCCTCTCTCCTGTAAGTCCTCATGACTACCATCATAGTCCTGGTGGTCATCTTGACCATCCCAATCATCTGGCTGACCACCATTCACATGGTCTTCTTGGTCATCTTGTCCATCCCAATCATCTGGATGACCACTATTTACTTGGTTCCCATGGTCATTGTGCCCATCCCAACCATTAACCTGACCCCCGTTTACATGTTCCCACTGCTGGTCATCATAATCCCCTGGCTGTTGTGGTCCACCATTGTGTGCCAGCATATCATAGACCTGCTTCAGCTGGTGGGTCAGCCCAGGGCCGGGCGTGGTCAGGGGAGGGGGGTTGTGAGTCATGGGGGTGGAGGTAGGGTAGGCACCACCATGGTGGTTTATATCATCCCAAGTCACAGGAGGCTTCCAGTGGCCATTTGTGTGTCGGCTATAGGAGAAAGAAAACAATAGGTATATGAAATGGACATAACAACTCTGCTGAAATGGGATCAAACATATATCAGGATCTCATGATAATCTCACAGGAGGGATTGGGTTCCTAATAAATAAAAAATGGATAACTTTACAGAAAAAAGCCACTTAAAGGCTTAAAATAAAAAGTTGCCAGTATGACAAAAGTTTATAATGAAATGTTCCATTAATGGCAGGCATTAAAATTTTGTAAATCTCTTCAGTTACTGGCCACTATTCCTGCTTTAGGCCAGTAGATTGTCAGACCCTGGTGTCCCATAGAGCCAGAAGTCTAGAAATATTATGCCCCATACTTCTTCCACTGTATTATATAATTAACTCACTTATGAAATCACTTCATTTAAATTTGAAATAATTCAACTGACATTATAAAACCAGTTTTATTGTATCAAATTGTATGTTTACACCTGAGGAAAGGTCTTGTCCCAGTGAACAAGGCTTGTCTTAAATATCCATGATGCTGTATTGTATAACTGCCCCTAGCTGGTGACCAATATATTACAAGGCACACCTGTGTTACCTTAGAACAATGCACTGAATAAATAAATACCCCCAAACCACAACATTCAATGTGACACAGTTCTCGGATAATTTCCTTTATTTGGATCAAAAATCAGAAAATTATAGTTACATAATGTACATTCTTCTGAATGCAACTGTGTGTAATTCTCAAATAATGTGTGACGTATAGAGCAGAGTCCTGGTGGGGGTCAGCTACAGTGGCTTAGTCCTATCTGCAAACACCTGTCACTCTGATTACCAGTACCAGACATAAGATAAATACTAAGTAACCAATCAGCTAAAAAATTTAACAAAAATGAGAAAATAATTTTGTCATTACTGTACCTTTTCCCTGCAAAAAAACAAAACACAGCTTCTATCCAATTTCTATGTAACTGCAATTAGAATAAAGCTAGCAGTTGACAATTAAGGTGAATGCAGAATGAAATATTTTAAAGTAACTATAATTTTGCTTACCCTTTCTCCTCTGAGTGTGCCCCTGAGTCATGAGAGAGTTCTGAGGAGAGAGATGTATTGTCATCTTCATCAAGAAGATCATCAAAAGCATTGGTCAGCAGCTCGCGCAACTGGAAACGTAATTTATTAAAACATGTAAAACATGACCTGAATCACATTAAGACAAGTAACAAAAGAACAAATTCATAGGACATAATATTTATGATATAAAAATATGAAGGATACAGTAACTGATGCAGTCCATTTTGTTATCAAACTGTCCTGTTACCTCATAAGATGTCAACATTATTTCATAATGTTCTTGTTTACATAATGAGTTGACATGATGAACAATGAAAATAAGACATTTTTTTCAGTTTCTGTTGGCAAAGTGAGGGATCAAGGCTACAATTTTATTATTTAGGTAAGAGTTTTTATTCATACACATACATTTGTATACCACCATTCCCTTCAGTACCAGAAAAACTATTTCATACAAGAGTTTTTGAAACTACATTTCTTCAAATTTACCCACCCCCCTACTCAACCCTATTCATGTAATATGAACAATTTTATGGTGGGAAAAATTATGGCAGAAAAATAATTACAGGAACAAATACAGTGTAATATCTCTTTTATTATATCCACCTCAATACTATTTATCTAAGGTACAGAATAAAAAAAATGTTAGCATTTCTGCTGTCTGCTAGACTTCTGTTAAATCACTACAGTAAGGATAAAAAAAGGACTTCATGTCAAGATGTTTAGTTTTCTGTTTTGTATCTTACTCTGTGTGGTGTACGTGCTGTAATTTCTCTTATAATCATAATAACATATTTCCATTGTAATTTATATTGATGTTTTTCAATCACACACTCACCTTAAACTCCCAGCTGCGAGAAAATAATAACAAAACAACACAGGCATATTGACACAGGCATATCCTCACATAGCCCGCCCCATCACACCCTTTCACACACTTTTATACAAAATAAACAGATAAACAGGTAAGAGGAGAAAGCGAAAACAGTTTGGATAATCTCACCTGGACCAGCATATTCTCAATGTCTTTCACTTCTTCTATGGACTCCATGATTTCTAGAGTTTCTGGCACCTTGCTGGGATCATCCCATGATGGCATGGGTATGGATGCCATGCCAGATGCCAACGCACAAGTCATTGATACAGCACTGAATTAAAGAGGGCAAAATACTCCTAAAACTATGTGAATTATGATTGCTTCCACATTGCTTCCCTGTTTGTTAAGTAATTCTGAAACCATTTTTTCTAAGCTTATGGTGGTCTTTGCCTTTATCATTACTCCAACTATTTCTTTGCTAAATAAACCAAGAAACATTATGCCCCTAAATGTGACCATCACTTTGTGTCAGTTATACCCCTGGATTGCTTCAAATCAAAGTTTGCTAATACTTATTTAGCTTTGCTAACTTTAGATATCATTAAGCCTTATTCAGGCAGTCCTTGATCAGACTGATTTCATCATCATCCGTAAGATTAAGAAGGTAATGTTACTTAAGCTGCGACCACCTTGATATAATGTGCTAATAGTCAAACAACATTGCAAAGTCACAAGTTGCCCCCTAGAAGATTAATTCTTACATCTTATTGTAGCTACCCTGAAAAATCCTCAGGTCAACCCAAGGTTACATGGTATTAATACTAACTGTCACCAAACTTAATTAATTTGTCCCCTTTTCATTATGTATTGTCACGTAGTAAGATTGTATAGTAAGATAAAAAGCTTGTAAACATATCATTTAAAGCATCAAAGGTGAAGATGGCAAAAAGAAAAAAAAAACAAAATCATTAAAAATAAAATGATGTACCAAACACACATATACAAAAAAAATTTGGACTCATGTGTTTTTACTTGATTTTAAGAAACATCATTATTCACAACTTAAATTGAAAGATTAACTTAGTTTAACTTACATCCATTCTGCAATACGTAACCCAGATCAGCCGAAAATCTTATCAACATAAAGTTTTATCCTTAAGTATAAAGATTTATCCAATACTGTAATTCAATTCACTGGCTAAAATTAATCTTCGTCGCAGTCTCCTCCATAAACTGAATATCCAAGTTCTCTAAGCCGCAACTTGCCGCCTTCCGTTAAATGTTTACAACTTGCACCTGAACAATGCCCTATGTTAAGTATTCCCACTCTGCAACCTTTCCAGTGCTTCTTTTTATTCCATTATTATCCCTGCCACACCTAGACGTAACCTGCAATAATCCATTGCTCAGTGCCTTTTCTTTCCATCTAAATGACCATGTTAATAAATCTATTACTTATGAGGTCCGGTGCCCTTTTCCATGATGCGTGGCCAATTGATCTGAACCCTCTATTTAACATTTGATTGGCCAGTTTGGGGAATATTATTACCAAGTTATTGTTACATTTGCAAAACAATAGGTGTAAATCCCCTTGTCAGAGGACCTTGTGGTTCTTTAGCACCTCAAAGGTTATGTCATCGCAGGTAAAAGGTTATGCAATCATCCTCCCAAAAACCACACTTTTTCTCTTTGTTTTCTAGTTTAAATTTGGATTTTACTGGTCTTAATTTGCTTATCATAAGTGGTAACATAGGTTACGCTGTAAACAATCAAACACTATATTTCCTCTGTGCATAGGTAATCTAAATATTGCCCCTTGAAAAATACAAATATGATCTGTTTCCAATCTAAATATTTCACAAAACTAAAATAGAAAGGGTACCACTAGAACTGTACAAGTCATAGGCGATATTTTCTTTAACAAAAACACCCTGATATTGTTATTAAATCATTGTACAGCATTGAAGCCTACTCATGTGTAGTGTTAACTAGCTAAGAACCCATTGAACCACTTAACTTTGGAATGTTAGTTTATTTACTACAGGCCACCTTCCTTTTTGTCTGCCATATAATAGTGTCAGGGATCCCCCGTTGCGCGGCCCACCACCTGCATGTAAGAGCATCGCGCGTAGGGGGCAGAGTAAGCGCACATTTGGTATTCAACACCGTCCGTGCAGGGGGTGACCAGGCTGCAATAAGCTAACCCATTTGATGATTTTTCTTGAACTTGATGAAATAAAATTATTCTGTAATAGGCTAAGATAATAACTTTGTATTGTTATAATGGAATAGACCAAAAATGCGCTTTGCTACATGTTATTTTCATAGAAGCAGAACTTTTTGAGTGAAACAAATGGTTAAGATTCAACAATTTGCACATTTTGAGAGAAGTTTTTCAGAATTTTGGTCAACTTTTAGTTTAAAAATTTTTAGGTGAATTCTTTATTTCCTGCAAATCTTTCAAGACTCAGATTTTGTTTTTCAAAATTCAAAAGAATTCAACACTTAGCTAAATAAAATATGTTGGCAATTGAAAATGATCATTTTTTCACTATCTTAAGTATCAACATCAACATTTAACTAGGCAAAGAACACTGGTAAATGAGAAAACAGTTAATATGCATACGGTTATCGAAGAAAATTTACAATAATAAATGCACAAAAGATAAGCATTGTTTAATCAGGTATTAATAAACTGGAACCGCTCCTTTCTCTTTTCAATCTCAGCACAGTTATTTGTTTTATGTAACACGGAGTTGTTATTTTCAGGACAAAATGTTAAGTTTCTTTATCTGTGATTTACAGCTTTGACCGTGTATTTCAAACAATGTTAACAAAGAGAATAGTAACCATTATGTTTACAGGATAGATGTAACTATTTGTTTTGTTACACCTTAGCCCTCTGTTCATTTATCTGTCAGATTAACAGCAATTTCTTTCATTATAAATGCATTCAAAATCTAAGTAGCAGTAGTGACTACTATTTTTTTTTTTTTTTATGTTTCATTTTAAGTACCAAATATGTGTAAAAATATAAACTTGACAACTTTAGAAATGGTGGCACAAAAAAAAAAAAAAAAATCTTCACCAAAACAGTTTTCTTTTTTCCTACAAAATGTCAAATCATAGAGACAAAAATAATGAAAAAATGAATTAAAAAATGTCATCAAACATACAGGAAAATAAAAGACAGAAGATAAATAAAAAATTTTACCTTGTATGGATTTGTCCTCAATTAAAAGTTGACATTGCATATACGGTAGATTCTTGGTTGACATGACTGGATCTCTCCCCATAATTAGAAGAAAAACTCACTAACCCATGCAATAAATAACCCCAGGTTTACTTCTTGACCTGTCTTAGTTTTCATTAATACATAGAATATTTAATCTCATTGGTGAAAAGTTATTATGTGTGCCAAATATCATTTACCAGTGGTTTGTCCTTGGCACAAGAACTAACCAATCAGAACCAAGGGGCAGCGCTCCCCTAATTCCTTAGTCAGTCCTCCCCCCTAGGCAGTATAAAGGTTGGCGCTCACTAACTCCTTAGGCTAGGGTCTACAACTGTGACAAGAATGCCATATAGAGGAAAGGAATATTTGGCCAGCAATACCTGTGTATAATTTCAGATTCTAACAACAAATGATGGTCATTATCTTTACAGTGGATGGAAGGAATGCATAATAATCTGATCAAATGCCTGTTTACCTTGTCTTAAATCTCAGTGAAGACTTTATTCTAATGAAACAATATAGGCGTTTAATCATGATTCTAAACTGTAACTTTGAGGTTGTCTTTTTAATCACCACTGTAAAGTTTTAAACCAAATCTGTGATAATCATCCAAATATCCACTGCTAGAGCACTCATTAGAAAATATTTTTCAGAAGGACATCCCTACTTAATGACTTATCTATTTTTTATTCATTTATGTATTTATAAACTCATTACCTGGTTCTAGCTTTTTTTTTACAAGGCTATGACTGAAACTTACATACTAACATATAATCTCTATAATGTAATCTATACAACAAATATTTACTAAAACATACAATTCCTTAGCCCGTCTCTCTTGATTTGGTATTTATACTTTTTTAAAATTAGTACTGCACTGAATATTCAGTCAAATCATTCCCTCAAAAATATAATTTTCTTATATTATCAAAGATTAACAATTATAACTGTCTAATCAGTATACCACAATGGGTACCCACAAGCAACCCCTGAGCACCCCCCCCCCCCCCCCATAGTGTAATATGGTCATAATCCCACTTACCCACAGGGGTGGAGCTAATGTTGCTGAGATACCACAGACAAACTACAGCAATAAACACATTAAATGTCTGATGCTCTCCTTCCCAACACAGCATGCCCATCACAATGCAATAAAGTAGCACGCTGCATACTTCATGTGACATCCCCACTGTGTGAGCTGATTATCAATTGGCATTCCACCATCATAAAAATGAGCACATCGTCACTGGTAAATGAGACGGGATAGGAATTGTCATCAGCCCTAATCACATCTAGTGTAATGATGTTAGTCATTATAACTGGTCTTTTGGCAGCTGTTGGGGCTAGTTAAGAAAACAACAAATGATAAGCCAATTCGAAACACAAAAGTTTTGTTTATACACACAGCTATGACAAAAAGGAATCGTGAGTTTGTCCCCAACTTCAAATAGTCTAGAGCAGCAACTAGGGTAAAAACAAATGATAACATTATTAAATATCTGTATATCAAATGAACTGCACCTGGACTCTGCACACAAAAGGGAAATTAACGAGTTCTGTCGTTGCTGAGATGACAGTGTTAATAACGGTTCCTTTATGACTGCCGTTATAAAGCCCTTAAGCCAGGGTTACCTTTGTAAACAGAATAATAAACTGATGAAGAATAACAAAATCTGTGACCCACCGAAACAAGATATAAATCATCTTAACTTTTCAATATAAGGTTTCAAAGAGTAGAGGCCAAGCACAAATATTGATGAAGAGGTCATAGAAAATTCCTAACTCGACATATAAATCATCTTTATTTTCCAATATCACTAATGAAGTGGTTATTTACTATCTGTAAGCTAAAAGGTCAATGGCAATTTCCAACCCAACTTTATGTTTACTGTTGATAATTTTTTTTCTGATGAAAAAATTTCAGATAAACATTAAAAGCTTAAAAGTACTTAAAATGCTTCACTTTTAAAAAGTTATTATAGTACACAATAATAAAAGGAAGAACTAAAAAATGAAAATAAAACAATAATAGAGGCCTTTCAGAAATGAACAATTTGTAAATACCTATTACAAATCCAATATACATTTGGACTATTAAACATTAAATAAAAACAGGAAAACATTTATCTATGTATGTTCTAAGATCAGTCCATATTCAGCAACAAAGAAAACTTTTCTTTCATTGGATTGTTCTCCTTTCAAATTGCACAGCCATTACCAAGACTTACTTGGATACTTACAAATATTTTCCTCAATATCCAATTTTCTCAATAGCAGTTACAACATAAAAAATTTTTAAAAAATAAAAAAAAAATCTGACCCATACTGATTGCCATCTCTCAAAGGGGACATTTTCAACATTTTTGCCATGAAAAAAAAAACCTACAGTTAAATGATCTTACCAAGCATTACCCTATCTAGTTCGAACAAAACTTTATTTCACTAGATTATATTAACTCCTTGCATATTCACTTAGAATAAAAATTCAGTTTTTCAGTGTGGAGTAATTCCAAAACTTAAAGGAAAGAGAATTTACAATAGGTAAATCCTAATGTTTATCTAAATTTTCTAAAAAATAATCTTACACTTAAAATTAGATACCTAGAACACACACTTAAGTAGGTACTTGGTTTTCACATTACAAACAACCACTGTAATATCTCAAATATACTAATCCTAAGGTAAAATATATTAAGTCTCTCATTACGCATGTCGCTGTTTGCCAAAGGCTGATCCCTGTTACTACACATAATATATGTGATTTCTATGGCAATGATAAAGCAGTTCTAATATTTAGGAGTAACAGAAATGGTTATTAACCAGTGTCAATGAGTAATGGACATGTCAGTGTGTTAGGTGAGCTGGCACAGAATAATTGTGCTCTGGCATATTCAGTAGATAAATGGTACTATCTACCACAATTTAAGTCGCTACTTCATCATAAATATGATAACACACAACATAACTATACCTTGTATGAAAATGATGAGCTTTCATAAGAAAATAATTGAGATTTCTACATAATCAACATGCCTAGCTGGATTATAACTGAAGAAAATATATTTCAATAAGCCATGAGGAAAACATAACCAAACTTACCTCTTTCCTGCTTTACATTATTTGAAAGTCTGCATGCAGTTCTAATATAGCATTCACACATGCACGCACATGTACATACACTGACTCCAACAAATCAAACTGACATAACAATTTACTTTCAACTTACCCGCCTACAGCAACCTCTCTTGAGAGACCACGGAACAAGAAACTTTGCACTTTTTGGACTTCTTTTGGAAATCAATTCCATCAATACCAATAAATGTATGGTAGAAGTTGTAAAACCCAAGTCATAAATGCATTAAGGCAAGAATTTCAAGCGCTTTCTTTAATTTGGAGAAGGGAAACATAAAGGAGAACACTTTTACATAATAGGGTTTAAGGTAATCTGGCCTTGCCTTAAGAGCCTCAGCAAATCACATTTATAATTCTATTTTTTATGTTACAGTATGGCACCACATGGAGAAATAATGGCAGAATGACTTTCTATATAAAATGTGTGTCTGCAAGGCAAAGTATAAGGCTGCATTAGAAAAACTAAACTTCAACTAATAAACCAGTGACATGACTTGAGAAATTATACCTCATTTTGTTTTTCCATCTCTTCCTTTTGATATTCTGCTTCCTCTTGATCTTGCAGTGCTTGGCCATCAAAGTGCATGCTCGCCCCTGGGTTCATCATGGTCAGGCCTGTGTCCATAGTGGTCAACTAGTGACCACTCTGATGCTTATAAGGGCTAAATTGGATATCTCTTACTAGGCATCTGTAAGCAGAGTAAAGATCTGTTCACAATGAATTTATCACCTAGCTATTGCTCCTCTGTACTGGGACTCTCGCTGAATGTAATGAGATTAGCAGACTGACACACCTCAACTTGTTTCTAAGGGGGCATTCCCATAGATTTTAGATCGATCTATCCCCGTGGGGAGTCTCACTAGATTACTGTCAGATAATCCGGCTTAAATGTCCGTCCCGTCTACTACAAGCTGTAATGGGGTAATTGACTTTCGTACCCGCTCGGCTGACAGCTATGTAGCGTGAACCCCCATGGAGTTAGGTCGATCTAGTTGGATCGATCTTATCTCTGGGAATGGGGTCTAAGGTACTCATATAATCACCAACTTTTCTGTACTCTACTCAACACCATGAGGAGGCATGTTAAACTGTTAATCTGATTGCATTCAGCAAGAGTCCCCATGGAGTTAATGCACAGTTGCTAGGTCCATAAATCAATTGAGAACTAAAGAGTGAGTGAACAGTGACAGCACTGGGTGGGGTGGTAAGCTCATGCCATAGTTAGAATTCACTTAATTAGTTAAAAATCACAATTTAAAATCCCTTGCTGCAGATACAAAATGGCTAGCTTTCATACCAGTCAAACTCATCTCTGGTATTTGGAGGGGAGAAGTGTAGTTACTGGCCGAGGTGGACCCAGGCTTAATAGCACATTGGTAGAGCATTCAAACAGTGAGTGAGTTCGGTCCGCAGTCGAGTTAGGCGTTTTCCCCTCAAACACTTCAAAGCATTCAGATTCACCAGACCTTGGTCATGACATTTGTCAAAGGTCTTTAGATGTTCTGACTGTAGCCGTAGTGATATATAGTAGAAATTGTCGTGCTCAAATGCTTAAGTGGACAGAATGAAAACTTGACTGACTTCGAGTACTAATACGTGTTTTAAAATAACTTTTGTGACTATGTACATGTACTGTGTGGGTGAATGAAATTAATACGCTGTCCCCAGTTTGGATAAGGATTTTGTCTCTAAACAGAGGCACGAAACGCATCACTTCACATAAATAATCACATGCTCCTTATTTATAAAAAAAAAATCAAAAACTAAATATATATCTATATAACTAGCGGGGGGGAACACCAAAACTGTAACAAAACAATACTGACCTACTTCGAAGATGCCGCCTTCTGTGGAATCCCACAATGCAACATCAATATGGATTTACGGACTCTTCCGTTCGTGGGCGGAGATGCTCGTAGGGTGTTTTTTCGCGTTTTTGTGGCTTTATTGTTGATAGTGTATAACATTTACTAAATATAGGAAGACTTTTGAGACAGTTAACCATCCGACTAATTAAGATTGCACTGAAATACTAACAGGTAAAAATGGCTTGATCTTTTATTGCACTCGACTGCTCTGCTGCAGTATTACATGTACTACTTCAAGCACTGGGTTCAAATGTATGTAACTTGGCGTTAATAGGGCTTTTGGGGAGTTTCAAAAAATGAACAAAAATAGCCACAAGATTAATAAGAAAGTTTAAAATGGCGTCAGAGCTCGTAGTTGTATGTGACGTGCCATGAACTGGCTTGATGCAGGGGAACATGAACTTGTTTCTGAAATAAAAAAAATCAAATCCTTTTGGAAGATGTTGACACTCACCGGGTACTTCTCCCGTTCGCAGAAGATCATGATCATCTTCAAAAAGAGGTGCTACCATTAAGGAAGGTTGATTGAGAATTAGATTCAAAATTTGTGGCGTGAGAATCCACTTCTTAGGCACCTGGAGTGCTTTGTAAAATAAATAAATAAATAAATAATTAAAGGAGAGGAGGGGGGGGGAGTGATATAAAATTTAATCCCACAGCTTGATTTTTGTCTTTATAAAACTGAGTTTTCTCATCCCATGGACCTTTAAAATAATACATGTTACTTTTTTATACCAAATTAAAGGTGCATTTTTTTAAAGTTTCATTCCCTCTGAATCTTGATAGCCCAGTTTTTTCCTTTCATTTAAATCGCTGTTGCAGATGCTGTTTGCACATATTCTCTGGTTTAGAAATATATTTTCAATCAGTTTGTTACTTTTGGAGATTTATGTCTAATCTACCTCTTGGCAAATGCATCATGCACATTTGTAAATTGATCTCATGGATTCTAGTTTCCTGTGGATTTAAAAAGCTTGGATTTTTAATATTCTTTATGCATTCAATTATTCACAGATACTTCTGATTCAATGTTATGCTTCAAATATTTATTATTTTTTAATTCTTTTCTTTTCTTCATTTTTGGTGGTCACTTTGTAATTCTGGGTATTATTCATCCTAACCATCACAATGGTGCCTGAATTTTTTTACACCTTAGACGAGTTATGACAGATACCATTAGTATTCAATAAAAGTTTGTATATTAAGGTAACACTAAATATATATATATCAGTCCAACATGTCACTTACTCTACATAAAAGTGATACTGTGGAATGTAATTATTACAATAATTTTCCATCACACCCGGTGGCTATTTATTTTGACCAAGAAAATGATCACCAGTGTCAGTAGTGTCCCCTGTATCTTTAGGATGAGTTTTGAGAGTCCCGACAAAGAAGACTTCCCTGGGTTGTATTCCACTCAAGGACGTTCCCAGGAACCTGAACAAGGTAAGAAAAGATTTTTTTATTAAATAGACAAAGTTGGGATCTTTTTTTTCGGCAGGTGAGGTGGACTTAGATCCAATAATTATTGAATGAAGTCCCTTGTTGTGGTCATACGTAATTCAGAAACTTATATGATTTTATTTTTTAAGACAAACTAAAAAAGTTATCATAATAATTATTATTATGCATTAAATTTTTTCAATATAGCCAGTTGATATAAATAAGTCTTTCCATCGGTATTTTATGAGAGATTCTACCATATAATAACTAAACTGGCAGTTTAACTGGCTTTCAAAGGTCTGCTTCCACTGAAAAACCTGTATGTACTAAATAACCAATATAAATTGCCCCTGCTGAAGATGGGGGGGGGGGACTTTTAGTCGTTCTCTTCCCTAAAAATGGGGATATTAATTATGATAATTAAACTGTTAATCTCTCAAAGCATACTGTTACACATGGAATGCTAAGATTGAATGCTTGATGTGAAAATACCTTATGTGTTATTTGGTATATAAACATCTGTACTCTCTAGGGATTGACTACAGGTAGTGAAAGACAGTTCAATAAATTTCTAAATTTTCATAAGGAAGTAATGTGGGTCAGTGTTAGCTTTTGTCTTATTATAACAAGACCACTCTCTAATGTTGCTATTTTCGGACATTTATTTATTTATTTATTTATTTATTTATTTATTTATTTATTTATTTAATGGTCTATATATAAACCTTTCTGGAGTCCACTATGAGTTATGGCATTTTTTATTCATAAAATTTATGTATAAACATAGAGCGTATTCTAACCTACTAGTATGTGTTTACTAAATGGTAAATTAATCCCTACAGTGTAATTTTTTACACACTAGTTTAAATTTGAATGCCATACACATATATTATAAGATTTGAATCATACAGTGTTTTTGTCAGCCATATTAAACATGTTGATTTATGTTATACCCTGTAGCATGTCACAGAACAATAAATGAACAGTCAGACTTATGCTTAAGACTGTCATTACATCATATATAGTGATTAAGGTTGGGCTTTCTTTTAACCATGGCTGCAGTTAAAGGTATGGGCTCGGCAGGCTGGTATTGCTGATTTATTTTTTTACTGGAGGTTTTGTTTTTTAGCTGTACTGTATGTAATGGCTAAATCACGTTCTCCTTCATGCAGTGATTTGTTTGTAAGAACCTGACCATAGTCAAGTAGGAAATAGGTGACCTGTAGGTATATGAATAATGTGGTTTGAAATCAAGTTGTTTTGAAATGGTGTGTCCTAGTTTTGGAAAAACAGATGATGTTTTTGAATTTTGTTAGCTGTTATTTGATTCAAGTAACTCTAAACCACAGGTTATTGGTTTGCAAATGTTTGTTAGAATGTCACAGTTTGTATATAATCCTAATATTTCTCAGCATCAGATGACGACGCTGACAAACTAGGTAAGAAGAAAGACTTTGCCAAGAAGAAGGATAAGAAAGAGAAGAAAGACAAAGGATATAAGATGTTTGAGGAAGACAATTCAGAGGAAGAGCTAATGGTGGAAGATACAAAGTAAGCCCAAATCAGAAGTTTGCATACATATGTTCTGAACTTCTCATGATTTAATCCTTTAGTTGAACCATGCGTCCTATCTTCCAGTTTGATAATTAAGCTTTTTAGCTCTCATACATGTATCTATGCTGCATGATACTGAGTGTGTGTTGGTACTATCATAGAATGGGTTTAAGGGTACTTACGGGTTTAATTATCATCCAGATACCGAAAATGAGTTTTTTCTCCATCTAATTATTCAGTAATGCATCTAGCTTTGTGCTTATTTAAAGCAATAGAAATTCCCTCAAAAATATAAAATATTGGCATTTATATTTCTTGTTGCTATGCATTTAAGCATAGGCAACTTAAAGCTTTTATCTTCAATTTACCACCTTTCTATCTTGAGGTGAGATAGCAATTGGTATGGCGCATAACTTCATTCCTGGACAAGATTTTTTGTCATCAAAATTTGATAGTTGACCACAAGTTTATGGGCTTCAATCCCATGCTGTCATTTTGGTTAAATGTTTTTGTTATGGAGTTATGAGCCCCTAATTACAGATTTTCATCAAACAAAGGCATTTTTTTTCCTTTTTTAATGATAAAATCTGAACTAAGGCTTTAAAGAAAAAATGCTGGAAGGGTGTCATTAAATTGCTGTTGGAACAGTGGTAAGATAAAGAAAAAATTTGAGAAACCAATTTTTTTCATTTTAACCGAAAATCGCAGTCATGATGTCACGAGTGTAAATGTTAATTGATTTAGTCACTAAACACTGAAGATTTATCTGTTATCCCAATCTAGGAAAGTAAATAGGAATTGTTGGCAAATGCTTACAGTATCCTTAAAATTGAATGAGTAATTATTGATTTTGCATGGCTATTGCAGAAATTGAAAACAATAAATAAAAGTAAAAGTAATAAAATAGAGAAAATTCATGTTGGCATATGTCATATTTGACCCTTATATCCAAGGGATTACTCTGTAGCTGCTACCACTTTCTGATTGATAGAACATTACATGTACATATATGCTGAAGCACTGGTATCTATAGTGATTTTGTCTGATGAAACAAGGACATTGTTGCGATTTTTATGTAATATGGGTTTAATTGTCCATTAGTTTGTCCTTTCCATTCTCTTCACAAGAAGGAGATTAGAGTACTGTTTGATCCTCTTTCCATACTACAACTTTTTTGTGACTACTGTATAAACATTTCACTTTGTGTATCTACTAGGAGTCCATTTAAGGGAAAGAGACTTAGTAAACCAAGCTTTAAATTTGCGAAGAAAGAAAAGAAAGAAAAGTTCAAGGATAAAGAAAAGGTAACTGCATTTCCCAAAGAAAATATATGTCATATATATCTTATATGCCTGCTCAATTCAGATTGATTTAACCATTGTTTAAATTATGTATAAAATCACTGTTAGGGGTTATTTTTAGTACGTATTAGTGAGCCAAGGTATGGTATTAAATATTGTGAAGTAGATGTACATATGAGTAAAGGTAGAATAAATGTCAAATCAATGTTCTTGTGCAATTTTTTTTGTCTTTAAACAGATTATCAGACTCTTTAAATTGAATACAATTGGACGAACAATATTTTCCTTTCAAAATCCTGAGTATCTGAACTTAGATTTAAAGTAAGGAGATTGATGATTTTTGTAACCCAATAGAAGCATATGGTTTGTTGAGATCCTCATAAGTACTGTTTTCTCTCATGGTAATAATGTATTTCCTGGGAATCCTTAGTAAGCTGATAGTTTAATAATGTTACCTAGGCATTAAGAGCCCCCAGTTCAGTTTCACAGGATAGATGGCATTGATTTTGTCACAGGGTTCTTGCTATCTTACTATTGTATGAAGGTCCAGGTAATCAATACTACTTTGTGGGCTTGGAGTAGACTTCCTTTAGTCTGTATCATTTGCCAAGACTGCAATTTACCATTAAACTGACTCGAAAGTGGTGCAGGATTAACAGTGAAAGTAAAATGTTCTTCATTCGTACTTTATTCAAGGATAAAGATAGGGACAAGGAAAAGAAAAGAGAAGAACGGAAAAAATTGAAGAAATTAGAACTGTGGAAAAAGCCAAAGGCTGTGGAGACAACTGAAGGTGATTTAGCTCTATTGTATTTAAATCCTGGCAGGGTTTTTGTTGCAATATTTTATTAAGGGGCTAATGTATTTTCATGTTAATCAAGTCTCACTGAGGAATAAGTCGTGGCTTTATATATGTTTATTTATATTTTGTTAAAATCTCCCCCTAACCTTGGTTTTTCGTGGCTAATGCACATTTCTTCATTGTAGCTGACTTGAAGCCAGTGTTTGGAGTCCCACTTCAAGTAGCATGTGAGAGGAACAAGTCTCATGATGGCATCCAGCTGCCAGTGATATTCAGAGAATGTATAGACTACATTGAGGAACATGGTAACCACAGAAAACAAATAAAAATTCACCCAAGGCTTGTGAAAAGAAACCAAATTATTCAGTATTATTGTTATTTTACTAATGCGGATTACTTACATTGGAACATAAAATATTTAGGAAACAACTATGTTTGCTTGTTTTTTTCATCAAATATGCTGAAAAATGTCTGTAGTTGAGGAGAGAAAATACAATTCTGCATTACATTCCTACAGGACTTTCTTGTGAGGGCATCTACAGGATATCTGGGGTGAAGTCCAAGATCCAACACCTCAAGGACAACTACAACAAGGGTCTGCCAAGTTACCTCCATGAACATGAGCCAAATGTTGTTGCCAGTTTGCTGAAACAGTTTCTGAGGGAGCTTCCAGACCCAGTTCTGACTACGGCAGATATGCCAAAGTTTGAGGAGGCCTCTAGTGAGAATTTACTCTGTTATTTCCAGATAATTTGAATATACCGTACAAAGATACTCATTGTTTGTGTTCAAGGCATCTTTGCTTAATTTACGTTTACTTTTCCACTAATATTCCTTGAAGATAATATACGGCACACCTAACCTGTATATGTCAGCAAGTACCTGTTAAATTCATAGTTGACTACAAAATCTGATTTAAAAAATCTGCAGATTGTCACATTTCCAATTTTTGCTCTCCTCACTTAAAACTTTAATGCATCTCATGGCCATGTTGGTGTATGGTTGTGTTGTGATTGTTTTAGTGATAAAGCAGCCCAAACAGCAAGTGGAAAGGTTGAAAAAGTTGATAAGTGAGCTTCCAGAGTGCAATCGACTCCTGTTGTCCTGGATGATGGTCCACATGACTCATGTCATACAGAGGGTAAGGCACTTCTCATATAGAGAGCTCTTACTTCAGATTGTATTACAATAACAACAATACAATAAGCTTATTTCCCCCTTATTTTGAAGAGGTGCCCATAGCAAGATGTAGATCAAGAATTCAAAATTGCCAAATAAAAGTGTGATTCTTATTTTAAATATTTGTAAAATGAAATTTTGACTAAAAATGTAAAACTTTATCTAGTTAATGACAACAAAAAAGAAAGGAGACTAACATATCTGTTGTTGTATTGCAGGAAAAAGACAACAAAATGACTCTACAGAACGTGTCCATAGTTCTCAGTCCCACCATGAAGATCAGCCACAGAGTTCTCAATGTGTTGTTTTTGCACTGGAAGGAACTATTCAGAGATGTGGTCATTAAGAAGTGAGCATTTTGTTTGTTGTATCCTGTTTGTAAACACCAGCAATTTTTCCTAAGTTTTCATTCAATATGATGCATTTACATTGTGACATGTTCGAATATACTTGTTTGATTCAAGAATAGTTTAATTAGTGTTAATGTTATGAACTCAGCATCAAAACAAGCAACTCTGCTATTTCATTTTCAAATTTTCTGAAAATTCCATAGTATTTTTTGAAATTCCAAAACCCACCTCATTTAAAATATGCCTCATATTCCTGCCCATCTTTCTAGACATGTCCCCCCACTGAAGCCAGCAACTTCCCGCTGGTCTCTGGAGCTCCCGGACGACCCAGGTCAGATAGAGGACGAGCTTCGTAAACAGGAGTCTGTACTGGAACAGCTGCACAAAGATCTGAAGAAAAAGAGTGATCCAGGCAAGGAGGAACAGCTCTGGGAAGTACAGCGAGTGGTCACCCAGCTGAAGAGGAAAGTGAGTTGATTCCTTTATAACTATGTAAACCATCAGTGCTACATGAACATAAAAAGATAATAATTGATTTATTAAAAGAAGAAATCTGCTCAGCATGCTATATATGCCTGTTGACAGTCAAGTCGTGTTGATTTGATTCTGTATGGCTCATCTCAGCAGGTGCTCTAATTAGCTAACCATAGGAAGAAAATAACTAGCCATTTAAGCTATACATATTGTTTTAAGGTATGATAATAAGATTATCGTAAGATGATTTCTTATCTCACAGCTCAAGCATGCTCACAAAGCTACAGAGGCTATTGCTGCATCCAAGGAGACCAAGGAACGAGTGTCGCAACAACAACAACAACAACAACACCAGCAGCAGAAAGCTTCCCATGTGAAACACAAGGCCCCTCAGCCCCCTCAGTCACACCAGAGAACAGACTCTGGGGATATTGAACTGAAACTGGACCTGCAGAAACCAGCCCCTGTGCCTGTTGCTGAAGAACCTGAAGACAAGGTAAAGACTATACAGAAACCAGGGGCATGTTTCGCCTATGAACTTCAGACCAGAAGTTGGCCTTGAAGGCCAATATTTTATTTAAACTTTTAATTTAACCGTTTCAGACTTAAGTAAAATTGTCTATAGTAAGTATAATATGATGGTGGTCAATATGCTTATGAACCATTAGGGATAAGTTCAGTTATAGTAAGTGGACTGTATTCAGTTAGAAAAGATGAAATAAGCTGTTTTATTTTTATGCAACAGGTTCCTACTAAAGGACAGGAAGTGAAAGAAGCAGAAAATGATGCAGAACTGAAAAAGGAAGTTAAATTGTCAGCAGAATCAATACCAAAGACTATGGAGGTTCTCCAGGAATCCAAAATGGAGGTGCCAAAATCCCAGGAAAGGGGACCTCAACTTGAAGCAAAGGAACTAAAGGAGATGCCACAGCCCTCAGAAACCAAGGAAGAGGTAAAAGTACCTGAGGTGGAAGAAGATGAAGCAGCAGCTCATGGAGAAACACCTCCCAGTGAACAGAAAACTGCACAGGATAATACTGAAGAAGAAGAAGAGTCAGTGGAATTGCAGAAATCTGAGATAGCTTTGGAAGTAAAAGGTAAGGTTCACTTACCATGCAGCCTTTTTGAGTGACCTTTAGGTTGTGACTACCTGTGTTGTTGGAAGAGACATTTGTGGAACTGTTGTAAAAGATACTGTTTAACAAATCTTAAATTGCTTTCCCACGTTATATCAGGTATTAGTGAGGTATTGGGTTAATGATGGCCTTTCTTTAATTTGAAAGTATACATTTTTTTAAAAATTTACTCAGAGCATGATAGAAGACCTAATCTTATTGGTCAGTAAATGCAAATATCTTTCCCTCGTATATATTATTGCTTCAGAAGTGGTGTCCACTGAAAAAGAACAGATGGCAGACATTCCTGAACAGGTCAGTAAGGAAGATATGGATTCCACACCTGATGCTGAGGAGAAGACGGAATCTGAGGTGGAGCTGGAACAGATACATGGCATGGACAATGCTGCCTTTAGTGAGACTACTCCAGCACAGATGGCTGTAGTTGCTCCCAAGGACATCACTCATGGCAATGAACCAAAGCAAATTCAAGAAAAAGGAAGTGGTTTAAAGACTGAAACCAAAGTGGTTAAAAAGGTTAGTATAAAAACTGTGCAAGAAGTGCCATCTGAAAAGGATGTGGCCAAGGAAACAAAAACGGCACCAGTTGTTGCCAAAAAGACAGTGGAGGTCACCAAACCAGTGCCAGCACCTGAGGACAAAACAGACAAACAAAAACAAGGTGGACCAGCAGCGAAACCAGCCATGCCATTACTGCAGCCTGTTATTCTCCATGACCAAAAGGATCATTCCAAAGAAATCCACAAGAGGGCAGCACTGGAGCCTGAAGAAGAGGACCTCATCCTCCATGTAGAAGGGTCTAGTTCTGGGATCACAGCACAGTCTGCTTACCTTGCAGAATTTGAAGGTATATGTATGGGTAGGGCTATCAGGGCAATCCCCCCCCCATGGACAATACCCCTGCCTGTAATAATTATCATATTGAGAAAAATTATAAATGCCTGCATTTAATCAAAATGCATCTCCAATTAGAGGTGGGTAAAACACATATCTCACCCATCCAGATATCTCTTGATAAACTAACTGACACTTTTAATTGTTTTACCCATATTTGATCCTCGGATCTGTTAGTCCACTGTTCTGAATGTGCTCTAAGTAGGGAATACAACTGCTCAATATATTCTACCAGTCTACTTCATGCACATGGCATGAACTGCTGTAATATTTTAAGATGAGTTATTAATAGTCTTGGTAAATGCCATATTGAATATAGAAAATTATTTCATTGAATATGTTATATTATAGTATTCTATCTTTTTTATAACAGGAAAGAGATTGTTTATGTACCAGACCAATACTTATTTTATGTAGATCAATCACTAAAGGTTTTTCTTGAAGTGAAGTAGACTAAATTTGAAGCTGTAAATTTAAACCAACTTTTAAACTTAATTTCTGCGTTAAAAGGGGCACATGACAAAAAAATCAGCAATGAAGTTTTGCTTTAAATTTTTATTTCAGCTGCTTCTGATGATATTAGAGAACTACTTGAAGAGGAAAGAGCTCTTCAGTTGGAAGAAGAGGAACTGTTGGCAATAGGTAAAATCTTTTTTGGAAATAAAAAAAAAAAACTTTCTGAAACTACTTAAAAGTGTTATCAATATTATTGAAAATTGTGCTGTGGTAAATTTTTTTTGATCACTCTGACATGGTTAATTTTTTTGTTACTGAATACAAGGATTTATTGTGCGTTTTTTTTTTTTTTTTTTAATTTTTTCTAGTATTTTTAGTAGTAGCAGTGTAAAACGGATTTAACATGTTAGACCTTTCATTCAGATTCAAAGGACAATTTTTTAAATTTAGGTGATGAGTTGAGGAAGAAGATTGAGACAGAGCAGATAGAGATAGAGCGTCTCCAGCAGGAGATCGAGGAGCTGGAAGAGTTACGACAGGACTCTGCAGAGACCAATGACTACAGTTCTGATAGCGACAGCAGCTCCTCGGACAGCGAGGATGAGGAGGAGCTCCAGGAGATGTTACAACAGCTAATACAGGAGAATGATCATCTCAAGGTTTGTGGTTTGATAACAAAATGATTTAATCATTTTAATCCAAAACCCAGTTATTACCTCTGTTTTCATTACCATTTGTTTGTTTGTGTACAGCATTATGCAAAAAGAAATGGATTCATTTTGATGAAATATTTACGATAGGTCATAAATGGCCCAAGGAAGAAATGATTAGATTTTGGTGATGATTAATCAAGTAATAAATTTAGAAATGGTTAATTATCAGTGCAATATTTGTTTATTTATTTACTTATTTGTTTAGTTTATTTTTTGTTTTAACCTGTTCAAACTGATTGTTTGATTGAACTCAGTTCCTGATTATTATTACCTTCTGTCATTTTTAGATGAGAAATAAAGAAATGTGTCAAAAAGTACATGAAGAAAGACAGATCTGCTTGGAGGTCAAAGTTCAAATCAGAATGCTGCAGCAGAAGACTGGCACATATAGTGCGGATGCCCTGCTCACCCTGGATGAGATGGACTATACCATGTAGATTATAACACATATAACTTATATTTATTTCATAAACTGAATATTGTCTTAGAGTGATCCAAGGGTGTTTCAGCAACTAGATTTAAATGGCCAGTTGTTAGAATTTATAAAGAATGAACAGATGAACATCAAACTGGAATATGTTTCCAGATACTTTCAATTTGAGTACTCAACCAAATTGATGTTTTATTATAAGGGATGTGTATACATGTTTAAGTTTGAAATGACACTTGGTGCTCTGATATTCAGTCAAAGTATTACAAACTGTCAGCTGTATGTTACAATAGAAATGTGCAATAAATGTTTGTGGATTTCAAAAGAAATGATGGTGCTTCATGAAAGAATTTTTTTTATCTTGGAATATGCATGTTTGATTTTGTACTTGGTGCAAAAGAATTAGTGTTTTATTATAAAAATTTATACCTTACCAGCTGTAGATTGTTTCAATATGTACAGTAATGGTTTTGTTAACAATTCACATGAATTTTTAAAAAAATTATCTAGCCCCCCTGCTCCTGTGGAGCTTTTTGAATCCATATAAAGATGGAATTTGAGGCATCAGTGATGAGATAAAGGTGTGTAAAGACATTCCTTGTGAATGACGGGTGTGGCAGATTGATTTTGATCACATTTTGCATAAATCTGAAAATTGTCGATTTTGGGTGATTTTTATAGGGCCGGATATGGCAGTTTTTTTCGATTTTGGAGAAAAATGAAACGTTATTTAGGATCTTTATAGTGACAAGTAGGTGTGTTTGGTCATTTGTAGTTAACATTAGGTATGGGACTGTGGTTTTGTTAACATTTAAGATGAAATAGAGCAAAAACTCCATCCCCACTTTCCCCCACCTTTTATGGTTGAAGAGGACGACAATGCATTACAAAATATGAATCAATTATTTTCCCTATTAGATTAAAAAATTTAAAGGAGTTATTCATCTCATGTAAAGTGCATTTTCCCAAAACAAGGTTGCGAATTAGAGCAATGGATTAACACCCATTGTATTAACACAGAATAGGAAGTGACTCTAAAGTTCCAAAAGCCTAAATTACCATAAAACAGAGCATAAAGTCCTCATTTGTTTCCTCAAAAATCAGTAGCTGATATAAATCCATAACAGTGATTCCTAAAGCAAGTCGGAAATATTGAAGCCAACTGAGATACAGTCATCAGTAACCTGATTCACCCCTAACAGTTGACTGATTTAACTTAAATTAGGATGTGAAGCCATGACTAAAGTTGCTCAATCCTTTTAAAACTAAAAACATCCTGTAGAAAGAACATGATTACAGTTCATTTACATATTCAGTTAATGTAATTTTAACTTGGACATCTAAATACATTAATTATACTCTGAAATACATGTATGACTTGATTTAATAGGAAGTTTCCATAATAGTGTAATTAATGTACATATGTATTCAGATATAATTTTGAGACATCTAATACAATTATACTATACTTTGACATATAACTTGATCTAAAATAGCAATTTTCTAAAATTAAATGTGGCCATGAAATCACTTCTATGATACATTATTTATCATTGCATCAAAATTGATAAATTGACCTGTTTTTGGCCTCTTTATTTTCTGCCTTTTGTCTGTACATATGTCACGGTTTTGCTGCTGTGTTATTCCTTGCTATATTGTTTATGACTATATCCCAAACGTATGCCCTCTATTTAATGCTTTGACCCAGTGCCCAGTGCTCTTACCATTCAAAAGAATGTTTTGAGGAATGATGCAATAACCCATATGTGCATGAGAAAAGAAATGAGTCAATTGTGTTTGCCTGTGCATGCATGTTTTTTTGTCATTTATTTTTTATCATAAACACAAGTGAATGATAATAATTTTGATAATAGTGGCTTTACATCCACTATTTGCGTACCCTTACAGGTTATCAATTGTCAGCATTATTGTTCCTAATGTGTATCCTTCTTTTGTTTGTCATTTTAGTATTGTAAATAACACTGTCATGTTGACCCAGTGCCACGATGTAATCTAACCCCTGGTATACTCTGGCTAGTTAAATGTTTCTTCGCATCTTTGTAATCATTAAATGCAGTTAAAAAACAAATTCCTGTTGTTTTAATCTCTGATAAGAGAGGCCTTTAGCAGTAAAGCTGGCTCCAACTGGATTGTTTTATTACACAGGTTCATTGTACATTCATACAATGAGCTTGTCTCATGCATGACATGACATTTACCGAATGGGTCGTGTGCTTGTTATGTTTATTAAGGTGTGTGCCAATATTGAATAAAATGCACCTGTGGTCTCTGCCTGACTTTCCCCTGTCCTCCCTAGCAGAGGCACAGTATTTTGACTAAACTTTACATATGCCTTCCTTGCATGAGGATTCACATTTTTCCTATCCAGCCATCCTTGCATGAGGATTCACATTTTTCCTATCCAGCCATGCGTTATTTCAGTAATCAAATGTCAAATCTGACCAAACTGTGTCTGAGTATGTTGTTATTGAAGATGTTATGAAACTGCTACCAAATCTGTTTTATGGTGCATCTTTTAATCAAATAATAAGTTTTTTTTCTTTGTGCTGATTTGTTCATTTTTAATTAATGTTCTTTTTAATGTATATTTTAATATGGGTTTCATTGTTATTGTTTAAGATGTCATTATTATTGTTATTATTATTTGTAAAACTTTGCAGAAAGCCATTTGTTTAAAGATATTGTAAGGCTAAAATGTGCCATGTGAAAAAGAAAATGAAAACTCAGTTCTGATGGAAGGAAAGTTGAAATATGAGATTGAACAAAAAGAAAATTCTTTGGGCTGGGAGAATGATTGCAAAGAATTTCGGACAAGCCAACCCAAAAATTTGAAATTGATCTATGAAATTGCATATCTTATAGAGATTACAAATTGTAGTTGTGATTTTCATTAAAATTTTGCATGGAGAGGTTTTAGAAATACTATCAGTATTTGTTTTAATATTGTGTTTTACAGTACCTCCTTTACCTCTAACCATTTTTATAACCAATTAACAGCAAATTATATATATATCAGAGGTGTAATCAGTGGGCATATATATATAAAGGTAAGAAGTCAACTGTGTATTATTCAGCATGCATAAGACTGAAATTCAGTCCAGCTTTATTTGCAACCAGGTTGACTGAACGCATAAAGGTATATCATCTCAAACAAATTTGCCCACACAAGACCTATTGAAGGCAAAAGCTTTTGACTGTGAACTTTTTTATTAAATGCTTAGATTAAAAAATAATTAATTTATTGCTAAAAAATCTTTTCTGTGGACAATAATGATAAAATTCTTAGTTACATACCAGAAAAAACTGGAACGTAATGTCTATAATGGTAAGCAGTGTGCTGCACACATGAAACCCAAACTATGTCAGCTGACAGTGATGTGGCACATGTTTCGCTAATAACGTGAATTGGTTCAGGTGACATGTGAACAGTATGACATTGGGTCACAGGTATGACATACACCTGGGCTATAGAGAGGTTATTGTCCTGGGGTTGGTGTTCACACAGTAATGTAGACTAGAATAACTGAATATGTTGATCTACATGCTATGTATATAATAGTTTTCAAACCAGTACCAAAGACCCAGGACTATGTTTTATAGAAAAACTTAAGTCTGAAAACAGGTCTAAATTTTAAGACCCAAAAATTAGTCAATTTTACCAAGAGAAACCAGAAGTAAACAATTTAAACAAATTATTGTGCTAGCTAATACTTTAGACCAACTCAATCTTTATTTTATCCAAGTGGACTGCTGAGAATTTATCTCAAACTGAATAGACTAATCTTTTGATCTTAGAGTTTAATTAGAGTTTACTTAAAAGCCAAAGTTCTTTTGTGAAATTGGACCCTGGAAGAAAAACATTTGATGTTTTATCTGTCTCCGTAGATCATATTTTTTTGTTGGAGAAGTAAGACGATAGGGTGGTTGTTAGGTTTAAATAATTCATCTTTTGTGTTCATTTTTAAAGAGGTAACAACTGTTCATTTTGGCCAAAAAACGGATTTTCCTGGGATAAACGACAATTTTCCCATACCAACCAATGGTTAATAAATCCATTCCAACGTTCAAAGTTAGTCCATACTTTTTCTTCATTGTGGTTTTTTTGTAATAATCTCTTAAGAAATAATTACAAAGGGTAGACATCTGTAGAGGTATCATGGTCCAATGGCAAGCACAGATTCCAGAATAATTGCAATTACTGCCATTTTGGTGGTAAAATATAACTTAATATATATTTCTAAAAGTTGCTTACAAGGTATTTATTGTGAAATATGAATGTCATGTGAAGAATAGTTATCCCTTTAACTTCAAAATCTTTTATGCAGTCAGAAATATCTAAACATGCTTTTTAGGTTAAAATCAAATCAAGATACTTTTTATATGCAATTAGACATTGCAAAACAAAAGCATATAGCTATCATTATTGAACAGAATGAAAAGGATCTCAGAAGACTTTATAAAAACTCATTCATTCAGATTACTTTAAAAATTATAAGTTTATCAAAGTATAAAACTACTTAAAGTTAGTACCTTGGTTATGAAAAGTACATACTATCATACTATGTTGGTATCATAGTTTGAAGTTTAGGAAGTTTAGAATTCTGGGCATCCAAAGGATTTAAATTGATCTGTTCTGATAGATGGTCTATATATCTATACAGTTTTTGCTGTTGGTGATTTTTAGACTTGTCTTATTGACAGTAGGAAAATAAAATGGTTGTGGCAGCTTGGAACTGTTTCATGATTCAAATTTTCAGGGCATGACTTTTTGTTTGGATGGATTTCTTCTTGTCAGTTTGGTCAGGTGCCAAGGCTGGTAATTCCAGTGGCAGTTTTATAATGGCCATAAATAAGAAGACTGAATATTTTTTTTAGATTTTATGCCACCCTTCTTGTGAACATTGATTTAATATGCTGAATTGAAGCCACTCGGGCCATGGTCAATGGTGAGGCTTCAAAAAAATTATCAACTACAGTCTTCACTCTGTTTTGATTTCTAGAAACCATTCTCTCTGCTATTTGGTCCTTGAATTGTGATGGTCAACAGCGGTCAGCACATGTTGAGCCAAAAGTTCAAATTACAAAGCCTTTTGGGGTCAAATTATTGTATTGAGATTTAAAAAAATACTGAGAGGAGATATTAAAAATCATGTTGTTAGTAAAAGATGTTGATTTATAGCTGGAGTTGTTAATTTATATTTGATAAAATTAAGAAAAAAAATTAATGTTTTTGTAGACTGGATGCCACCTGACCTAAACAAGATTTTGCCAAGATAACTACAAAAAACAAAAGTAAATCTAGTTTCAAATACTACTTTATTTGCTATTTACAAACTCATTACAATAAAATCTCTTCTGAACATCTAAACTGCTCTTCAAACCAGTTGGCATATACAAAAGTGCCATGAATCTCAATGAAGATTACAGCCATTAACTATGCGCATGTAAAAGGCACCAACTGGCAAAATATTTGTGATGAATTTCAATCCTTGTGCAGCCATGCATATAGTTGTAAGGAAGTAGCAGATGCATGCTCTCTACCGTGACTAGTACCCAGTATTTAATACTGTGCTAATTTCACACATTCCATCTACCTAAACTTAAACAGTACAATATGTTATATGATCTAAAAATTTACAGTTTTTCTATTGCGTGTACTGAACAAGTGTATGTGCAGTCCATCCTCCTGGATTATGTGAGTGACCTAAAACTGTGACTACCTAATAATGCATATTCTATCTTGATCACGACAGCGTACTGTCTAACATGTCATAAACAATAAGGCACAAAACTCATCATATACAACTTGGAATGAATATGATTAAAAAACTTGTTCGCCTCCTACAGCATTTGGTATATAAGAATTCTATGTAACTAAAACAAAAAAGACTACTCAACTGCAGAGTGATAACTCAATTGCATTCAACAAAAAGTGAATACATTTGTATATGTTTTCATATTCAGTTGCCTTGTGTGCTTATGATTATTGAAGACTGCCAAAAATAATATTTAAAAAGACAAGACTGGGTCAAAAAACCATCCATAACTGCATGTATAAATTCATACCATTATTATAAAACCATATCAACTGTGTGTACATGTGTGGGCATGTGCATGGAAGTGTTTCTTAACTACACAAGTTCATTAATAAAGTAAAACATTCCCCCCTCCTCCAAATTCCCCGTGGCAACTCTCTAAAGCGCAATAAAAGCATACACAACTGCTGCCTTGTGAAAACATTTCCTCTTGAACTCTTCTATATATAGCTGCCCTGTTAAACAAAAAAGCTGGGTCAGTAGGAATGCAATCCGTATTTACAACTGACTTTTAACAGAAACTATATGTTCACAACATTATCATATAAACTGCCATAATAATTCAGGCACATAATCTTATAAAAAATAAACTTTTCAATATAACCACTTTTCTCATCAATCTAATATGGCATTCATGAGTTGTCCTTGGAGTAATGGCATATAACCTTTCTTGTGACACTGACAAACATTTTCTCCTCTTTTATACTTCAAGGTTGCAGGGTGAAGGTTTATCTATGGCATATTTATTTGCAAGGAGTCACCTGTGACTCTTATTTTATCCAACAATTTGGTGTGATCACATTTCATCAGTACGAAGGGAGCTGCAGCTGGGCAATCTCCACCATGATAATGCCTAGTTGTTCTCTGGCACGTGTCCATCATATGTGTAGCCTCCCTGTGTGAAAGAATTTAAAAGAAACATTATGAAATTGAAGATTGAAAAAAAAAATAGATTAGTCAATCGTATCATTTTGATTGTTAAAGACAGTATATGGCTTAAATAGGATATTTAAGTATGGTATTAAATTATAGCTAAAGAGTACAAATTTCAAAACCAAACACTCCTTTTTAATACATAAAAATCTTTGTCATTACATTCCACTGTTTTCTGTAGTATCCTAGAACCAATCTCACCAGTAATGGTTTTGAGAAAAGTGGAAAACGTAGAAAAATAGATAATCAAACTAAAAGATGCATACCAGTATTTAACACAGTAAACAACCAATATCAGTGCACCTTTACTTTGAACAGTGCTCTAAATGTTGCCCAACCTTTCTGCTTACATAAACTTAGAACAACTGGTTTGAGCCCAAACACATCTGCATGCCGAAACCTGGAATTACCATAGTTTAATCTTACCATAACATCATTCACTGCGTCCGTGAACTTGCAGAAAGGCGTTCTTTCTCCATACTTGCTGTAGAAGGTGACACGGGAGTTGTGCTTGTGTCCAGTCCTCTCGTCAAAACACTGGCACATGTCAAAGGCAGGACAGTAGAGGTGAAGGCTCACAGCAGTGTCAGAGTGACTGGGGTTTTCTATGCGGTGTAGACCAAGAGAATCTGTGGAAGAAAAATAAACAATGTTATTAAAAACGCACACTTATTGCAGCTCTCAAAAAATACAGCAAGAAACGAATAACAGAAATTCTGTACTAGCAGCAGGAAAAAATCCCTAAGTTCTAGAAAAAGTGTACACACACACACACACACACACAAAAAAAAAAATCTGGATATATATAGTGCACTGTTTCTTTTACCAAACTAGACTAGCATAAGTATTTCTCAATTAACAAACAAGGCTAAAATATCAAGAAAATACTTTAACCTAGAGTAATGTAAGAAGGTCATGTACTTTTAGATCTTTTGTTGATTTCTCCAAATACTTTGCACAGCACCCACAGAGATCGTTCCAGAAATGCCAAGGACTTCAGAATGTGACCTGATGATGAAACGCTTTGTGCTTTCTTAGCAGTACTATCTGTACTATTCTCCACATTAAACATACAGATGAAAACAGATGGTAAAACTCCACCAGAAATAAAACTAGTCATCATTTATTCAGTTTATTACAGAGCTAACATTGAGTCAAATGAGAGTTTTAAAAAATTCAGAACGCATGCATTAACCTCTTTCTATACCTTCAAGGTGCCCTTCCCCTATCTCAGTGCTATTGATAATGATAACATCTTCACCTCTTTTCCAGGCACACAGACACTTCTGATGATCATATAAATTTGCAAAACTTTAATTTTATTTAAATATGAATCTTACTGGGTTTCTTCAACACAGTAGTTAAAAACTATTAAATTATTTGGTTCACGGATCATGTGTATGCATAATATATCTACTCCATAATGTCTTCTGCCATGAACTTTTTAAATGGAAATAAATATGGTAAGTACTTCAAACATAATGCCAACTGTTGCTGGACAGATACTACCAAATACTGCTTATATCTCATTCATAAATTTCATTCAAATTAGATCTGATATGAAGATTGCATAGGCTTGTAATACTTTGTAATGTAAATTGGCACTTAAATTGTCAACCTTGAGGAATATTTATGAAACATGGGTATGAACTAAGTCATTTCTGTAATCACTTTACAACGTGACTAAGGAGTTCAATGACACTGAAGCATCAAATGTTGAGTGATCCACCCAGGCACAGGCTTGACAGAATAACCCTAATCAAAACATCTTATCCAGGTAACACAAAACTTCAGCCTTGTAAACATGTTTATATTGCCATCAAAGAATGAAAACAATCTCATTTCAATAAGATAATTATGCAAAATAATTTTAAAAATTGATCCAATCCTGGTCTATTTAATTCACATGGGAGCTTGAAGACATTTTCATGATAGGGCTGCATTTTACTTTCATGTAATTGCTTTGCCAATTTCATAAAATAAAAGTAAGCTTCTGCAATAAGCAAAGAAAATGATTCATTGGTGTTTATCAGGGTCACTATTTGGAAAATCGACTCTTAAGTACATTGCTTGTAGGAATTATCAACTTTTTCATTGATCGGGAAAAAAATAACTGAATAAATAATGAATCAACCACTTCTGGTTTACTAAAAGAGCCAAAGAGTTTGTCTGCAAACTAATTAAAGGATCAGAGATGGGACACAGCCTCCATCTAACAGGCAACAAAACATTACTATACTCACCGTTTATGTAAGCTACTCCATTTTTCTTGTAAATATTTTCAGCTTTCTTGTGCATATGTTGTCCCTCTTCCTCAGGCCAGTCATACAAAGATTCCTTCAGCTGGCCATCTAATACCTTCATAAAGCAGTGGGCATCAGCATGTGAATGAATACTGCTTCCTTGGCCCTCTCCCCAACATAACACTATCAGGTTAAACTTGCCATTCCCACCGTCAGCTAAGTTACGGGTATACCTATGATTTATCAAAAAGAAAAATAAATCAATAAAAAGTGAATTATCACTATTTTACATTATATATTTGTCACTCTTCATAAACAAAAAAAGTGAATTAAAAGAATATCTAATAAAATTTCATTTAAGTGATCTAATACAATACAAAGATAAAGTTTGCATTGGTAATAACTTTTTTATTGAATAGAAAATGCTAAAAAAATTACTTCAGTTTTAAAGAAAAATAGCAAATGAATTTACCAATAAAAAAGGCAAAAACTAATTCCACAAAATGACGCTCAGATCATAATAATGTTTTAAGTTAAAATACCTGTGTGGGTCAAATTTTGCAAATTTTTTCCATTCCGTTGGATTGCTTTTGTATAAACTCATCAGTGTGTGTACATAATCCACATTAACTCTATCTGAAGAAAACGCTTCATACAATCCTGCTATCAGGTCATCCAGTGTCTGTGGTATTTTTATGTTTTTGGATGCGACAAAATCCTCCATCTTCAAAGTTCGTACACTTACTACTTTTAAATTTAAGTCGATTCAAATTCTCGTTTTGAGCGATCTTATTGAAACTAGTGTTAAATACTGTAGATCTATATTTCCAAAGAGCAAAAGCACGTGTAGGAAAATTCCGATCAGTCCTAGCGCGTTTTCTTAAGACTAGTCTATTCGTCACTGCATCCAGTATTTATGTTTACTTCGCAATCAAATGAACTTTACATCATCGGCAGGTCACTAAGGGTCAAAGTTTGAGCAGTAATAAAATAAAGATTATTAGCAAGGAATAGATACAAACCGTTTTGAATTAAGTAGCCTTTACGTTGATCTAAATTGATTGCTCTTTATTTATCATTTCATTCATCAATGTATTTTTAAGTTGATTTGTAAATTAAAGAAATGGGTCCATTCAAAGTTTTAAAACAACTTTTACGTCACTTCCTGTCATCCATAGACCGATTTTTTTTTCTTAGGTTACTAGCATAATGATAAAAGCTGTATTAGTTTTCAATAACCACGGAAAACCGCGGGTTTCCAAATTCTACCAGCATTTCGTAAGTACTTCAAAGTTGTTACTATTGTCATTTTAAGTAGGATAATCATTAATGGTAAACGTCAATTTGTACTGTAGACAGCAAACGTCTTGCGAACACTTCCGAAATTGGTCGGTGAACTGTGGTATAGACTATAGTCTAGAATCTATGGAAGTCGAAAGTGCACGATAAATTTGCATTAAGTAAACTAATTTTTGTGGCCATTGTTAGATATAAATCCAATTCGCATTCCAAAAAGTCCGATTTATTACTTGATTCTCTCTTTTAATACCTTTTCTCTGGGTGTTGACCTTGCACTTTTAAGTGGCATGATATTTGGATATTTACATGTAGTTTGAGAATATTTAAATTCTGGCAGCACAGGTGAATTTGCTGTGTCATGACATTATCATTGTGCTCTTTTTGATGTTTTATAGCCAGAGGACACACAACAGCAAATTATACGGGAGACCTTCCATTTAGTCTCAAAAAGAGATGACAATGTGTGCAATTTCCTGGAAGGAGGAACGTGAGTTGAAATTATCCTGTCAAAATATCCAACATACATGTACAGAACTTGAAGAAACAAGACACTTCCTCGTCTCTTGTTAATCAATCTTAGTGATATACTTATTATGCTTGCTGTTTTTGTCTTCTTTTATTTATCTTCCTGTTAAAACTGGAAATGCCAGTGTGTGAAATACTCTTCTTTTAATGTCTTAATTAATGCATAGAGCACAATTAAAAAGTACCCATTGGTGCACCTATTATATCTGACACTTCGCAGGCTTTTGACTAAATATTTCTTAAAGATTACCTGAAGACTAATAAAGTAGAAACATCATTATATAATAAATCATGCATACCAGCTCATTCAATGAGTTAAAATTTTCTCAAATATTAAATACTTCAGTTACCTGCGTGAAACAGTTTTATTCCTTAAGACTTGACCCAAAATTTTAGAAGTAATTTTCCTCTATAAGCTAGCAGTTCTTCCTGCTTAGAGAGGAAAGAACTGTAATTTGTTCAATGAAATATAATATGTCACCATTAAAGTAACACTAGGGAAAACTTCAGTAACAGTAAGTTGTTTGAGAAAGAAACTTGTAATTAGTTTTATACTTGGACAGTGGCTTGTGAGTTTCTTATACCCCAAAAACTTCACAGCATTCTTTTTTGTACAGTACTTGTTTAATTTTGTGTCCTGTGTTATTTTTGTATGTAAAGTACTTACTTTGATATTTTTCATTTGCTTTGTGAACAGCATGCTCATTAAAACATATACTGACTTTTATTTTTCAATTCAGGCGCTTGAACAGGTTTGTTTGGACTCCAGGTTGTGTTACTGCCCTCTTATGGTTGCACATAGATTCAGTTTCTAAATAGAAACGAAATAGGGCAATAGAATTTGAATTGGTTTTATTGTGGAGTTTTGTTCTTAAAAATATACCATTGTTTGCTTTGGTTGTTAAGGAAAAAAGAGGGATATTTCCAGAACTGCTTTCAGTTAATTGTGTATTTGGACATGGTAATAGCTTATCTAGAAATAGTTCACTTTATTGTGGAACAATTGAATTATGACATTGAATTTGTGTGCCACTATTGGTCTGGCAAACCTATATGTGCTACAGAGGGCTTGCAGCATGGGTGGACTATGTACCTTATACAGTATTTGTATATACTTCACAATTCAATTCTTCAATGAAAGTGATAATTGCTTTGTAAAAGATCCCATATTATGATTATATTAGCATATTTATTGAAAATGAGCCCACTGAAATTACACTGAAAAAAATTTGGCTGAAATGCATTGCAAGTTGGTTTCCCTCTGTAACATCAGACATTAATTCCTTTATGTTAATTTTTTAAAAAGATTGACTATTTGTCAGCTTAAAATATGATTGAGCTGCAGATATGGTTTGGCCATTAGCTGTATGGTTGGAAGAAGATTTATTTGCCATACATTTAATCAAGTCATTAATCATTTCTGCATTGTTAGAACCTAATTCCAATCAATATGTCTTTCGATTGTTAACAAATACATTGTTAAACCTTATTGCACAACCCTTGCTAATGAAAACATCCTAACCTTAAATGAGTTATACCTGTTTATTTGTTAATTTTTCAATATATTTATGAAGTTAAACACCAATGGATATTACAGAACGTTTAATGTGGTTAAAGGTTGCACATCTCATAAAACTACTGTGTACATATTTCAGAGTTGTTTGATGTTTTGTTGAAGTTGTTTCATTAACATCTCTTTATTTATTTATTTATTTATTTTCAAATTAATCCAATTTAATACTAACTGCATGATTTTCTTTAAACATTTTATTACCACTTCATATTTGCTGGTAGTGTAATTATAAAAAAAGAAACAATAAAAATTATATCATATTTAAAGGTGAATTGCATTATAGATTTATGAAAAAAAAATTTCTGTTTCACACAGACATATATGTGTCAGCACAAACCCTGAAGATGCATTGTTTGTAAATTCCATGCTTCTTCCCAGTTAACCAAATAAAAGATTTGTTGCACTTCTTTGCTCTGTACTTGTTTCTGTCAAGTATGGACAAAGCTCTTGATTAGAATTTACTTCCAAAGCTATGTGATGATTTGCTGCAAATAGATATTGATTTATATTTTAATGCAATATTTATATGTGTAACTGTTAACGTGGTGCATATGACATTGGTGATTGTCTTCATCACGAAGTTCAAAAATCTTTCTCTGAGAACTTGAATTTTATTTGTCATATTTAAACATAATATTTAATTTTAATTCTTTTTCTTCCAGTTGTACACTAGACATCTGAGCTGATGAGGTTATATGTTGACTTTATAATTTGTTAAGGGTGATTTTAAAGGCAGTCATTTGAATAAAAAAATTGTTTGGATGGAGAAGAAATGACTTCATCACTCAAACCATTTGTTTAATGCATACAATAAAGAATGACTAGATCAGTGAGTCCAACTCATCATAAAAGTGTTTAAAAGACATATCAGTGAGTCCAACTCATCATAAAAGTGTTTAAAAGACATATCATAATACAATCAGTTCAGATGTCTTAATACAACTTAAAATCAATCACAAGGAGTTTTGAATAATTTTGTTACTCACTAATTATATTTGTACCACCAGCGTAGGCGCTGGCGGTACACATGGTTTTAGTCCCGACCCGTATGTTCCGCCGGCTCCTGCGGCTCTGCCGGCTCCTGCGGCTCCGCCGCCAANATCTCTTTATTTATTTATTTATTTATTTATTTATTTATTTATTTATTTATTTTCAAATTAATCCAATTTAATACTAACTGCATGATTTTCTTTAAACATTTTATTACCACTTCATATTTGCTGGTAGTGTAATTATAAAAAAAGAAACAATAAAAATTATATCATATTTAAAGGTGAATTGCATTATAGATTTATGAAAAAAAATTTTCTGTTTCACACAGACATATATGTGTCAGCACAAACCCTGAAGATGCATTGTTTGTAAATTCCATGCTTCTTCCCAGTTAACCAAATAAAAGATTTGTTGCACTTCTTTGCTCTGTACTCGTTTCTGTCAAGTATGGACAAAGCTCTTGATTAGAATTTACTTCCAAAGCTATGTGATGATTTGCTGCAAATAGATATTGATTTATATTTTAACGCAATATTTATATGTGTAACTGTTAATGTGGTGCATTTGACATTGGTGATTGTCCTCATCATGAAGTTCAAATATCTTTCTCTGAGAACTTGAATTTTATTTGTCATATTTAAACATAATATTTAATTTTAATTTTTTTTCTTCCAGTTGTACACTAGACATCTGAGCTGATGAGTAATTTGTTGACTTTATAATTTATTAAGGGTGATTTTAAAGGCAGTCATTTGAATAAAAAAATTGTTTGGATGGAGAAGAAATGACTTCAACACTCAAACCATTTGTTTAATGCATGCAATAAAGAATGACTAGATCAGTGAGTCCAACTCATCATAAAAGTGTTTAAAAGACATATCATAATACAATCAGTTCAGATGTCTTAATACAACTTAAAATCAATCACAAGGAGTTTTGAATAATTCTGTTACTCACTAATTATATTTCTAAATATGTTTTTGTTTGTTCTTTCAGTTTAATTGGAGGTTCTGATTACCGGTTAATTTACAGGCATTATGCTACTCTATACTTCGTATTCTGTGTGGACTCCTCAGAAAGTGAATTAGGAATTCTTGACCTGATTCAGGTAAGAGATTAGATATGAACCAATATTTTAGGCACATGCTTTTCTGCTAAAAGCCAACATAATATAAATGAGATGAATAGAAAAAGAAAAACTTGAACAAGACGGGGATTTTATTGATTGTCTTCGCTGGGCCACCATATATCAAATGAAAGATGATTTTATCATTAAATTCAGTACACACATCTTTACAAATAATGTACTTTTTTTCCAGGTATTTGTGGAAACCTTAGACAAATGTTTTGAAAATGTTTGTGAATTAGATTTGATATTCCACGTAGACAAGGTAGGTGGTAAGCTGAAAGAATGTAATACCCCCCCCCCCCCCCCCCCCCCCGAAAAAAAAAAAAAAGTTGTGGGAACATGCTACGCTCTTTAGAAACAATTTGGTTTTTCTACTGTCATTATACAAGAAGCAATGAAAAACATTTTACAAAAAGGTCTTAATAGTTATTTATTTTTGGCTTAAGATGCCATTGTTTTATTTAACTGTAACTGTTTAAGATAACTTTGAAATCAACTTAGATGAGTTCCTCAGCTACTGAAATTGTAGAATTGGCACAAAGATGTGTTTGAAGAAATGGATATAGAGGTAATTTATTATTATTTGATATANACGATGAACTTAACTTTGATTGTACCATCTTAGTTATATATATATTTTTTGCATATTTTGAAAATTCTTGTTGACTGAATTTTTACAGCTTGGCAAGCACAAGACTGGTGGCTGTGTTCCTTATACTGTGTTCCTTGTATATGTGGGGGTCTATACGAATGCGCTTGCTCCAGCTGGTGGTACAATATTCGGAGGCGGTATCGCCTCTCTGATCCTCTAGTTCTAAATATGTTTTTGTTTGATCTTTCAGTTTAATTGGAGGTTCTGATTACCGGTTAATTTACAGGCATTATGCTACTCTATACTTTGTATTCTGTGTGGACTCCTCAGAAAGTGAATTAGGAATTCTTGACCTGATTCAGGTAAGAGATTAGATGTGAACCAATATTTTAGGCACATACTTTTCTGCTAAAAGCCAAGATAATATAAATGAGATGAATAGAAAAAAAAAACTTGAACAAGACTGGGATTTTATTGATTGTCTTCGCTGGGCCATGATATATCAAATGAAAGATGATTTTATCATTAAATTCAATACACACATCTTTACAAATAATGTACTTTTTTTCCAGGTATTTGTGGAAACCTTAGACAAATGTTTTGAAAATGTTTGTGAATTAGATTTGATATTCCACGTAGACAAGGTAGGTGGTATGGCACAAGCTGAAAGAATGTAATACCCCCCCCCCCCAAAAAAAAAAAAAAAAAAAAGTGGTGGGAACATGCTAGGCTCTTTAGAAACAATTTGATTTTTCTACTGTCATTATACAAGAAGCAATGAAAAACATTTTACAAAAAGGTCTTAATAGTTATTTATTTTTGGCTTAAGATGCCATTGTTTTATTTAACTGTAACTGTTTAAGATAACTTTGAAACCAACTTAGATGAGTTCCTCAGCTACTGAAATCTAGAATTGGCACAAAGATGTGTTTGAAGAAATGGATATAGAGGTAATTTATTATTATTATGTTAATGTGCTGAATCCATGAACTGCTATTTTCAGGTGCACTACATTTTACAAGAAATGGTAATGGGGGGAATGGTTCTAGAAACAAATATGACAGAAATACTAACAAGGATAGAGGAACAAAGTAAAATTGAAAAATCTGAGGTATTTATTGTATTGCTTATTTTCTTTGTAACATAAGAAACATGATTGTTCACTTTACAAAAGTAAGCATTTTTTGTATTTTATATAATGAATTTTTAAGGATTTTGGGGCATGTTATGTAGAGCAGTTTTTGATGTTAAGTGTTACTTTGAAAACTTACTTTTGATAAAGTAGAAAAGTTTCACTTGCAATTAAAGTTGCTTTGATTTATTACTTTTATAAACTTTGACTTATGAACTTTTTAAGTGTAAACTGCTGTATCAAACATATTATTTCTCAAAAATTACTTTAAATGTTTAATTGATATAAACAGCATTAATTGCATGTGAATGTTCTTCCTTTTCATAGAATAACCTATTCAGAATATTTGAACTGTAGCTAGGTAAATCGATGTGTTTCTGGTTTAAAAACCAATGTGATTGATATATTTTAGTAGTAAAAATAGTAATTTTGCAGTGTTGTGTTAAGACCATGGACCAATATGGACTCAAAATAATTGTCCTACTGAAAATTAGCTTTCCTGTTTAGCATAGACAGAATCAATAGTTTGACAGTAGAAATGTTTGTGAGCTCCAAAGTGGTGTATGAGCTAGGTGATTCTATCAAACAAGGTGCTTGTTGAGCTCTGTGGAACAAGTGCTTTATAAGTAATTTCATTGCACCTTGCAGCAATTGTTGATAAAGTCACCTAAATTGTAATCCAGCTTACTTGGATTTAAATGTCATTGCCATTTTTTTTTACTTTTCTTTTTTGTTATTGTTACACTCTTTGTTTTGCCTACTTTGATAGGATCATAGGACTTTGACAGATCATTGATTTAAAAGCTTCTTGGAACATTTTCAAAGAAATGATAAATATGTTTTTTTTTATAATGAAAATTTAATAGATATGGGGTTTCAATATAAGTCAGTGTTTTAGAAATAAAAGAAATGCAAAGACTGCATTAATATATTGAAAAAAAAATACACTTTGGTTTAGATTGGTCTGTTTTAGTAATGTTATAAGGTTTCACACAGCACATCAGTGTGTTGAGAAATATAATACACACTGGTGTATTTTGCATCAATATTTTATCATAAGCCTGTATCAACTTTTACATGTTTGTATTTCTGTTCTTGCAGGCTGGCATAGCAGGTGCTCCTGGCAGAGCTATATCAGCAGTCAAAGAAATGAACTTACCACAGAAAATCAAGGATATCAAACTGCCAGATCTCCCATCAATAGGATCCCTCAAGTTCTAGTGTGGAACTGTTCATAGTCCATGGTCTGATCCCATGGGACTGTTTAACTAGTTTGGTTAGGGATATATCACATCAGGTGGTATACTTTAGAAAACGGCTGTACCTGTACATATTGAGAGGTCCTAACATGCAATTACAGTATTGGAGGGTTTACTCTCTTTAACAAGTTTACTGCCCATTTGAGCAAAAATAGATTACTTGGAGCTTGGTATATAGGTGACTCTCATGTTATAGCCAGACTATTTATTTTGTCAGTCTTTTGAAATTTTCAGGTACATCTGTATAACTTGAGTATACCACTTGGTGAGAAAAGTTTGGTTGGTAGACATTAGGAAAACTAGTTGTCTGGAGAGTATGAGAAAGAAAATTCCTATCTTGAACTATCTGCTTAGGTTACACAGAGTGGGCTCTGCCCTACGCCTATGATGATTTTGCAGTAAAAGAAAAACCTTGTAAGAAATGATCCTTGAATTATGAAAGCCCCCTTGAACTCCTGGGTGTTAAGTAGAAGCATTTAGTGTGGCAGAAATTGGCTTTTTTTCAGTGAATATTTATCATTCCAGTGATGTGTATAGTTAAAGACTTAGTTCATACCACATGATATTTTAAAATTGGCTTGTGCTGAATCTTGTTACAATTTCTGTTGTAAAACTTTGCTAGTAACCAATATACAGAAAAGTCATATTTAATGTAATTCAAACATTTTCTGGGCCATAAAACAATATAAATAATAATGCACACATGTAAGTCTAAGTTGTTATTTTGAATACAAGAGAGCTGGCCTTTTATGTATATCAAATTGATTTCTTGCAGAAAGCTCCCCCCCCCCTCCCCCAATAAAGAAAATGTTTTGTTCTGTAGATGTTGAAGAAGCTGTATTTTCTTCTTTGATAGTTCTGTTGAAACTTTGGCAAGGAGGAGCAATGAATTATTTATTTACATTTTGTAACAAATATATAACTGCAATGAATGTGTACATCAAAAGGGTGATTGGTAGAGAGTGGTTGAAGATATATGATTACTCATATCAGTATAAATATGATGATAACTATGCCAATAATAAATATATTTTAAAACATTAATACGACGTTGTCATGTTTTAAACGGGTATTTTGAAATAGGTAGTTCCACAAAATATTGTCACAGCATAATCTTGACTTGCCCCATCACTTTCGTTGTTTTAAACTGTAACGCACTCCAATATAAAAATAAATCAACAGTAATTAAAATGGTATAAAACAGCTATGCTAATGTTACTCAAAAGTGTGTACGTCTCTGACGTGTCTCAAATCCTAACTCTCATCAGCACTGACTGCGCTTTAAACTGTAAAGAATGTTACTTAAGGCCCAACAAACGCAATGGTCACACCACAACTAAACTTATAGTTCGGACGGAAACTGTGCTTACAGCGAAGATCCATGTGAAGATAAATTACGAGATGAATACCAAGATAACTGAGATACACCGTACCTGTACACCCAGAGGGAAATAAGACAGCATCATGATTTTATAGCCTGCAATCTTTATTCATCACATCCACCATTTCGCTATAAGACATTGCTCTTTTAGTAGGCGACGCGAAAACAGCACCTTCCTTCTTTACAGTTCCTTTCTTTCCTTCTTGTGTTCGTACAAATTAATATTGTGGCATCTTGGTTTAAATATTTGGTCATAAAAGCTTAAGGGGGAAGGCTAGATAAAATGTTCGATTTGGTAAGGCCTAAAAAAACTTATCGCATGTGAGCTGAAAGGCATTATAATAAAAAGCATTGTAGCAATTTAACCGTTGATTTGCAGTTCGCGTAAAATTCTTTTATCATACAACATTAGCCACGAGTGTATTATGTATGTGTTTGAACCCATCGAGAAGAAAAATAGATTTATGCAAGAATAAGCCGCGCGGGTCTCTGGACCTGTCAAAATAATTTGTGTCTGTGATCTACGGTCTTTCTCCTTAGAGTCTCTCCGCATCCGTCAACTACAAAAGAGCGAGCTCTATTAACCCTAGCATTAACCGAAGAGATAGCGATCATCCGAATCCAAGGGATGCCACGACTAAGTTAACACGTCTTAAAAGTGAAGTTGATGAATATCTTCGAAGTTTTACCCGCGACACTTATTTCACTGTTGGTGTTACGTTCAATGGTAAAGTTATTCAAGAGGACGTCACTCGGTGTAGAGGAACGTGCAGGGAAACCCTGCATCGCGGAGAGGAATATTTAAAGTTCTGCGACTGATTCTAATAACATATCTGGACGAAAGGGAGAAAACGTGGCAGTATATAATTTGTATTTGCCACATGTAATGCTACAGAAATTACTACGGAGGAAACCAGTGCTTCAACAGGTAACTTTTTATATTTCGCAGAATAGTTTAGGCACGGGGAGGGGGAGGGAGGCATCAAATGAACAAATATGAAAATGAAAAATTGCGGTGAAGCACGCGTGGAAATTTTGTCTTTCATAAGAATGGAAAAGCGATATTAACATTGTGCATATAAAGAATATATAAAAACAGTAATAAAAATTTGTATTGATAGTGTCTCCCTGCCAATATATCACCGCTCTTACTTTTAGTGCGTTCTATTCATAGTGTTGACCACAGGGACTCCTGTATCAAAATGCATTCTTTTGCATTGTAATCAGTATCTTGGTTACTGCCACTTTCTTTATAATATAACGATTAATATATACTGCATATTTTATACATGTATAAACCACTGATTTATATCAGTGTTTATAAAAAAACTTTTACCATTTAAGTGTGTATTTAAAAGCACAATTCAAATGTTAAAAATAATTTTCCTTTACTAGTTTTTCGATGAATATATCGATGTATGGTGCTAGTAGCATCCTCAATGCCAGTCCACATTTACAAACCCTGCCTCGTGGAGCAGTAAGTGTAGTTTGCTAGTATCGTCTGCTTAGCCTACAGGTATAATGTTATGGTTTGTTTAAAGCATCCCATGCGGAAACCCATTACAACCTGCAGGGTTGCTAGTAGCGTTGGTGTGTCAGAAATATTCAATATTTATACCATTGTTGAATTGATTTATATTTCTGAATTGTTTTGTCTCTGAAATTTGCATGTAACGTGAAAAGATATCTTAATATCAGTGCAACGTGGCTGTACTAGTATACTCACAAAGAAAACGGGTACATACATGCTCTAAGTTGAATATATAGCTTATCTTATGAACTCATCATTAATGGTGGCCCTGATGAAGTGAAATTCTAGTACGCACGTCTATTATTATTTAAATTGCGGCTATTGGCAGTAGTTGATTGTGTGATGTTGCTGGTAAATTTAGTAAGTTTATCACGTGTGGTCAATTTGTTCTGCGGACATTATTCTAGGGGCTTTAATATTACCTTGCAAACGAGGAAGGAAATGAGGAATATGACACTGACTAATAGACCCCCATTCAATGCGAAAAAGTCCGCCCCTTTGTACAACATGAAACTGGTCCAGTGTAGTTGTGGACCGGTCCTATTAAACATAGAAATGGATAGAAATGGATAGAAATGGGTAGAAATGGATAGAAATGGACCGTTATAGACCTCTAGGTAGGCATAGCAAGCCTCTCTAGGATTGTATTGGAGTTCTACATAGTAAAAATAAACTTACTTCTGCAGAAAGTTCCAGTGCTTTGGGAAAAGAAGTTTATTTCTGGTACTTCCAACCCTCCCTTGCATATCATAATATCATCGCACATTTTATTTAGCTTTTTTCTCATTCCAGGTAAAGTTTTCAATTATACACATATACATATACCACAGTTATAACACACAAGCTGAAAAAAACTTTTATATCGTAAGCTTATGACCAACCTGGACAAAGGCCTTCATCAAACTGATGTGAGTGGATATTGTTACTCACTGACTACTTTGGTATAGCTTATTAATGAAGCCCACCCCTTCTCCCCCACTTGAGTTGAGCAGAAAATCATGAACATGCTTTTTTACACACCCAAACCAGAGGTGCATTTCACATGCTGATGTGTCCAAAAAAAATAATAAATAAATAAAATAAAAACAAAATCGTATTCAATTTTTTAATGTGTATAGTAAACTTTTTAAAGTGTATCCATGACTCTCTCAATTTAAATTCAAAAAATAATTTTTACTTTGTCCTTTAAATTATGCAAAGAACCCTAAATGGTAACATGAGTTCCAAATTTTATGTACGGTTATGTTTGTTCTGGGTCATTTAATTTTTTTTCAGTGTGTTCCATAATATTTTGCAGTGGTTCAGTCATATGGTGAATGAGACATAACGTAAGTTTTTTCTTTAATAAATATTTAACTGAAGGGGCTTTGAGTCAGGGCTAATACCAGGAAAAATAAATACTAGGAAAAATTGTCAAAAAGTATTTGGTGCCAGAGGGAGTAAACATCATTTCCTTTTGCCATCCGAAAAATATATTTCGCTTCCATGACAGTTTGACATTGCTGATATTATACTTGAAGCACAGGTGAGGGGGTTGGAGATAAGTTATTTAATGCTTATTTTATTGTCGGAAGGGTGAGTTTTCCACTTTTTTAAATATTCAGTGACAGTGAGAGATCATTAACTGGTCATTATACATGTAACAACAATGGTTTAACGCGTTTGAAGTTCTTGGTTCAAAGTCAAAGAAATGAAGCACATTACCTGACAGTGATCATCTCTTTGGGCCTACATAGACCACTATTTTTTACAGCTTTCACAGCATTTTAACAGAAAACTTAAAGCAGATATTCTATCCCATCTTGCCCTCCTCATCTTTAAGTCCACGTCTAGATCTAGACACCTGAGTGGATAGACATCACACCGGCTACACAATAAATAATGTTTTGTTATTCATTATGTATACATGCACAGTGTGCAATACAACCATATGATGCGAAAAAAAGAATTTACTGAATGGTGTTTAAATGGATAACAGTTCTTTATATTAGATTCATATTTCACAATAAATATATTGTATATAACTCATAGAAATATAATAAATTCTCTTTTACCACCAAAAGGGCAATTATTACAGTTAGCCTTAAAGCTGTGCTTACCATCATTGATCAGATGTCTATACTTCTTTGTAATCTATTAAGATTTTGTTACGAAAAAAAAACAATAATAATAAGAAACAGGGACTAACTCTGAATGTTGAGACAGATTTGTTTACCATTAGTCAGTATGTAAAAATTGTCTTTTTTTTTTAATTTGCCAAAATGAACAGGTGTTATCAATTAAAATGAACAGGTGTTATCAATTTAAGTAATATCTGATAGAATGTTCAATAAAAAAAGTGGTGAAGGTACATATATCTTATCATGAGACCTGATCTGATATTGGACGTTTTTCAATAGATATCCCTCTGTTTAGCTCACATTATTTGACAGAAATTATCACATTGAACATTTGAACAAGGTGTTGATCATGAACTGTGTTGCTGACACGGCAGAAATTATATACGTTGTTATCATTTTTTTCCACGATGTTCATATGTTTATTTATATTGTGTTAGAGAAGAAACTACGAACACTGCTCAATTAAGTAACATCTATTCATTAAGTCTTGTGATCAACTGTATGAAAGCCAATGTTGCATGTACTCTGCGCGGTCATTTATTACTTACTGGCAGAGTGGAGGTATGTTACGATATTACGTGTAGATTGTGTAAAATTTATGTGTTTAATAAAGTGTAATTCACTTATATAGAGGTATTTTGTGAAGTTTACAAAAGTTTACATAAGTTTACTTAAGTTTAATCAGTAAAATAAGTTATGAGCATCGTGTTTATTAAAGTCTATGTTAGTATGGGTGTGGCATTTTCATGACCAACACGCACATGTAGGCCTACATTTATGTTATCAAATAAAATTACAGTACCAGCTCAGATTGTTATGGCCGTATCTGAGCAGCCAGTTGGCAGCGGAGAAAGCGAGTCTGGATATTGTTTTAGTGTGAGTGTTTTAAAATTAAATAATAAATAATTAGTGAAAACTTACACGCATGTAAAGATCAATTATTTGTTGTTAAGATCACATGAATTAAGTTGTTTAGTATATCTAGTTTATTTATCTTTATTTCAGTGTATTGTTATTATCATTTTTTTCTTTTTCTTTTCTTTTTATAGTTTTCACCAGTTTTTGTTCAGTTTCTGTTCAGATTCTGTTCAGTTCTGTTCACACTGCGTGAATAAACGGCAGTATTATCCAACGGTGTTTCTTCATTTACTCGTGGTCCGCTACAAACTGTTTACTTCACAATTAAGCTCTCAGAAGCAATCTCAGAAGTAATTAAATCTAGAACTGAAGTCTTACTTAGATGTACCTGTCACTGAAATCAACTACTCACTTGTCACATTTTTATCATAATCTTTATCTCTACCAGCCAGTGAAATATCATTAACTGGTTACTAGGCCTAACAACGGTATGGTTAACTGGCAATCTGAAGTTCTGGCCTCAGAGTCATAAAAACTCAGGTCAATTTTGCACAAAATTTGCAAGTATTAAAGAATTATACCCAACATTCTATGTTACAGTGTGAAAATTGTCACAAAATATATGTACATTTCAGTATAGTATCACTAAAATATCAGTTGTTAAGATTAATGAGAATGGTCCATACATAAGTTATGCCATAACCAGTGTTGTGTTACAAGGAGTACATATACTTAAAACTGTCTTCAATAGTGTGTCAGTACACATACACATTGCATTGTCATGTTGCACACATTTTTGAAGCTTCTGTTCTGGTTCTTTAGTCTAAACTTTGTAGTTTAAATTATTTAATTTAAGTATTTACTGTGCTTGTGAAAGTTGTTTATTGGAGCAACCAGTGATCTCAAGCACAGCCTAGTTGTGGAATCCACCTTGAAAATGGCGACCTTGACCTGATTTCAACCTACACGAATGTCTCGGCAGAAAAGCCAATAAAACTTCTTTCTGGTGCAGAAGTAAATTTATTTTTACAATGTAGAACTCAAATACAATCCTAGAGAGGCTTGCTATGCTTACCTAGAGGTCTGTATCGGTCCATTTCTGTCCATTTCTATCCATTTCTACCCATTTCTATCCATTTCTATGTTTAATACGACCCGTTGTGGACCTTCACTGCATTAATTTTTCATCACGCTCCGCAGAATCCAAGATAAATTTCATTTTAAATATGTTTTGAAGTGGAAAGATCAGATCAGCATTGTGTGTGTATGTGTGTGTGTGTGTGTGTGTGTGTGTTCTATAGAATGAAACCCGCATAGAATAATTTTTTAAATTGTAAACAAAAAAGCGAAATTGATATTTCGATAAAAATTTATTAAAATTGTTATTGGGTCTAATGGACAACCATTTGCTTAGCTTTATATGTTTGCTGCGGGCATATCATTTTTATGAATATGTTAATAGACATATTCGACTCGCGAAGGAATTATTACACACTTGTAGCAGAAAGGACATGCACAATTAAATAGAGCTCAAAGAGAGTCCACAAGTCTGCCGTCCAACGTTTCTCTTTCACACACGCACAAAAAATTTAATTAATTAAAGAAAAAAGCGAAGTGTCGGACATTGGTGTTTTGACAAGCGCTGAATTCTAAAAAAAAAAGTTGGAGATGATCATTTATCACGATACAGGCACTGTGTAACAACCTGCACGTACCACAGCCAAACGTCGAGTAGTTTACCTTATGATGATCTATGAGCGATGCCCGGATCATTGGAGTTGGTGCTTTAACTGGTGTCACAACATCAAAGCCTGTGCTGGTATCGCAGATCTACATGTATAAACCTTGCATAAAAATCACGTACACATGCGGAGGGAAATTCGTGCAAAGGTAGGATTTATACACAACTGGAACCTTTTTTGTATTTTAATTCTACTATCTAGTCCTTATTCAAATAATTTATTTATTATTCAACTCTTTATTTCAAAGGCTAGCCGTTGAAAGATCCCACCATTTATTAAAGTTGTCACTTGTGTCCACTGATGGTCATTTCCACCTGATCCGAAGGTCATGCGAAGAGGACATAGTTAAAAACTATCTGGAAGCAGGCCCCAAAACATAGCTACTGGGAGCAGGTGACATCGTGACAACTGACAACTGACCGCTACCTTTGTAAACATCAATACAGTAGAACAAGCCCTGGTTATTATTCGAAGCTTGCTGACACCAGTTGTTACAAAGATTTTGATGAAATAAAACTGCATAAAATTAGAGGCATGCATGCATAAATTACAATCCATTTATAGAGAGAGATACTCCATCAACAGCAAGGAACCATTGCGGCTCATCTCAGTGGAATATAGAGACATTTATCTGGATAATATTTACTAAACTTAAGACATGAGGATAGTACGTCGACACACTGCCCTAATCGGGGCCTCTGCGTTCGGCATTGCCTGCCTGTTGTTGTACATAGCGATGGAAGCGTCCGTAGACAGGGATATTGATGCGGTCGACTTGGGGATGGGTCGCGCAAAACAGGTACGTACATTATATGTCTATAAATATCTACATAAAATATCAATTTAATATTATTATATGTGACATTATATCAACCACCCAGCGTGTTTAAATAAGTCAGAGAAGTAGTTTGGTAATTATTCATTGTCATTTTTAAAATTATTGTTTTTCTTAAAGAAATTGTAAACAATAATTTAACCGTAATTGATGATTGCAGCACCACCTTGCTGCTATGATAGAAAAAATAGAACACATAGAAGCGGCCGTCAAAAGCAGGCACAAGGTAAACAGCCTTAGGCTCACAATATGTATGAAACTGCGCCATAAAACTTATTGAGTTGGTTTTTAATATTATGCATTGTTTTTTACAATCATATTTTCATCCTACGGGTACTGACTTGTAAATGTAAACGTCTGATATTTATCATAAGGTACAAACGATACTAATATAATGGTTATTAAAGTGTCATAGAAATAAAGACAAACAATTTAAAAAACTACATGGTTAAAAGAAATGAAATATTTTACTATATATATGACGTTTGTCTCTGTTAAGAAAAAAGAATAAGTACATTGTAATATTAATGAGTGACTTTTTTTTTAGACTGTAGACGGTATACAAGACGTATTGTATAAAGTGGCCAGGGATGACCCAAACTTGGCACAAGCCTTAGAGAGGCTACTGATGGACAGTGATGACACCGTGGACAGTGAGGAAGACAGAACTAGCAGCCTGCAGGAGGTACTGCTGCCCACCAGTATGTGCAAGCTGACCGATAGACCGACACCAACCGTGGACTTCAATGTGAGTCGACGCTGAAACGGAGTTTAGTCACAGGAAATTATAATATGTTCTAGGAATCTTGAATCCACGTCCACCTTATTACGCACCAGAATATTCATGTCTCTTTCATGTTGGATGGAATAACATTTTAATAGGGGATTTATCTTATTATCATTTTTGGGGGTGGGTCTTTAAATAACATTAGACCAAAGATTTGAATGTACACGTAATGTAAATAATATTGATAATCCTAAACTTCTCATTTGTGGCTCAAACATGAATTTTTTTAAGGTCCAAGACGTTTTTGAAAACGGTTTACGACAGAAACATGTGACTACCAAATCTGAGAAAGATTACAGCACTCTCCCACTAAAAATATTTGTGGTTCCATTTTCACACAATGACCCTGGTAGGTACACCTGCATGGAAGGGGCTTGCGATACTGTAGATTGTGTATAATCCAATGTGTTGGCAATTTAGATTACAACAATAAAAATAATCTACCGAAAGTTATCACCGGAACAAACTTTAGGTCTTACCGTGGAGTGTTGCCCACATGATTAAAAAAAATGATAATTAGACATGTCGTTGCAAAGTAACTAAAATGAAAATAATAAGTAAAATCAGAAGATTTAATTGATATTGATGTCATATCACGTTCAGAATATGGATTATAAACTGAAGGGAAGTGGCAACTGTATTATTGTTAGAATATTTGCACGTTAGTATTTAAACACTTCTGATTTATTGAAGTTTTATTTACAGGATGGCTGAGAACTTATGACGACTACCTTGTCAATTTAACAAGTCATATATTGGACAATATGGTAGAAAAAATGGATATATACAAGGACATGACATTCATCTATGCCGAGCTTTCATTCTTTGCTCCTTGGTTTGAAAGAATCAGTCCTGAAAAACAAGCCAAAGTCAAACAGTAAGTTTTTTAATTAGTCATAATTATCTAAAATTAAAGTTAATACTGCTAAATTAATTCTTGTTTTAACATTAATGGAGCAAATTATAAATGCCACGTTTTTATTTTGCTTACCTTTGACGTATCCTAAGACCTACATTTTTTAAATAGTCTCTATAGCACTAGAGGGTGTGCTCATTCATTTTAATACCAGTTCTGACATTTGTGCACGAAGTTTGCACGATATATATATATATATATATATATATATATATATATATATAAGCAGAGAAACGCTGCCTTAAACCGAAAACAATCACTCTAGTAGTATGTAATTTACGAATACTATTTGACAATGTGGTGATGGGATGGCGCACACACGAAATATTTTGAACTGAGTCAGTTTCGCCTTTCCATGCACACTCAGTTGGCAAGGTTTTATGACACAATTTTCGTACAACATGTACGTTGCCTTATAATGATAAAAAGTCCACTCAGATCGCATGGAGATGGTTGAAATTTTCTGACCCTACCATGAGTTATCGTGAATTAATATGCAGGACACGCCAATACGAGTTCAATTGACACGTATTCTCCTGGTGTATGTTAATAGGTTTGTTGTTTCTGGCCAACCCGCAACCCTGACAATTCTGGCATTATTATGTTCTGTGCAGGCAAAGCAATCAAATATTAGTTGCCGTTCAAACAGTGTCAATGTAACCTTTGCAAAAGGAAAACAGGGCAACTGCCTGTCAATGCATCTTATTGGTAGCCCAGATGGCATAATTTGGTATAAGGGTGGGCATCTCTATTGTTACCTTGCATGATGTCTCTTGACGTTTTGTGGGTTGCTTTCTGGTTAAAAGAGTCCATGTAAAGAACCACAGAGTCGGGTGTATTATCGTTTATTTACGTAGTATAGAAACTATACTCATCCAACTCGTATTGACATCTGGACATATAAACATAAAGGGTATTTCCTAATTAAACAGATTGAACATGTAAGCCATGATACCGAATGTGACCTTACATGATACGGCAAAAACATTGGCAGAATGTGAATTATCGTCTGAAGAAGCCAAAAGCGGCTGAGATTGGTGTCGTACCTAAGAATAAAAGGGCATTCATCATTAATAAATGAATTCACATGTTACATGCTTGATGAATGAATGCACTGCTATTTCTTTTTACTTGGTTAAGTAATACAACGACAAATCATTTACTTAATTCATGCATGAATAGACTGATATTTGACACATATCATATGGGATACTATGGTATTCCAGGTACGTCAAGGAAGGCCGCCTGGAAATCGTGACAGGAGGTTGGGTGATGACAGACGAAGCGTCTGCCCATTATTTCTCCATGATTGACCAGATGATAGAGGGACACCAGTGGCTGGAGAACCAATTAGGTAATAGAAATACCACGGGATACAACTTTTTGTTCCAACTAAACAGTTTTTTCGGAATCTGTGAAAATGATAATTGATTCTTCATTGACTTGCAGCATACAGCATAACTTCTTTTTAATTATGAAATATTACATAAATATCCCCCACTTTGTTTCTCTCCTACATTTCATTGTTTATCAATTTTTTCCTACCACGGTAAACAAAAATGGAACAAGGTCAGCCTTTCTAGTATTTCCTATTTCTATTCCTCACCAGGTATCAAACCACAGAGTGGCTGGTCTATAGATCCCTTTGGCTACTCCTCCACTATGGCTTACCTGCTTAAGAGGATGGACTTTAAGAGCATGCTTCTGCAGCGCGTGGACGCCAAGATAAAAGCCGTGCAGAAACAGCGAAAGACGCTGGAGTTCATGTGGAGACAACTCTGGGGTGAGACAAACGCGCAATAGACCCTTACTATTTTTTGAAATAAAATTCCATATAGATAAGAATTTCTTGTATGAGGAGAACATTTGTTGGTGGCCATCTAAGAAAAATAAGTATTGATTATATACAATGAAGTATCATAGATATATCAGGATATATTTAAATATTTTCGCTGTGTTTTGGGCCATATCGTGATAAATGACTAATGTTATGTCTTTTATTTATTGTGTTTTGCAAATATTTAGATCCAAGGGGTGAAACCGACATGTTCTGTCATGTGATGCCTGGGGGTCATTATGACGTCATCAACACATGCGGGGTCAATGGACATACATGCTGCCTATTCGACTTTAAGCGACAGAAAGGTGTTCTGTCTTGCAGTGGCCAATTCGCCGGGATGATTGATGATAGCAATGTGGAAATGAAGTTAGTATGAAGTTGACTTTTTAGAGTATAATTTTACCAACGGCCCTTTCTACCATGTGATTGCATTGTTTTGTGTTTTTTTTTAGTTTATTTAATTATTTTATTTATTTTATTTTTTTGCTATTTCTTAACCTTTTCGATCGTTACTAATGAATCAAAATCAGTTTAATTCATTGCTATATAAACTCTCGCACCCTCCTGAGCATATTTCTTAATTTTCATTCAAAGGTCCCAAATACTTTTGGAGCAGTACAGAAAAAAGGCCAGTCTGTACAAAAGTAACGTCCTGCTTGTCCCCCTGGGTGATGATTTTCGTTACCTGAAGGCGGAGGAGTGGGATCTTCAGTACACCAATTACCAGAGGCTGTTCCAGTACATGAATTCACGCCCCGGTTGGAATGTTCAGGTACTGTTTTCAATTCCGTATTTTTTCAGTACGTTAAATGGGCATTTCAGAGAAGATTTTTATTGGGTTTTGCAATGACGATTGACTTTGTCGGTTTAATAATCATTCTCATGTCACTTGTGGTATTCTTGAATCTTTTATACGGTGTGTTATAGTTTCTAAAGCAATATTTGTGATCTCAACAAATAAGCCCGCAGTATTTCCTTACAATTCTCAAACTCACCTTTTACCAGAATATCCCATTAAATTTTGATATACGTCATCCGTGACTTTCATTTTCTTCGTAGGTCCGTTTTGGAACGCTGACGGATTATTTCAACGCCTTGTACGAGCGAGTCGAGGTGCAGCCAGGCTCGACTGTGCCCGGCTTCCCTGTCCTCAGTGGTGACTTCTTCCCTTACTCGGATCTTGGTCAGAGTTACTGGACTGGATACTTCACTTCTCGGCCGTTTTATAAGTACATCAACAGACTACTCCAGACTAAGCTCAGGTAGGTCTAACAGGAAAGTTGTCTCTATACAAATACAACATATCGGTTGAATAATCGACAATATTTACATGTATATGAATGCTGTCAAATGGTTATCCTTAAAACGATGTAAATTTTGGATATTTGTAAAAGCATCTTTTATTGACTTTAGGGGATCAGAGATTTTGTTCACCATGGCTCAAACAGCTGCCAAACAAAACCATCACGGACAGTTTCCCGCCAGGACATTGATGCGGTATCTGGTCAATGCTCGACGAACGCTGGGTCTGTTCCAACATCATGACGCCATCACCGGGACATCAAAGGACCACGTGGTCAGAGATTATGGAAAACTGTAAGTGTATGAAGTGCTAGTGAAAAATCCACTCGTTCTATGAGGAAGTACATTTTTATCATATAAATTTTCTAATAGTCAAAAAAAAAANTATCTGGTCAATGCTCGACGAACGCTGGGTCTGTTCCAACACCATGACGCCATCACCGGGACATCAAAGGACCACGTGGTCAGAGATTATGGAAAACTGTAAGTGTATGAAGTGCTAGTGAAAAATCCACTCGTTCTATGAGGAAGTACATTTTTATCATATATATTTTCTAATAGTCTGTAAAAAAACCTGTTCTGAAATGACTTATTATCGATATCATAACAGTGATAGTTTTTTTGAAGATTTTAAAAATAGATTGACTGTGGATAATGTTTAGATAATGTGGTATAAGTTGTAGTAAACAGATGCATATGGCTGAACTATGATTATTTGAATTGTTAAATATGGTATATGAAAAATATAGAACTGTGTTTACTTTTCAAAGAAGAATTCATGCGTTCAGATCGTTGATGTTTTTTTTGACTTACAAGTCGTGTTTTTTTTTTTTAGACTTAGCAAAGCATTAAGTGAAGTTAATACGGTAACGGAAGAGGCCGCCCACGTGTTAATGACGAAGGACAAAACTCTATACAAGTACAACATATCGGGCAAGTTTTTTGAAACGGTAAGAGGATTTGCCATTATACGATAACCGTTAATCTAACGTATCACCCGAAGTTTCGTATTTTAAGCAGGGCAATACATTTATTCAAAAAGAGCGTGTTTAGCCTCTGAGATATACATATAGAAGCACAGCACAGGATATCCAAATAATAAGATATAAGACACCAAAATTTCATAATCTACTCTTTTAATCAAATGTGTGATTGGGTAACATTTATTATCTTAGCATACGCCCCCCTTAGTTGTGATATTGATTATCTTTTCGTCGTTTTAGCATGAATACATGAAAAGGTTCGACTCGATTCCCGAGCAGCGCGTGATAAACCTGCGACTCAGACCAAGGTAGGCATCAACTTATGTTTGCTTTCAAATCCGAATATATTAATTTTGATGTAAGTTTTGGTTTTCTAAAATATGTGAAAAACAAAAAAAGACAAATTACAACAATTTCATAAGTTTGCGTTTATCTAATTTGTTCTCCAGACAAGTTGTATTGTACAACTCCCTGGCACATCAGATGGTTCAAGTCGTGCGCGTGCTTATTGACGTGCCGCACGTGGAGGTTAAAAGTCCCGGCGGGAACATCATTGCAAGCCAGGTGTCTCCGCACTGGGTGAACGACGGGGATCAACCCTCCTCTGCTATATATCAGGTATATGGTTTATTCTCTGACGCATTGTTATCGGTACCAAGAATTAAATAGCAACAGGTATACTGGGTAGCTCTGTAGGCTGGCGCCTTCTCTGATAGACTGCAGATGATAAGTCTCGCAGATTTATTGATGATTCACCTTCAAAGTTTCAGCAATGCTGTCCTTGTTCACTTTTAAGTAATCTGTTACTTGGAGTTTGTGTACAGAGCGACCAGAATAAGGTTCCCAAATAGAAGATATTTTCTCTGAAAAAAATATTATCTATAATTTGTTCGAAATTTTGTTCCCACCCTTGCTCCGTAGCCTATGGCCTATATCTCCATGGCTACCAAAAATTGACATAAATGATAGTTATTTAATGTTTTGTATTTATTTCATTTTCATCGCACAAATAAAACACAAATAGAAATACGAATTATAATTCCAGCTGGCATTCGTGGCCAGTGTACCTGCATTGGGTATGAGTACGTATGCTATAAGGCAAGTGGAAGCCAAGGAAAACTCCAGAAATAGCTATGCTTCAATTGTTATATACAACAGTAACAGTGGTGCCCAACTACCTCAGCCCGAAGGGTCGTAAGTAGCCAAAATGCTTTATATCTTTTGGAATATTTAGACATTTTATAGGCCCTCATGTCATATCTTTAAAATAAATTAATGTAATGTAAACAAATGATTTCAAACGATGCAGTGCACGCAGTAGGCCTATCACATAAGAATAATAAATCTACACAAGACACACATGTGGAGTTATATACTTATTTTTAGTTAGATGTTAATTTTTGTGATAATTCCAGGTTCATATTCCCAATATTAAAGAGACGCGCTGAGGAATTCGCCATAGAAAATAGTAGAGTAAAACTGAAGTTTGAAGCAACTGGATTATTAAAAGTATGTGCAACGATTTTTTTGAAAAAAATAAAATCTGACATGCACAATGAGCGGCCGTCCTCGTTAAGTATAAGTCATCATCAGCTAAAACATGCGCGCCGACGACAGATACAAGTTAGAATAGATACAATATTGCAGAGCGCACGAGAGTTTTATTTAGATGTCAGCATTACAGGGTCAGTAGCATTCGGGGTGAATTATAAATATAAGAAAATATTTCATGAAAACAAATTTCCCTGGTGATATTGGCAACTTGACTTAGCACTAAGTGCTTGGTTTTATAATGAAGACAGTTTTCCGTTTGTTCCTACGCAACATTGTTGTTGCCAGTTTTTTTAAAGTTAATTCCATTGTGTGTCAGTTATCTTGAAGTTTATACTTTATTTTATTTTAAACACCAAAAGTTTATGTGTATTTGTTCTATTTGATGATAAATAGAGATGTGCATTCTCCTTTATGTCGATTGTTTTTCACCTCCCGAAAATTGCTTATTTGCACCTGTGTTTTGTTTTTTATTTTTTTTACACAAAAGTCATATTTTGTCTATCGTTGTAGCTGGTAACAGAGAAAGCCAGCTGCGAGAGCACGGCAGTAAAACTAGAGTTCGTAAACTACAAAAGCTCAGGTGGGGCGTATCTGTTCCTGCCGATGGGAGAGGCATCAGTAAGTTTAACAGTGACAAAAAGAAGTATATAAGGCTATCGTTAATTTCATTGCATAATAGAAAAATATACTTGTAGCGGATGATTATTTGCCAAGTTTTGCGAGATACGAGTTGTATTATTTCTTTAGTTAATGTATCACGTAAAATACACGATTATTATGTGCTTTCTCCTTGTTTCAGCAAAGTCTTACTTAAACTTCCTTTCGTTTCATTTATCATAAAGCTCATAGAACCCGGCGAGCCATACATCCGGGCTATACATGGACATATCGTGTCAGAAGTTCACGTGTTCTTACCGCACGTGCGGCATATGGTGCGCATCAATGCAGTCTCAGGTAATAACAGTGTTAATATTCCCCAAATAAACATCAAAATTAAAACAAACGAAATATGCCTTTCTGTCCTTTCTTTAATTTCAAACAAAAATGATAAAAGATTACATGAACAATGAATAAGCAGAACACAGGACAGTAAGAAAACTGATTGATAAAAACGGAAATGAAGGGAAATATTTTGTTTTCAGGTACTGACGGGGGAGCGTTTGAGATAGAAAATGTTGTCGACATGACACAAAAGTCGATGGACGATCGAGAACTCGTCATGAGGTTTAGGACAGATATTGACTCCAGTGGAGTGTTCTATACCGATCTGAACGGGTTCCAGGTAAAAAATGAAACATCCACATCAATAAACGGTTTTAATTCACTATTGATACAACAATTGATTGTAAAACGTTTGCTACACACAACCGCTTCATATCAGCTTCAAAACAAGAAATGTGTCGGTTAAAAATCAGTAGCAAAAATACGTACATAGTTGGATAGGTGTCTTTCATAGGAAATATTTTAAACCAGTCAGTAATTTTTCTTGTATTTTGATAGTTCACCAGGCGAAAGACGCTGATTAACAAGCCAATTCAGGCCAATTATTACCCAATAACTACCATGGTTTACATGGAGAACGAACAGAAAAGATTCAACTTGCTGTCAGCACAACCGCATGGAACCGCCAGTATGGGCCACGGTAAGATAGACATGAAATCAGTGTCATGCAGCTTGCGCTTAGAAACAGTCCTGCTTTGTCAGAAATCTTTTGTAACTGTCAGTATTATCTGTCCGACTTGTACTTTCTCTTGAAATTAGTATTTTTCGTGCAGTACAAGTATGTGATTTAGCTGAAAATGAAGTTTATTTGTACTGTTTTCATGGGAGATTTGTTAAAATGATGAAGGAGAATGAATGTCAACATTTCTTCTACATGCCTCGAGATAATGAAATTTGCAAATAGCATGTGCGACTGGCGCAGTACATGGGTGGCTGTCAATGGCGCACAGCACGGTTTTCATCCAGCAGAGAAATTTGTATTCGATTTTATATTAGATTTTAGCGCCATTTACGTGATTTCAGGTTGGTTGGAGGTGATGCTGGACCGTCGTCTGCTGCGGGATGACCACAGGGGTTTGGAGCAAGGCATGACGGACAACGTGCCCACGCTTAGCGGGTTAAGAGTTCTAATAGAACCCAGGACCGCAGGTGTCAGCGACCAGGTGAGCGAGGCTTGGTATATGCAGCCATGATGAATGGTGACAGATGGGACAATGGGTCCACTGTGGTACATGCCCCGACCTCAGTTGATAAGAATATTGCGTGCAACGAGAAATAATTGCATACAGCATATTCCCATACGTGATTCGAATTGAATTACTTTTTTTAGCATTTTAAGGCATTTTAATATGCTCCATTGTCATTGTAAAAGTTGGTTGGTCATCGACGGATTCTCATATCTTCACCTAACACTGTGTAATCTGTTTGGTTGTATTCTTCTAACTGATTTGTTCTGTTCCATTTGTATAATGTGTCATGTATTTTTAAAATTATTATTTTCAAGCCATGACCTTGGCTGAGCAGTAAGCCGAACTTAAAAAAATGATATTTTAATATTTAATTAATATTTTCAGTCTTCTCCTGTCGGATACCCATCCTTGGCCTCTCATCTACTGAGTCTGGCGCATACCAACCCGTTCCACGTGCTACCAAGGCGCGAGACAGTGGACCCGGAGACCGAGTTAAGTCCCCACTATTCCCCTCTGCTACACGACCTCCCGTGCGAGCTACACCTCCTCAACTTCCGAACGCTGCAAGGCGTCACCAATGACTGGAGACCCAAGGATTCGGCCGCACTTTTGATCCACAGAGTGGGAATTGACTGCTCCTTCCCGACCACTGGGTTGCAGTGTAAAGCAATGAATGGAAAGGTACCCAACGTTTAACTACTGCATTTTTTTCTTTCTCTTTTCGTAACTTATGGTTCAACGTTCTTTATGGTACAGACAGAAGATATACAAACCTATATAAATTGGGTCTAATTGTAATTTAGTCGTAAATTTTTCTCGCATAAATCGGATATAGTGTAAATTGCACGACAGGGTGGGTTATCACGCTCAGATTTAAATTCAAAACACTTTCAAGTTTTCTAATATATATATACTTTTCTTTTATAATTTCAGATTCCTCTCGGACGCCTATTTAAAAACATTCCATTTAAGAAAATCATGCCAAGTTCACTTTCATTCATGTATGACAAAGAAGCAATAGATAATAATGAAATCATCCAGGTTGAACCTTTAGAAATAAACGCTTTCAAAATGGTTTTATAGAACTGGGCGCACCACGTCAGTGTACATAATTGTATAAATTACGTCAATTGTGGTATTTTATTATTATTATTCCAATCAGGGGCAAAAATTGCCAAAGAATTATTTTTAAGAAAAGAGTAGATTTTGCCTTTTAGTTGGTAATGTATCATGTGATGTTTGTCCATTCAGTATGCAAGTAGATAACGAAGAAAAAATAAACTGGATATTTTTAAGTATGATATTTTTTTCGTTTATTATATATATTATTATAACTATTGGGTTTATTTAGTTAACCTGCGACTTTCTTATAATGTTGAAAGGGACAAGTAGTCGTTTTAAAAACCTTTCACAAAAATAAGTTAATTGAGTCGATTATCTTTATTCACACTAACTTGGTTGGAATGTTAAACTAACATGTTAGGGATGTTATGAATCTTAGTCCGTTTAAGGGGCGAAGGTGGGGGAAGATAGTTGAATCTGGTCAAGAACAAATCTCTCACTCAGGCAAAATGAAAACTCGAAGACTCATCCCGTATGTACTGGTGAAATTTTATTACAACGTGGTAGTACCAGAAGCTTTAACAAAAAACATCTGCTTGTCCACCAGTGGCAACGTCATAATGCATACTCCAAGCGATGAGACTAACCAAGTGCAAAGTTAACTATTAGACTCCCTCAGCGCCTTCCAACGTATATATATACCATACACCAGGAAGGGAGGGGGGGTCAGTGGTTAAGTCTATGTGTAAAAAGGACAGTAGCCAAAATGGACCTAGTCTATCTGCTTATAACAAAACGCTACTTAACGCATCCTTTTCATGTTGGCGTAGGCGCAGCCCATCCGATAATGAATGAACCGCGCCAGTTTACTACTTGTTACAGTCAATATATTAAAAAACGTATCAAGAATGCCAAGACCACACCAAAGGGAAATTAATAATAACAATTACTTTATAAAGCATTCAAGAACCTCGTCTGAGGTAATGATACTTGTGAACAAGTTGCCTAAGAATAATAACATTAACAAGCATGTTATATGTATGTATATATATGGCATGTATACTTGGTCAGTTAAATACCATCGTATCGTTCCTAAGGAATGCTTGGATGAGCAGCTAAATGTCCGTCTACTGCTAGCCGTCTTCAATCACAATTGTTGTCACACAACACACGGTACTACTGCAGCCCTTTCACAGTGACAGCATCAGGAGAATTTGAATTTGGCTGTAGACCGAGAGACAGATCTGTTAGCCCTCGAGATGTTCGAGTGTCAGTTTATAGTCGGTAAAGGTTGTGAGGCCAAACGTGCAATGTGTGAAAGACAGGAATTGCATTTTGGCATAATGGGGGTTTTCAGTGCCCGATTTTCAAATTGCCTCAAGTTATCATTACAGAGAATTGTTTTAAGTATAAACATATGTATATATATGTATATGATCAATACATAAGGTCACTTGGCAAACTATGAGAGCCAGCTAGTACACCACACTAAGCATACTGTTCTACTTATGTACATGAGCATAGCCTTTCATTAAAAAAAAAAAAAAAAAAAAAAAAAAAAACTCGAGGTCCTGCATTCTACTAAGCTCCCTCAACCCAAAGCAACCTCTTGTGTAATGTACTTCACTTCAGAATGTAGAACTATATTATTGGCCATTTCTCTTTTTCTTTTTTAAATATTTCTGACCTTACAGCAGCAGCAGTATTATCTAATTTATCTCACTCCCCTTTCTGTCCCTCACGCTGGGTGACCTTCAGATAACTATAATGTTCTTTAATATCATATAAAGTCTCACAAGCATGCACAATATTCACATCTTGCACAGTATGAAAAATAATTTCTTCACAATTTTCCTTGTTTTTTTCTTCTTATTCATTCAAATTGCTATATCACATATTGTGTATGTTTACATAAGTTGCCATAGTTATATGGCAGAGTCCAACCAATGTAGGCTCTTTACTTAACTTGTGACACCCTTAATGAAGAAACATGAATTCATCCTCAGCATCAATTACACTCTATGAAATATCAGTCTCCATTTTTTGACAGCATCTTCCAAATGGTCTTCCTATGAATTCATATCAGTCAGAGTGCCAAGGAGTATGAAGCCAGCTCAGAGCCTAACCATCAGCATTCTGTGCCATTCCGTTACCCTCCACCTGTGATGTTTGTTCATCTTTCTCATCCTCGCTGTCCCCAGTAGAAGCTGTAGATGGCACTGTGCTGGTCCTGTATGAGCTTAGGAGACTGGATCGTGCTGTCGTCCTCGATTCCCTATCAAGCCCTCCTCGTCTGAAAAACAAAAGTGACTCCGTCAACTGGTACGCTAAAATACAGACTATTTTTTCAATAGCTTCATTGAAGGCCTTCTCACATTGCACGGTACATTTAACTGTATCAGCACATTTTGAAAGATTAACAACTTAATAAGATGCTTTTTTACAAAACAGAATCACCTAAACAAAAACCCTGTGCTCAAATGGCCAACTAATTAACTTAACAAAACAGCCTCCCGTTAACTGTACCGCTCCATGTGATAAGGACCTTACAAACTAAAGACTGGATGACATTTTATCATGAGGTTTTCCCTACTCTTGAGAAATGAAGTGAACAGTGTCAAAATCCCTTGTAATGCTTCACCTGGCAAAACTGTTCATATGCTATGCTGATATTAGATTATGGTAAATTGTGAATTTTGACATACAGTCCACTTTATTTCTTTTGAGGAGTCGGGGTGTAAATGGGGTAGGTATGGGGTCTAGGTGGGTGTATGTTGCAGGTGTGAATGGGTGTATGGTGGGTTTTGTAACCACATCATGCAGACTGTTCTTCCTCAGCTATAAGCAACAGCAGTTCTCTTAAATTCTCCATTATCCAGCAAGGCAAACATGCACTTGGCCTCCTCACGTGATTGGTATGTAGATGTAAACTGGTAATTAGATATAGAATACTGTAACAACGATATATATTTTATGTGTTGGACGGCGGCTATTTCTAATCCAACTTGCTGTATCATAATAGGTATCCACCTCGGAGCAATGACTTCTTGCAACCCAAATAAATATCGTAAGCAACCCTTTGAGCACTGAAAAGCAAACTCTGGGTTAGGGGCTAACTCTGCTTGGTACCTAGACGCAATCATGACAAACACTATATAATGAAACTGGGATTCTTTTTTTTTTTTTTTGCAATATAATACACAAAGACAACTCTTTTCTCAGATTTTGGATTCATATAAATAAATATATATTCAAAAAAAGAAAACTGTAATGCTATAGCAGTTTGCGTTTAGATGGTGTCTAGGTCAGAAGTGACTAGTGAATATATAATATAACAGCATGTTTTCATAAATTGCTTTGATATGCCTGGAAGTTGCTACCTGAATCAGCATCCACTTTGTCAAGGCCTTTCCTAAAAAGATTGAAACTTTGTTGTTGTTAATCAATGACAAAACAAGTATAAAACTCCAGCAACTGTTTTGTATTTTAGTTCAAACAAACAAACAAACAAAAAAAATCTGTACATGTAAGGGTCTAACATTTATATTGACCTCAAGGAAATCCAACTTCATCTGGTCTGTACATTTCATATTCTCACAAAAGTAAATTTAACTTGGTCCAGCATCTGCTTTTAGGCTTTCTTTTTCCAATCACCACATACAATAGTTCAAGAATGTCACCTAAACAGAGGGGAAATTACATAACCTTACATAAAACTTAGTATATCACTGAAAGGCGAGCTGATGTGCCTACCTCATTTTAGATTTGAGTGAAGTGACCTCTCGGGTCATGACCTCATTCTGTTCATTCTGCTCGTCCAGTTCCCTCTGGAGTTTCCTGCTCTTTGCGTTCAGCCTTGTCACTTCCTCTTCTGCCTCATCCAACTGTCGCTTCAGTTGCTTCACGCGAGAGTTTGTCTTCTCCACCTGAATGGTGAGGGGGACAATAGTGAACTATATGTATGAACAATTTTTCCCAGAACCAATGGAAATATCACATTATATTTGGCCTTCTTGATTTTCACTTCATTTGGAAATGGTCTGACATTCATCAAACATGACTGTACTTAAGAAACTCCAGCCAAATGCTATAAATGTACACACAGATCAATTGCATAAACAGCAACCATTTGTGAAAACCTTGACTATAAAAGAAATTGATAAAATAAAGACAAACACTGTACCTGATCTTTGTACTGGTCAGCATGTCTGCGCTCATCCTCCACCTGCATCACCATTTCCTTCAGCTTCTTCTCCAGGCGACGGTTGGACTTGGCAAGGGCCTGACGGTCTCTGGAAGACAACAGATACATCAGACACTCAAATGAAAGAAGTGCTTGTGTGAGCTTACTTAAACAATGCTGAAAAATATATACATGTAATTGTCTTAAACTTTACAATATGAAATTGCGAATGCAAAATGAAACTTACCAAAACTTTTAATTCTATCCTTGCAATTTTTTTTCAAAACAAAATGGAATTCTAACATTTTTTATGTCAGCCATTCTTACCTGGCTTCAGTCTCCAGGTTCTCCTCCATGCTGGCAATCTTGCTCTCTAGAGCGGCAATGGTGGCCTTGTTCCTGGTCTTTGTGACCTCCTCAAGCTCCTGGAGCTTGGCCTTCAGCTCCTTGTTTTGTCTCTCCAGCAACATCCGGGCATTCTCCAATTTCTGGGTGGACGATCTCTCTGCAGCCAGCTCAGTGGTCAACTGCTCGATCTGAGCAAATAATTCACATTTCATCGATAAATCTCCTATTTGTGTTTATGTATTCCTTATCATACAGAATCTTTAAAATTCTGCCGATAAATTTGTACAGTTTTATCATTTCATACCTAATTCTCGTTACATTCTTTATTATAGATAACATCTTCTCATTAAACTATAAAAAGTGTTATCTATATTTCATTCTTACCTGTACCCCATTCTTCCTAGCCTTGTCCACTAAGATCTCCATGTTGCTCTGTTCCTCCTCTAATTCTTCCTCCAACTGAGCAATTCTGGCCTCCAAACGCTTCTTGTCATCGAGTAAGGCACTCCTAAAAAAAGGGTGTAACACAATTTAAAACTGATACCAGTAAACATTAGTCCATCGTTCTTAATTATAGAAAATAACAGTAAACCATTATTTTTTACTGCTCATATTTCTGTCAAAATTGTAGCAATAATCAAATGTCACATAAAACAGCAATGCTTGGCCAATGCTTTTTGTACTTACTTGCTGTTAGCACTGTTATTGATCTCATCCTGGAGTTCGTCTCTCTCTGCCTGTGCCTGCTTGCGGTTTCTCTCACTTGAAGACAGTTCCTCCTGGAGCTGGATAACCTCTGCCTCTAGAGCCTTCAGTTTCTTCTCATTTTCTTTGGAAGCCAACAGAGCCTCGTCCTTCTGGTGGTTGGCCTCATCAAGCTCGCGCTGGTAGTCCTTCATCTGGCCCTGAGGAGGGAAATTGTCAGAGAAATGTTAGGAACCAAGTTGCAAGAGTTGCTAAGTATTTCTGAACTTTTCTAATGAGACAATGTTCCCAGTTTCAAAAATCTACTTGTTATTTCATACATTTGTGTCAACCAATAACTCTGACATTATCAAAAATGCTTTTTATAGTTTTTATCATTTTTATCCTTACCTGGAATTTTCTGAGTTGTTTGACAGCATCTTCCTTGAGTCTGCTAGCCATGTCCAGTTGCTGTTCCATATCCTTCAGGTCTCCCTCCAGTTTCTTACGGGCATTGCTGGCGGCAGTCTTCTGCTTGCGTTCATCCTCAAGCTCAGCCTCCAACTCTCTCAGCTAAAATATATTAAATAACATATGATAAACCAAAAAATTTTAAAGAAATTATGAAAGACAATGTTTCCTAGAATTTCAGTTCGCAAAAGATGACAGGAAAAACATTTTTCTCTTTAAACTGACCATGTTGACATATCTATTTAAAGTGTAATACAAGATTGCATCATAAGACACCTGGCAATTTAAGGTACCTCCATTGCTTTAAAAGACACTAACCTGTTTCACCAAGCTGCGTTTTCCTTCCTCCACCTGCTCCTCCTTGGTCTGCAGATCTCGGTCAAACTGCGCCTTCATGGCCTGCATGTTCACCTCCAGTCTCAACTTGGCATCCTCTGTGGCCTGCAACTCATCCTCCAACTCCTCAATCTGGATACGCTGCTCCTCAACCTGGCCCTCCAGGGTACGCTTGGCCTTCTCCAGGTCATGGACCTAACACAAGAGACACACATGCTTAGTGTATTATAAAATATATGTACAAAACACAGGGGCAGGATACTCCCATATACAAAATACCTCCACTTAGAACCACACAGTTATATTTTCTACAGGAAAGCTGATTATAGCAGTAATGTCTGGCTGGTATTTCATACAACTACCATTTTTGCCGGAGTAACAAAAAACAAGACAAAACTGAACTCTGTCTCACTTACATTCTTGCCTACATCATCCTTTGAGGACATAAGATCTTCCAGCTCACGCTGTTGCTGCAGGCGCAGACGTTCAGACTGCTCCATTCTGTCCCTCATCTCCTCCAGCTCTCTCTGCAGACCCATGATCTTGGTCTCTCTGTCTCTGCACTCACGCTCAGCCTGTTCTTTCTCAAGGCCAAGTCTGAAAGAGGAAAGATATGGCAACAATTTAGACTGAGTGCAAGGAAACTTGATTTATAAATAATGAAAACTTTTATCTGGAAATAAGTTTTCTGCATCTCTAATGAGGCATTCACTGCTATTATACACCTAAATTTCTTAATTGTGAGGACAAGCAATTAATAGCCCTGCATGGAAAAAGAGTTACCTTTCAGACACTGCCTTCTCCTCAGCCAAACTCTGGTCAAACTTCTTCTGCTTCTTCTCCAGCTGGCTGTATGTGGCTCTTTGTCCCTCCAGGGCCACATTGAGATCCTCAACCTGACAAAAAAGAAATACAATGTAACAAAATAAGAAATACAAATAGGTAACAAATACAGTCTAAGAGACATATCCAATATTAAACATTAATAACATACAGAGACACACACAGTAAGCATAACACTAAATATTTAGCTATATAAACTTCAATAATATACTAGATAGACTCTTCACAAAGCTAAATTCACATTACAAACAAATTTCCACTAGATGCAAGAACAGACACATACCTCAGCCTGCATCTTCTTCCTTGATTTCTCCAACCTATCATTGGTGGCAGTGAGTTCATCCACGCGCTGTCTAAGGGCCTCGGTGTCTCTGTTGACTCTCTTCTTGTAGTCCTCATATTCTTCTCCTATACGAGCATCCTCTTCTGCCTTCTTCTTCAACTCGCCCATCTGAAGGAGGAGAAGCAATTTTGTAGATTGAATACTGGTGACAAATATTATCAGTTTGATGTGCCAAGTGATAAGTATAATCATTCAAAAACTTGACACCAACTACAAAACAGTTCAAATGCGAGTGTTTCATAGGACCATAAACAATTAACTCTTTCCTGTTCCCTTTAAACTGCATCTCTCAGTTACCTGTGCCGAGAGGTGAGCCACTTGTTTCTCCAAGTTCTTCTTGGCCTCCTCTTCCTCTTCAAGTTGATCCAGGAGATTTTCCTTCTCCTCCTCTGTTTGACGCAGTCTGGACTGTGTGCTCAGCTTCTGGCGTGTTTCTTCACTGAGAAGTTCCTGCAAAAGGGGACATGAATGATATAATGAAGATGAAGTAACCGTTTCAAGATTAGATACTCCAAATAAGCAGCTTAATAACAACCACAATGCTCTCTCTTCTTCAAGTTTCCATATACTTCAATACAAGTGACAATCAACCAAACTTGACTCCAATTCAATACAGTAGTTGCAGACATTTTATGTTCTGTTCTTACCTGTGCATCAGCCAGCTGAGACTCGAGTGATCCCACCTGCTTGGACAGCTGGGAGGCCCTGGTGTCTGCTTCGATTAACTGACTGGACGACTGCTCCGACTCTTGCTGCAACTGTGACAGCTTGGAGGCCTGCTCCTCCTGGGCTTGTTCTGCCTCGGCAAGACGCAACGAGATCTCTTGGAGCTGAGACTCCGCCTGCTTACGCTTCCTTTCCGCTTCTTGTCTGGCTGTTGATAGCTGTTTGATCTCATTGGCCATATCTATGTTTTCTGCTTCTAGTGTGGACTTAGCTTTGTCTACATTAGCTTTAGCCTGGAACAATAATAAACCCTATGATAACTTCCATTCTTGAAATATTATTTTTCTAAACTTAATGCCTTAAAGTTATCAACATCTACTTTCTGGTCTAATGGACTAATAGAATAAAGCATTTAGTCCAAAGTATTTAGATCCAATCTTTGACTGCATTCCCAGAGATTTGCTGTCAGCCGAGCGCACACCACAGTTAATTACCTTCTTACAGATTTAGTAGGCAGGACAGACATTTAAGCCTGTTAGCTGACACCAATTTAGTGAGACTGCCCAGGAGATAGATCGATCTAAATATCTATGGGAATGGGGTCTTTACATGCCATTCTTTGTACATTTTACAAAACCTTACATAATAAGTGATCAAAGCAACATCCTACCCTTCTAGCTGACTCCATCTGTTCCTGCAGCTGGTCTATCTGGGCGGTGTGTTTCTGTCTCATGTCTGCTATCTGGAGTTCAAAGGTTTTGTGATCTTCCTCCAGGGATTTCTTGAGAGAGGTCACCTCTTGCTCTCTGGCTGTTCTAACCTGCTGCATGGCAGCTGTGGTGTCCAGAGAGTCTTCCAACTCACTCTTCAGAGCTTCCAGTTCCTACAGGGCAGAAAACAGGACAAATTTTTTAACAAATACTAAATAGTTTCTAAACTGACTAAACAATTTGTTATACATCACAGAATGAAACCTTAATGCTTGTGCTATGAGCCTGCAATGCCCCCCCCCCCCCCCCGGTTAATAAGTTAAATTTTAATGTAAGCATGTCTTTCTTGTTCATTAATTTAACTATGTTAAAAATAATTGAAAATAGTGTAAATCTCAATTTATTCAAACTCTTGCAGTGTTTGCAATGTCATTTATTTAGTCTCAATGGGGAAATGAGGACTATTTTTCTTATAAAACTCACCTCCCCTAAGTCCCTCTTTTGCTTCTCTGCTTTGTTTCTTGCTGCCTTCTCTGCCTCCAGATCCTCCTGGATCTCTTGGACCTGGTTCTCCATTTCACGGATCTGTTTTACGTAGTTCGACTTTTGGCTGACTTCATCATCAACCCTGCGGCAGACAAAATTAAAGCATAACCGTTAAATGAACATTTTACCCTAGTGAGGGAATTTCTCAGATGCCTTGAAAAAATTTGGAACCGCTTTTTTCTCCCATTGACTCCAATCAGACAGAAAGTTATGATAATGTTGACCAGAGATCCATAAAATCAGGTGGCAATCAGAACACTTACTTTGCCAAGGTTTGCTGTAGGTCTTCATCTCTCTTCGATAGCTGTGCTTGGAGATCCTCCACCTGCATTTTCTTCTCATTCAGCTGTTCTCTTATATCATTCAGTTCCGTTTCTAATCTTCTACGGATCCTTTCCAATTCTTGCCTTGCCTAATAAATACAACATTTTATGTTATTTCGTAGATGCAAATTTCATTTTGGTAACATGAGCCGTTATCTTTTTATGACACATCTTAAACAGACATCATTCAAGAACCATCTATGTTAAGTGGAAAACTCACTTCTTGTTCTTTTCTAAGTCTTTCTTCCAGATCGGCAATGATAGCTTCATATTTGGTTTTTAATTTGCCCAACTGTTTGGACTTTTCTTCTTCGTCGCCTAAGTTGGATATCACTTCATTCAATCGTTCTTCAAGAGACTTCTTTTCTTTTGTTAACTGAAAACAAGAATTTGAGTCACATTAAAAATAAACTTCCAAGAGATAAATTTTACTCACAAAGATCAATTGTGAAAACATGGTAAAAAAGTGAAATGATTCTATGCTACTCCATATTAGATTTTACTATAATCAAATCATCAAGTACCTTATGGTTGGTATCATCCATGACAGCTGCAGTTTCTTCCAATTTCTTGATTTTGGAATCTGCTGCAACTTTCTCAAGTTGCAGTTTCTGCCGGGCCTGCTCCTCTTCTTCAAGCCTGAAATAGTACTTATCATTAGCAAGGAAGCAAGAACGAACTTTAAAGCTACAGTAACCATAATAAACATTGACATTAATCCTTCTGGTCAATTTAATTCTAGATTTATCATATGCTGATTAAATTTCCAAGCTATTTTAAATCTACTGAAATTAAAATATGAGCCATTCATCCTAAGCATAAAAACAGAAATAAAAACTTCTTCCAATACTGGTCAAATCAAATGTTCACATTGTACAAGACAAATCAGTGACATATTTTCTGTCTATGTTATTCATGCTACTTTTGTAATGGTACAGTGAGATAGGACTTACTGTTCTTCCAAGTCTTGAACATTCTGCTGCAGCTTTTTCTTCTCCTGCATGGTTTGATTAGCACGGTCCTCTTCCTCTTCTATTCTGGCTTCCAAATCTTGGAGAATCTCTTCTAATTCTTGTTTACGGGCAGCCAAGCGTGCACGAGACTGGTAAAAAAAGTAAACATATTGCTATAATTTTGATTTCTAGAAGTAATAATTTTTCCACAAGTTAAAACTGCTAGAATTTATAATAATTCCATTAAAAATTCACCTATAGGCCTAAAAAAACAAAAAACAAACAAACAAACAAAAAAAAAACAACATTGTAATATTACAAGGAATCAGCACTCACAAAGTATATTTTAAGTATATACAGATACAAAACAACTCGATGGTAGATACCTCCTCAGCCTCAGCACACAGCTCTGTTTCTGCCTGCAGTTGCTCAGCCAGCACATTCTTCTCCTCCATCAATTGTTGCTGCTTTCTCTCCAGTTCCACCATATCAGTTTTGTTCTTCTCAAACTGTTCCTTGAAGTGGTGCAGCTCCTCCTCGACATGACGCACCTTCTCCTCCTGGTTGGTGACTTGGAGCAATGGTTTCACCTGAAAAACACATCACTGAGCAATTACTGATTTGTCAGGAAAACATCTTTTTTCACAAAACTCATTTCATCATCTTAACAGACAGAATGGCACTTTTCAGATCAGTGATTGAAAGGGCTTTCCCTTTTTCAAACTGGTGGGTACAAAATTATCTAATGTGCACATTTCTAAAACAAAGAAGTACATGTATCAAATGTATCTGATCAAGCTGGTTTAGTTTTCCAGACCAGAAGCTAATAGTGTTACCTTAGTGAACAGTCTCCACCACTGCCAGTTCCTGAGTTTTAGGTAGGCAGCACAGTTCCTCTGGATCACACGTATGGCACTCAACTGCTGCAGGCGCTTCTGGTAGTTTCTGTAGTAGACACTCAGGGTCATCAATATGTGAACCTCATCAATTCATCGTTTATTAACTAGGATAACTTTATGAACAAGTATTTTATGGATATAAATTTTGTTTTTTAGAGATATGTATAATACGCAGTAACTTACATCAATTTTAAAAAGACATTAATTTTGTAATTTAAACCCCTTTTACTTAATGTAGTCAGATTACTCTGCAAATTATATAGAAAATGTTGGATGTGAAACTGCACCTTCTGGCGAGTAGACCTCTGGCACGCGCTTGGAAGGACACGATAATGTCGGTTAGTTTCAAGTCTCTCTCCTCTTCCAGGTGGGCAAGAACTCCAGCACGGAAGAAGATCTTACTCTGACCAACTCTGAACAGATTGGGGTCCAGTTCCAAGGCCTTGATCTATATAGAAAATGGGAGTTAATCCAATTAAAATTGCTACAAATATCCAAGCAAATATCCATAACTTGCGTAATACAGGAATTCTTGGCCATCAATTCAAAACGTGCAATCTAGATAGATTTCCAATGTCTTTGATTTACAATTTTTAGAGAGGAAGTCCTTACCATCAGTTCACAAGCTTTCTTTCCGTCCATAAAGCCCTTAGGAATAACACTGGGCGTCAACAGCTCGTATCTCTGCCTGAACTCCTGGAATACAATCCTGTTGGGGAAGCCCTGACGGCAGATACGTATACCCTCCAGGACACCATTACAGCGCAGCTGATCCAGGACGAGACCAGAGTCTATCTTACCAGCCTGAAGACAGAGAAGTACATACACTTAAGTACTGGATTTATTCATTTTTAGCAATGGATTATATCAAAGTAGGTAATGTGTTTATTAGTTTCAATTACTTAGGAAGAAACTCCTAACCATTTGCTTTTATGACCTTCTGTAAGCAAAGAAATAATACAGTAAGGAAAATGTTGTTTAGTGTTAAATTCTCTCATACATACAACTCCTTCAATTTAAAATTCCAGTATTATTTATGATTTTACAAAACATTCACATGCCTTCTTTTCATAGTTTGGAATGATGCAACGGACAAAGTTGGGGTTGGTGTTACGTAGTGTGGTCATCAGCTTGGTGAGCTGCTCCTTGTAAAGCTGCCCCACTGTGCGGAACATGCCCTTGCGAGTTCTGTTCCCGAAGGCAGTCTCTGAGGCCTCAACATTCCCCATACCAACAATCTCCGCTGGAATCAAGTAGACACAATGTCAGTCGGGTACGTAAAGGAAGAAACAAATCTCTGTAATAATACATGTTCATATTTTCAAAGACTTCTAATACTTCTCAATCACCTGTTTCCTGACAATCCACTATTGGTAATACACTAACATGATGAAATTCTAACAATTTTTATTCAAATACCTTCTCTCCAAGTCTGATATTCAATCACACCTCACACCATACAACATTAGTATTAATGAACACAGTAGATTATTCCAGACAAATAAACACTGAAATGTATCTGAATGACAGAAAACACATGCAGCAATGGCCATGTCTTCCAACACCCGGTTTAGTATAGGACTGGAAATATACTTCACTTGCATGAAGTTTGTGTCATGCCACAAAGCAAACCTGGGAATTATTTAACTTCTTGTAATAATGAATAGTAAACCACAAAAAATAATAAATAATTAAATAGATAAATAAATCAATAATAAAAAAAAGAGCAACAGTAATGTATAAAACAGACATGTTTGTTACATTTGAATGAACAATGAACTGCGCACTCAGCCCAACACATACTGAGTTTTTGTTATAAGCAGAAATAAAAATTCCGTTATTCAACCCGTTTTTCAACTGCTTAGTCTGAAGTGAAAAAACCTACTAATTCTAAGAAAAAACATTTCTTGTGATTGGCATATTTTGAAAGATAATTTTGCAAACAGGGATAAAATAACGCTTCTGATAAACTCCTGGCTGATCAGTAAGAAGCTGGGATAATCAAATATTCAGCAAAATCATCATCTATTTCAGATGGCAACTAAACAATCAAGTTTCAACAAACAACTCTAACATGCTGGCAACAGCTGCATTAAATCTGCCATGTTATTCAGCTTCATTAACAGATCCACACTGGCACTTACTCTTCCCTGATCCCTTGCCAAAAGAAACTGAATTGTAAAGAATGGTCTTAACCAAGTTTTTGGTGTTCCAGAGAAAATTGAGGCATTGCAGTGGCTCTGTGACATGATAAAAGATTTTCTACCAAGACAATATCATTAAAATTTTCCAAATGAGGTACAGAATAAAGGCATACTTGAAGACTAAACATATTTTCCATACACTGGGAGAAAGAAGCCATCTTACCATCCTTCCAGATAGTGGCCACAAAGTTGTCTGAGGATGTCTGCAACAGGTTGACCACATTCTCATTCAGGGGGTCCATGTTCTTCATCAGCCACATTTTGGCAGCATAATCAACCTAAAAGTAGCAGAAATATTCTAAAAACCGTCAGCCAATTTTGGTTGAACATTACAATTATTCAATCACAGTTGACATATGCCCACAAATTTTTGCCTAAGGAAACATTAAAGGCAATCCACATCAATAAATATTCCTTTTCCTTCTTGTGTCTGTCTTACCTTTCCAGCATAATGGATGAGACTAAAGTCTGCCTGGCTCTTGAAGTCACATTTCTGGAACTTGGGGTGTGTGTTGTGTTGAGAGACCAGCTTCTCCACAAAGGACTTGTCTGTGGCCTTGGGGAACCAACACTCCTCATCCAACAATGACAGCACTCCCATAGGCTAGAACACCAAGACAAGTGGTCATATTAGATGATATTGAGAAAATGTATAAAATTCAATGATAAAAAAGAAGATAATGCATAAAATTCAATAATAAAAAAACAATTGCTTAATTCAATAAGAACAAATGGTTATTTGTGTTTTAAATCAAACTTAAATTTTTATGTTTAAACAACAAACTGAAGTCTTAATAATCTGCATGGTAGATTAAATTCCTTGACACAAATTCTGAACACAACAATAAAGGCCCATAAACGTCCATAGACAGCGCCTCTGCTCCTACCTTCTCAATGAGGTCAATGGTGGGTTGAAGATCCAGCCCGAAGTCAATAAACTTCCACTCGATGCCCTCTTTCTGGTATTCCTCCTGCTCCAGGATAAACATAGTGTGGTTGAACAGCTGCTGAAGCTTCTCATTGGTATAATTGATACACAGCTGCTCAAACGAGTTTGTCTGGAAAATGGAAAACAATAAAATTCATGTGGTGAAACAGATTTTGTTCCTTGTGCAATGATAAAAAAATATGAAGATCTCATACAAATCAACAACTCATGGGCAGAAAACATCTCTTTGGGAACAATTTATTTTATCACCAATTAGAGTCATGTATGAAGCATTCTATATTAAAGTTTGCTAATCTTCTTTCCTTTTCACAAGGCATGATTTTGAGTAAAGGAGGCAAAGGGGTTCTCTAGGAAACTGGTTTCCATTGTCTCCACTTACTCCAAAGATCTCAAATCCTGCAATATCCAGGATCCCAATGAAGGAAGCTCCTTGTCTCTTGGTTCTGTCCAGAGAACGGTTGATTCTGGTCACCAGCCATTTGAACATGCGCTCATAAATTGCTTTGGTGATAGCTTCAACGGCAAATTCAACCTGAGGATCAAGACATAACATTTCATATCTTTTTTCAAATAGGTAGTATAATGCATAATGAAGCTTCTGAAGTGAATGTTACCAAAATGTGACACTTGTATTTTATCTTTTATAATCATTCAGACATTTGAATAAAAGAAATAGGATAATCTGTCATTGGAAGTTTTAACTAATTTTTTTCACACAGAGTGGGACATCTTCCAGTAGTATCTCCTCCTCAACAGAACGAACAATGCATTTTGCAGTAACAATAAAATCTATCAATTCGATATTAATACAGAAATCAAAACAGCCACTGACCTGTTCCTTTGTCTGTGCCTTGGTGACATGGTCGCGGCCCACCTTGATCTTGGGTTTCAGGAATGCTCTTGTGAAGTCTGTCACATTCACTCCAAGCAAGTGGCAGATCTTCTGAGCGACTGAATGGGAAAATATAAGACACATTTACAAGCTGGTTGGTGCAATAGCATCTCTCTCTCCTTTTCTAGCACATCTTATGTGAAAGTGACAAACAGTGTAGTGAAATGACCAAAACGATGGAAATTTTGATAAAAGTCCTGTAAAACGATTAACAAACTGAACTAAAAAAACAAAAACTGTGGAGGGTGTAGAACTCCAAGTGAAAGCTTCACAAAGAATACTGACTATATGACTAACTTATATTTATACTACAAAAGAAATAATATCAACTAAGAGCTTTGACTTGCTAAAGAAGAAGAAATATACTATATAAGAAATATAACAAAATAAAAAGAACAATTCTGAAAACTTCATGCAGTCTACATCACATACTTTATCAAACTGCAAAACTATTACTAAATGTGCCATACAAATTCTGGGAAATGTAGCAAAAACAAGAAGGGTATTTTTATTTTAGGTTGGAATTTCAATCTTAGATTTCTTCATACCACACCAGAAAGTTACCATCCATATTTTATGTACATATCAAAATTCATGCAAATGGGGAAAAAACTGTGGATTTACTCATTGTGCAATTCAGTCAAGCATCATCATACAGTTTTTTCATTCTTATTTTCAAGGAGCAGGTTTTGAGGTTTCTAAATGGGAACAGTCATATGCAGAGTCAACTGTAAATTACTTCTCATATATCAGTTTGATTCCTTAAAATAAAAATTTGCATGCAGTCTAAGATATCATGAAGTCTCGTAAATTTGACGTGCCAGCCCTCTTTCTTCATCATGTCAATGACAATCAAAATTTAGCATGCAAAAGTTCAAATCACAAGCAGGTATCATTGGTAAATGTTATCATTATGGGATAGGTAATCATCCATTTCTTTTAAACTTCAATTTTCATGATGCACAGTATAAAATGTCCAGGAGCATCCCTACACAAAGGGGGGTTTTCTGCTCAAACCTGTGTTATCTGGAATAATGGCCTGGTCTGATTTCCTTTCATTCTGTATGGCTAGATTACCAAATTGTAGGACTGCTGATACTACCCTTAAAACCCCTGCAAGATACAAGTCCAATGTGGTTTTAATATTCAGTTTTGTCAATAGATGTCGCCTCATTACAGTCTGGATACCTACCAGTATTCTCAGGCAGAGAGGCCTGATCGGAGTTTCTCTCCTTCTTAAACTGCATGTTGCCCATGTGCAAGCAGGCAGACACTATTCTGAAAACAGCTGGAAGAAAGCAGTCACAAACAATGAAGCATTATTCTAGGGGAAACCTGATGCCTTATTATACAGCTATTCAAGTGTTCATACAACACAGCACAATCTGTTTCATACTTAGTCATATTTAGTGTTACTTCAGGACAGTTAAATTTGAACATGAAAGCTGCATATTTCAAAACGCAGACCAATTACAGAAATACACCTGTGTATAGCAAGTCGGCCTGAAATGAAGCAGATGATTAACAAGAGATATAATGACAATAATAAAGCACATTCTAGAATTGTTTAACATGATACCCCTTAATTTTCAATAACTTGAAAGTTACAAGCTTTAACATCAGTCAATCAAAGATCTTCAGATTTATACAAAGATGGAAAATATGCAAGCACATAAAGCAAATATGAGGAAGAATACTTCGAAAATACTTTGTCATAACATTAACCATTCTATGGAGAAAAGTACAGCAGTTTACCGTATCTGTCTTCCTCAGACATCCCCATGATGTTCATGGCCTCCAGGGTCTCCTTGAAGGTCTCCACATCGTCCACTCCTGGCACAGGGTTAGGCCCATTGGTGATATAGCGGTACTTCCTGATGTCTTCCAGCAGAAGCTCCTCTGGAAACGGACACAGTAGGGATTAGCAATGGGATGTCATATTGTGAATTATCATCATCATCATTACTATGAAGTAAGAGAGAGAATGCTCTGGTTCTTTCAGTATCACATCAGATCAGGTAAATAAAATTTACCTATTCAAGATTGGTGATGTCCATCACAAGCATACATACTGACTTTGCTACTTTCTAAATCCTGTATTACATTTATTTTCCCCTCTTATTATTAAAAGTAAATTTCATTTTGTTATGGCAAGGAACTAAACAAGATCCAATAAAATCATTATTGTTGTCATCAATGTTTTCTAAATAAAAATAATTCTTTCACATAGCCAAGTTTCCATTGAGAGTAATTTGAGTTTATTCAAAAGGTTACCACTTATCGCATGTATTTTCCACTATTCTGATTCCTGCATCATCTATGCACTTAGGAAAAAAATTCGTAAAAGTGGCAATATTGTAGAAATAAGTAGTTCAAATGTCCTTAATCAGACTTCTGAGTCATGCCTGTCCTATTACAGTCCTAGTTTGACTTATCATTCCCAGCTTAAGATAGCATCGGCAGGATAAAGATAACAGGACCTTGAATTCTTACTGAATGACCATGTTGACAGAAATACACAGGTAATCTGGGCTTTTGACTCCTTCGGCTTCCAAGTGTTGAACATTCTTTTGATGTGTAACTGAACATAACCCCTGAGGTGTTGAAGGTGGAATACCTATGAACTGCCATCAGTACTCGCTAGGGTTCTGACTGCGGTAAAAGATAACATGTGCCATACGTTGTTTAAAGGAATAGTCTTTTTTTAAGACCCCTTTTTTTTTCCATACTGATTCACATGTATAAAGAACAGATGTAATCAGCTGGTGTGCAACTTGTTAGGCAAGATCAGCAATGCTGCATCAGAGTAAGAACTTAAACTGCTTAAACAAGGTTTTAAAATACTATTTCCATTAATTTTAAAGTTTTTTTCCTTTAAAAGATGATCCTTATGACCCATTCATAACCAGCTAGGGAAAAAACACCTCTTTGGTGCTGTAATGAGTTTACAGCACATGTTCCCGTTATCCTGTGGGCACAGGTGTTTTATAAAAAATTCATGTATTCATAATCATTCTCAACAAGGCATGTGCTTGCCCAAAGCTCCATGCAGGTTACCTTCCATTACTGTTATTTTACCAAAGCCAAGTAGGGCTCAAATTCATCTTTTTAAATTGTTTTTATTGAGTTATTTTTAAATGGTTCTATTGGGCACCTTTAAAGCAGTTTCATATTTATTATCTAACAAACTACTTTCAATATGTAAATAACATCAAATTTGTTTTGTCTTTTTTTTTTTTTTAAACGACTTCTAATCCATTCATTCATTAAGTATTTCTGACCATTTCAAGGTCATTTCCCATAGAGGAACTTGAGTATTTAAGTCAAAATCAATTAGAGTTATTCTTTTAAAACCAATTCAAGTAAATCAAATTGTCTCATCTAATTCTTGGAATTAACGCCTGCAGTAACTCAATACATAATTACACTATCTCGTAAAATCGCCTGTCATTATGCAAGTTTAGGTTATTGTCATCTGGGGACATTTCCTTTCTACTTACTTCTCATGTCAGGTGTGGCTCCAGCAAGAAGCTGGTAGGCTATGTGGAACATCCTCTCGATTTCTGCCTGGTGAATCACACGGGATTTCTCCAACAGATCTTAGCATGGCTGTTAAGTGTAAAACAGATCTGTGTGGCAGAAACAGAGTTGAGAGGGTGGAAAAATGACCAGTTTATTTAGAATGAAGGGTGTGGAGTACAGTAATCATATGTATGTATGTTCAGATTATCAAAAGTATTGTCAAGGTAGTGGGTGTTAACATATGTAGTTGTTTGTACAAACAACCCTACACTATACAGTTATAGCATTTTTTTTTTTTGTAATTATGCACTTTGAGTGAAAAATTGGAATGAAGTATGCAAAAGTTGAGTGTCTGGAAAATGTAATATCTGTAATTATAAAATGTAATTAATGACAGAAAACTGAAAGGATACAGGACTCTATGTTGGCTCCAGAGATGTAACCTGATGCATCAAAGTTGATACGGATGAATTTACCCTACAAAATCAGAATTACATTTCATTAGTTTTCACCATAATTTACTATAACATGATCCATTTAAAAAAATAACAGTGACCAGTTTATTGAAAAATAAATAAACCAAAAAAATAATCTGAATTAAAAAAAGGTTTTGTCATAAAAAGATTGCAATACCAAAGGCGAAATCTGTATTGAATTTTCGATTTTTCCTTTTTTGCTATTTTCATGTTACCTACATTGTCTGACAAAATTGAAAACATAAATTAAAAGAACATAATACTTATTTAATTCACGACACTTAGTTTTTCTACCTTTGTTAATTATGTACAAATGTTTAAATGTAAGTGTCCTTTGTATGTGGTTTCATGTGTGTGTGAAAAAAAATTAGCAAAACCGAATACTTACAAATCGTGAAGAGTTGTCATTTTTGATGGTCTTAGCATTGCCAAAGGCCTCTAGAATGGGGTTGGCTTGAAGAAGTTGCTGCTCTAACTCGCCCTATAAATTTCAAACAATGTTAGATTGAAATATGACCACCATAGATATGATTTTGTTTGGTGAACACAAATGTTGATTTTAATAATTTTGGATAAGTTTCAACCAAACTACTACAAAACTTTTGAAAACATTCATGCTACTTAAAAAGCATTTCCTATACATGGAATTCACTGAACCTGAAACAAAAAACAGGTCATAAAACATCAGAAATTTTTCATTAGCCACTTAATTTTAAAAATCATTTTGAACTAAAAAATGTTTGTGGTGATAGCTTAGTACACTGTGCTTTTCCCATTTAGCCAATTAAAAATAATCTCAACTGAAATTTATTCTCTACTGTGAAAGTGTCACTTATGAGAAGACGGGCCATCTTGATGGTGCCGTGAATGGAAGAACAGGGCAATGACAGCGGGGATAATTCAAGGAAATTTGTTGGGATAACACCATAAAAATGGCCAATAATAGTAAACCAGTGGTCAGTATCTCAGAGGGCACTCAGAGGGACAGAGATATTCCGAACTCTGTCACAAACGTATCCAACAATACACACATGCTCTCCCTAGTTCACTTTCTCTCTCTCTCTCTCACTCGCTCGCTGTACACACGCACCTCCTCTCATCTCGTCTAAAATAATCATCATAGTAAAAACGAAATAAGATAAAAAAAAAAGAAATACTTAAGTGAAAGCACCCTTCTGAGTGCCCGGTGAGAGTCTTACTTACAAGGTTGATATCCTTGTGATCACGGTGCTGCAGAGGAGGACAAAGAAGACAGAAAGACAATTAGATTATCACATGCGGGTTGATTGGTTCATTGAGACAATCAGATGGCTCACCGTGACAATGTCACAGGTGGCCATCACCGAGAGGGATAAACCCTCACAGCCGCCATGTGTGGTTTCTACCAAATCATGTGATTAGTTAATGCGTGTAGATTAGTGACAGTATGACACAGGAATCAAAAAGACAGACAGACAGACAGACAGACAGACAGACAGAAGGCAAAGTCAGAGGTAGAAGCATGACTAAATAGGCACTATTAGAATAAATATAGTATAATCCTGGTGCTTCACACCCGAGCCCCTATACTGCAGATTAATCTGGATGCAAGGTGTTGGTTTCTGGAAGGTTTCATTAATCGTCAATTCTGGGAACCATATTAGAACACCCTCATCCTTGAGGTAGTATTATTCATTTTCAAAGTAACCTATGACTTTATAAGTGACCTTAGGGCAAGGAGTTTTTTAATATAGGGGGAAAGATCTCCTCAAGATGCTTTTGAGTGTTTTAGTCTGGTAGCTGTGGGTGGTGACAGGACATTTTTTTAAAGAATCAAACCCTTCTAGTTTAGAATAAAACTGTACTGTTATCATGATTACTGGTCTCGCATGCAAATCACTTATGGCCAATCACTGCCATGTTTGGTTTCATTTTCACTTTTTTGTACAATAGTTTTTATTGAGCAAGATGTCTAAAAGGATGCTATTGTTTTAGGAGGAGACAAATTATATACTATACTTGAAGAACAGTCCAATGCTCTGTCGTGTGTCCTGGCTGGAAAGTCAAAGCATAAATACATGTATACAAAGATATCAAACTCACAAAACAATATGCCCATTTTCAAAAACTAAGCAGGATTATTTTGCATACAAGGGCATTGCACTTTTAGCAGAAATGGATTTCTTTGTTGTTGTTTAAACGAGCAATTAAAAAATGTGCTACAATCATAATTGTTTCTCTTTTTCTGACAGACGGATGTCAAGGCATGCTTATCACCATAATGCCATGTATAGAAGGGAAACCTCCGTGTCATGCTTAAATTCCAGGTCACAGGGTGTTTACACTAAGATATGGACTTGTTTGTAAGTAGCAGCACTGGTAAAAGTCTCAGTACTGTTTGGTACCCAACTTGAAACAAGACTGTGGAGAGAGGAGAGGGACGGGACAATAGGGAGGGAGGGGGGTGGGTTTGAGGATGGAATGAAAATATTTTCTGTTTTAGATCAGTATAACATGATGAAAAACCAACAGCTTGCCATGTAACACTGCAGGCAACAGGTAGACACATGCTGCATTGCAATGTTTATATTCTCTCCATTATATTGTAGAGGTTAGTATGTGCATAGGTTTGCCAAATTCAAAACTAAAACTTAGGTGTTGCATTTCAGAAACATGTTACTACTTTTATATTAAAAAAGGACAAAACTTTATCCACTAAACACCTCTACCACCAGGCAATTCAAATGAAAGCAACACTGTAAGGTTAAATATGTTTTTTTGTTTAAAATACATAACAGTAGTCAGGTATGTACATATGTACTGTAATAAATTCATAACCAGGTAAGCTGCCGAGGGAAGTATAGCCACAATGCAATCAGCCAACACACCACAGTCCCTATTGAAACTTCAAGCAGTTTAGTTCTTGGCTTATTTCAATACATACACCCAGTGGTAATGTTACTAGGAGCTGCTAGCATGGGTAAAACATGGCATCCCAGCTATATATGAATAGAAAAGTTCCTGGTCTACTGGAAATCTGCTTGCCATAGTTAATTATACAGACCAGTGTCTGCATTATGTTGTTATTGCCATTAGATTTAAGAAAGGTTTGCATGCTAAATAGGTGGACAATTAGCATCAATACTACAGAATCAAAACTTTTTTAAAAAATGCAAAAACTGGCTTGCTTTAATTACAGAAATAAAAACTCAAGTTAAAGCCTCAAACTTTGCGAAAGACAATAATGATAAGTTTCCAAGAACAGACAAGGTTTGCAATATTGCCATATCATAAATTGTATTCTTACATAACTTCACCATATTAAAACCTTTTCTTTTAATTTCAAGTTGCTCTTCGTGCTTTTATCTCTTTCCAACATTATTTTTTTCTTCACATCGTTTTAACATTTTATTTCAAGTTTTTGTTTGCAAACCTTCTCTGCTGCCAGGCCTTCCAAATATTAAATAGCCAAAGACATACAATACACACATGCCTCAAAGCAGATGTTGGTCTTTAAAATACTTGTATACACCAGTTAAATAGTCAAAAGACAATTACAAAAATTATCAAAATTATTAAATGTCTACATCACAGAAATATCAGAATATGTTAAAACGCACTTATATCAACTTAAATTATTCAAATGTACACAACATTTCATTTTTAACAATTTAAACAAATTACTTTTACATCCCCCTTTAAACATCGAAGTACAATTATAAGAGAAAGAGGTCTTTCTTATCAATCATTAGGCATCATCTTACTGGATGTGGTTACTACAAAGACTACAGTGTGAATGGAAGATGAATTGCTTAAGGCAGAGTAGCATCACTTCTATATAACCACACTGGCACACTTTGTGCTTGTGCATGACCTCACCACTGTTCAAAGCAAAAAAGCTGTGAATCTGATCAAAATTATATGTGCAATAATAACCCCCACATCTTCTGTGAGCAAAAGCCACTACTAGACTACACCGACTGCACTTCAAAACAAAAATACTTTTTTTTTCATAATTGAAAGACAACAAGCTCCCTCCCACCCCTGTAAAACAATCCATTACATGTTGCGTGATAAAAACATGACTGAACATGTGCATAAGAACAGTCTCTTGGGTAATGTGTCACTCGGACATTATTACGTCAGTGGGTGATTTATGTCTGTACGTCATCCCACTCTAGGTGGGCCCCATGCCATCCAGTCATTCCATTCTAGTCCCGAGTCCCATGTGCAGTGCAACACTACATTTCTACTACTTCTCTTCCCCCTCAACCCACTTGATCATACTACCACTTAAATAAACTGTTTGGTCAGCACAGATCCTTTTGACCTCCAAAAATTCCAAATATTTTCTAGAAAACATAACAACTAATTTCTCTTAATCAATCTACAGCGTGTTCCAGGGTTACTGACAGACAAACACTACATTTCACACTCAACGTGCAATTAAGGAAAATAATAAGGATGCAGGGAAGATGAACCCGACATGCTAGGAATCCCAAGGGCTGCCTCCCCCCTCATTCAAACTGTCCCCCACATACCTGGATACTGTGTATAGTTGAGGTGGACTGCCTTGATGACTTGAGAGATGCGGCTACATATGCCAGGTACTGGATCACCTTCTTGGTATTCTCTGTCTTACCTGCACCAGATTCACCTCTGGAAAACATAGTAATATGTGTAATTTTATGCCTTTATACCTTTAAATAAAAGTTATTGCTTTCCTTTCGTGTGTGTGTATGTGTGTATGTGTGTGTGTGTGGGGGGGGGGGGGTTAAAAGCAGGGGCGAGCACATGTCCACACAACCTTTCATTTATCCTATGTTATGATCTTAAGTCTATCTATAAGTCTGATGACCATGCTACAAAATAAAGCACATCATTCAATAAAAAGCTGTTAAATTGCTTTCCACCCAGGCTTAAGTTTTAGATCAGAACCCTGCTGCAGGATTCCCCCTCTTTCTCTTTCTGATCCTGACAGAACTTTACAAAACTAACAACAAAGCCAGCTGAAACAGTGCAAATTTACATAACATAGTTGTCATTTATTTAAAACATTTTGAATTAATATAATCTTTAAGCGTTTACAGTTCACACTCCAGGCTGACATGTTTTCACTCCAGGGTTAGAAATATGGCGCCAGACAGTTAATCAGAAGATGCACTTTTGTCACAAACCTTCATAAAATAAAATAAAATACAAGTGTACAGTAATTAGCAAGTGCTTAAAGAAGGAAGGAAAGAAGATTTCTTTTGGCTAGTTAAGGAAGCACAATCTGTTAGAGAGTTATTTTTGCTCCATTACTGATTTGTTTAGTCCACTTTTTGCTTTCAAAACCTGTCTTTTATTTAGATCTTCCTGCCAGACTTAAGCACTTTCATCTCCGGAAGGCGCTGGCATGAATAAGGATGGACTGCTTTAAATATTTATTCTTTTATCTTAAACCACTACAAATGATCTGCAATAGCAGCTAGCAGCGGCCAGCAGGGAACCTTGTTAACATTACTATGATATGGGGCTACTGCTAAGCTGGCCACAAGGTCCAGGGGCCACCACATTGGCTGATAAATGAGAAAAGGCTTAAATACATCTTATATTGAAAAATATGATTATAATCAATGCTGGAAATGTCTACATAATCTGAGGTCACAGGGTAACAGTGGTGACTCATTCACATTTTCCATAAATGGAATGCGTATGGCATATATTTCTATGGCGCTTTTGACCAGCACTAAAAACATTACTCATAATACTGTTTACAAATGTCTGCCCATTGTTATCTAAGCCTCAGAGAATCAATATGGCAGGTACAGTCAAGTTCTGATACAGTGGACCTAGAAAATCAAGACCAATAGAGGAAAGCGTAAAATAACAAGAAACCTATTGTTCAGTCCACGCTATTTAAGTAATAAGGAACATGACTGACCCATAAGAATCAAGGCGACACACCGTAAAAACAAATTTGGTTTATAAAATAGCTTGACCACTCTGGCAATGCACAGAGTGTATAGAATTTAGTTCCCTTTTGTCATAAAAACAGGCAATTCTGTTCACAGGTCAGACCGTCAAAGTGATCAAAAGACCACTGGTTCCGACACTATTCATGTCCCAACAGCGTGAATGACATTTTAACTGGTATTAATTATCCCATTTGGCACTGTGAACAAGAGGACCTTTATTAGACTTGCTAATGATTCACATTTATGCATGTCAGTCACAAAGATATAACTTATAAAAAACGCAACATACCCATATAGATAGTCATCCACAATTCCCTGTCACCTTACCAAATAAGGCATGTTTTGAACATGGGTGGGAGGGACCACGGTCCCATTATGTAAATCAGCCACAAGAGCCACTGTCATGTTATAAATATGAACCACAAAAACCACCAGAAGGAGGAAGTAAGCTTTCACACTTGGCTAAAATTTGATGCAGATGTAGTAAGGATGCCACTTCTCTAGCTACTGAATCAGTGTCCTTGGTGAACCACTGTCATCATGAACTGGCGTCTCACAAATAACATGAGGACATCAATGATATTAAGAGTAGCAAATTCCCTCAAACACAAACAAGCTATTTTATATACATTCTGCAGTCAGTTTTCCTATTGAGAAAATTTTTTCTCCTACATGGTCAGCAGTGTACAAAATCAAAAAATCCTTTGGACTTTAATCAAGCTAAGTACTTAGCAAATGCCAACAGAATTACTTTTTCATTGTAACAGTGTTCAGCTCACAACCAAATGAATTCATAGTGTCAGAACCAGGTGGTGTATGAATTATGGCTTCATGACATCAAGGAACATTTCTATTGTGTTATGAAGTCTTCCTCAACCTGTTAAAAATAACAAGATCACTTGTGCAGTTATAAAAACTCAACAGGTGTGCCAGTTGAAATGTCAATCTGTTTCTATGTGTTTCCAATGTACAGCAAGTCAAGCCAGACTAAAGGGGCATTGCACGGTCCACTTCTCTGACATTTGACCAGTTACACCTTGTCAAACTTACAACAGTTATCCCAAAATTGAACTTATAAGCCGAAGGGGCTAACACTGCCTCAATTGAACCAACTCTTATATTTATTTATTTAGCAAAAATTTTCAATGACTCTGACTGGAGCCATCACTTTTGGTTAACTGAGCATACAAGAGGGTGGGAATGGAGCTTGCATGTAAGTGTGGAAAACGTGTTTGGCTTTTTGCTTTTTCTAACAGCTAATTTCAAAGAGGGACCGCTACAAGTCTCGTATTAAGAGCATTGCACCTCTGCAGCTGAGGCGGAAGAGGCAAGCTGGCATGCAATACACCTCCTCAGTCACTTCATTTAGTCTCGTAATTTGGTACTCTGTACTATTTCTGCCATGGTGAATCCATTGTGGATACTTTTCGTGCTACGGTCAATGCAGCTTGTCTGTTCCCCCCAGACATTACGTAACACACTGATACCTACACTTTACTACAACATACCCTGGACCGAAGAGAAAAATTCATCAGGCAAAATTTCTATACAATCTACATCTCACCCCAGGGCTAGTTAAGGGACGCCTGAATGAATATCAAACAATGACACAGCATGGCGATTTTCACATCCACATGGCTCCCTTGACTGACAGTACATATTTTTTTTTGGAAGTTCTGTATTTTAAGGGCACTCTCCATTCAATTGAACCCCCCATCTTCTTCATCGCCTTATAGCACAAGTGTACACAGTCCTCTTTCTATGCTCCTATTAGCATATCAATAGGACTGGTATGTGGCGGCCTTGGTGTGGTATGTGCGCCTTTATTTCTTGCCATCCTTTTATGGCGACCTCACAATACTCCAGTAAATGTCTCACCTATACACAAGTAATTGCTGTTACATGTGTTTTCTACCTACTATCACCTGCGTCTGGACTAAGCAAATAACAAGCCAATACGGGGGACCTTCCTCAAACAGGACCTTTCAGATAAGGGGCAGTCACAGTGTAACATATTTGCCTTCTACCTGTAATTGACTACAACCTCATACCTTAAAAGAGAGTCATTCTTCCTTTCAAAGCTATAGCTTAAAATTCTCCAAAGAAGGTAAATTACTCTGGATCTAAGCTGACAGGGTTGTGCTGGGATGACACAGGAATGTTTACAGGATTAAAGATTTAGATTAAACTGGTAATACATTAGGATGTCTGACCTTAGCTATTAAGATAATCAATTTCTAACAATGACATTCCTTAGGATATCCCCCCCCCCTTTAACTCTCCAATGTTCCAACATAAAATGTAACTGGCTATCATGTGACCACTACAGAGCTTATCATAATTTTGAGTCAACCCTATCACATACTAATATTGGCATCATTTGTTTAAATTTGGAGCAATATTTAACATGTGATTCAGAGGCAGCTAATTTCACTATTAAATGCATACAGGGGCTACTGTAGACTTGTTTGCCTTGCTGACCAGACACTAGCATCATTTTAGCTGATAAAGGACAGACTGAAGGGGCAGCAATTGACCAAATGTCCACTTCTCAAATCACAAATAATCAGAATTGCGCTGTCAGCCCAAAGTTATTATTGAAATATTTTTTTACAATTTAAAATCCTGACAGCCCATTATTCATATGGCCTGTCAACGCATGCACTGGGGCAGCAGTATGTCAAGGTAGGACAGTTCAGTTCAGGCAGTGTAGTTAGGTCCATAATTGACATGATATCCAATAAATCACCCCCTTTTATTCCACTGCTCCTCCCCCTGTACACTTATCATTTCATCTACAACTCATCAACCCCTGGACAACATTCCTTGTAACCCCTTGACCTAAATGCCCAGTCCTAATGAGGGCCATTTTCAATAACATGGAAAACACTTTCCTAATAATATGTTGCCTATTTCTATTAAATAAGTGGTAAATTATTGCTGCTATAGCACAGCAGGTGGTTGGTTAGAAATATCACCAATGCCTTCTCAGAAATGGCAATAGTCAAAGACAAATGCTGGATTGTTTTTTAAAAACACATTGCATCACGTATGAAAAGTTTCTTTTGTCACGCCTGGCACTTGAGCCCACACACACCAAGGCTTAACACTTGTTAAACTGTGCCATTCCCACTGAAAGAGAACAGCTTTTCATTTGAACTTGAATTAAGAAATGTCCCCAACCCTTAACTGGATGCAGTCCCTGGGGATCATCCTTTAGGTCTAAGTCATCCAAATTAGCACTATCACCTGTCTACAATATACAGGTAAGACAGGTGTGTCCCACTGTCAGGGTTAGGAAGGTCACCACACTGATACCTCAAGTATTCTCATTTCTGACTTACAGGTAAAGTTGCGTTAGTTCGTGTTAAGCATGTGACTATCCCTAACTGGGGCAGAGGTATGGAATGCTGGAGGGAAACAACTATCTAAACTAGCAGTGTATTTTACCACAACGTGTGAGTGTTTTTATATACACCAGATCGTTGGATTGAGGAGAGGGGCGGGGATTGGGGGGGGGGGTGGGGGGGTGGGGGGTGAAATTGTGAGAGAGAGTTGATCACTTAAATCATCTTGCTGAATGAATTATATTTTGGAAGAAGACTAACAAATATAAGTTTAGTATTACAGCTCCACATCATTTTCATTCAACCCTGTCCAAAATATATGCATCTCTGACTGATTTGAGCCCCAGATCTTGGAGAAAACTTCCATTTGGATAATTATATAATTTATGTTTACTTGCATATAAATCAGGGCATAGCAGTCAAGCAAGCAGGGCAAATACTTCAAACACGGCAATAGATCATGTTGTAGTGCAGCAACAAAGCGAAAACAACCCGGTGTTTTTTAATGAGAAGCTACCGTTCATGTTCATAATTTTTTAAGTGTGTGGTAGAAAATAGAATACCTGGCGAGTGAGTCACCGTGTGCCATAAACTATGCTTTGAAATATTTAGAAGCTTAAGCAATATAATGGTTATGTTTTATAAAAGCTGTAGTCTTTGAAGATCAAATAAAGCAGAAAAACATTATCTGACATACAATGTAAGTGAACTCTATACTTCACAACTACTCGGACTTCAAAAATATGCAACATTCACTGTACTCACGTGCATAGAATAGATTGGTCCTCTCGATCTGAAAATACATGAAAAAAATAACATAAGTCATAAACATACCCACACCAAAATATCAAATTATCTGAAATTGCTTATCCAGTTTCTATGAGGACACAGCCCTTATCAAGTAATTTAAAACCAACTTTGCCTGGCACTGCCCTAAAACATAATTACCAACAGAGGTGATTTTATAAAAACCTTCTAAACAATGGTGTAAGAAATAATAACCACCTGCAAGCTGACTTTGAGTGAACCATTTCAAAGGAAAAGATACAAAAGCTGAAAATAGTGGATCAACATGCTTGGAATTTAGAATTTGTTTAATCAATCAAAACCAACTTTGCAGGCAAACCATTTCCAAGTGCCTACTCTACAGTATTTGTTCTGCTCAAACAATACACAGACAATGGAGAACAACAGGTATTCCCTGTTAACTAACATTTTACTTCGTATCTCAATCTTCTTGAAACCATACCCTCCTACAACACCAGGCCATAAATCGCATTGCTGTCCATAATAGCAACAAAAACACAGGAATGGCAGACTTTTTGCAACTTTTTTTTTTCTGAATGAAATGGATTGGTGTTTATAATAGGAGCCTTCTTGCAGGAGTGCTTCCAACTCATTAAAAAGTTCTATTTCAAACATTCTCTTCTCTCTCTCTCTCTCATGTAAAAAAAACAAGCAAGTCTGTCATGTACTCTGCTTATGCAGAGTTATCTAAACAGTTGCAACAGTTCTGCAGCTACTGAGAAGCATGTGCTTACACACTTGTGTATCTTGCAGCTCAGTGTGCCAACTCTATATAAAACATGATTTATGGTACCTTACTGTAAGAAAGACTAGAATGGAGGAGATGTTGCCCATAACAATTTACCTGAGTTTGTACTGATTAACAGATTTTATCCTGTGAGGATATATGATGCAATGCTGCTTTGTACTAGATTGAAGTAACACACAGCTTTCTCTTTACTCAGGTGAACTTTTGTTTGGCTGGCAGGATTTTTATAATTATATAACCTAAAGAAACCTCCCAGAACTGAACATGATCTATCTTTGCCACTTCACATATATATCTTTGGACCATACCAGTTCAGGTTTAAACTGGACTTGAGGTTTAGACTGCAGAACCTCTTGTGCAGCCTTGCATTTACCTGGGATAATCCTGAACTTAAAACTTTAAAAAATTAATTCAATCCTTTATCTCACTCTTTCTCCAAAATAACATTTTCAAGTAATTTTTCTAATTGCTGGACTTTTTTTTTCACTTCTTTTAATCTCCTCTCTGTATATGGTTCTTCATTTCCAAATAGTAACTTTATATCATTCTAAAGAAATGTACAACACAGACAGAGGCTGGCTTCATTTTAAACATTTAAAACTCAATATTTGGACAAGAAGGATGTGCAGCCTGCCACACAAAAGGACGTGGCTTGCCCATTCAGTGCAGAGAATACATTACACCCTATAAGACTACTGTATCTGCCAGGCATGAAAATTAGGTGAAAAACAGCGTTTACGTATTCATGTCACATCTTCAGCTTCCATGTGTCAAATCAGCTCCACAGGGAGACGGATGATACCAACAACAATGCCAATGTACATGACTATATATAGACTATATCTTGTGAAGTCTTTTTTAAAGTTAAAGGTCATATAAAGACATGTCCTCATGGAAATGTCACTTGAACTGAAGCAGTTTCCCCAAAACGTTCCATTTAGATAATCATGTTAAATATGTAAATGAGATTTAAATATATCCAAATCAATTTTGGTTTGGTTGCAGTAAAATATATACCTGGTTCTCACTGATACCATGCCCATCTGTCTGATTATAAGACAAAACAGTTTTTGTTTTAATTAAAAAATGCCGAAGGCCTTGCAGTATCAACACAAACTACCACAAGACATTTGTGAAACGACCAATAAAACCAGGGATACATCACAAATAAAATGCTCCATCTTTATATCATTTGCAACCTTTATTTGTATTCTTTATAGCAGTGTGTGCATCACAGGTATCAGAGGACCACCAGATATTTATGACCCATCTATACCCTCATAGTAAAGACATAACATCTACAGGGAGATATGGTAACAAGTGGTTTACAGCAACAAGCCGAAATAGACTTGTGCAATGAGGTTTTACAATCAAGGAGAGGGGGTGTTTATCTAGTAATAAATACAACATTTTACAGGTAAGGGCCTGGTTAGGATCAATGGAGAAATTAACTTTGATTTAATGAATGTGCATTCAGGTGAGCTGGTTTGTGAAGGTGTCTGGACACATATCTATAGTATCAAAATGGTGAAGACAGGTGAGACATTAAAGGTGACATCAAAATAAAGGGGGGAGGGGAGAGGAGAGAGAGACTGACAGCTCTTAACTCCTAATTGCACACAAGCAGGGGCACAATTTAGCTATTAAATAAACCACTGATAGGTCTAATGGACAACCAAACTATGCCATCATCTTCCTTAGAGGCCCCTGCTAATAGCAATAAACTTATCCTAGTTAAAAGCCACCCAATGACCCTTTGATCTCTCCGATTTGACCCCTGTCCAGGCTCGGACCAATACTGATCTATCGTCACAGTGGGCTCTCCTCACTGCAAGATCAGCTGATATCTATGGTTTACAATTTTTTNCCTTGCATTTACCTGGGATAATCCTGAACTTAAAACTTTAAAAAATTAATTCAATCCTTTATCTCACTCTTTCTCCAAAATAACATTTTCAAGTAATTTTTCTAATTGCTGGACTTTTTTTTTCACTTCTTTTAATCTCCTCTCTGTATATGGTTCTTCATTTCCAAATAGTAACTTTATATCATTCTAAAGAAATGTACAACACAGACAGAGGCTGGCTTCATTTTAAACATTTAAAACTCAATATTTGGACAAGAAGGATGTGCAGCCTGCCACACAAAAGGACGTGGCTTGCCCATTCAGTGCAGAGAATACATTACACCCTATAAGACTACTGTATCTGCCAGGCATGAAAATTAGGTGAAAAACAGCGTTTACGTATTCATGTCACATCTTCAGCTTCCATGTGTCAAATCAGCTCCACAGGGAGACGGATGATACCAACAACAATGCCAATGTACATGACTATATATAGACTATATCTTGTGAAGTCTTTTTTAAAGTTAAAGGTCATATAAAGACATGTCCTCATGGAAATGTCACTTGAACTGAAGCAGTTTCCCCAAAACGTTCCATTTAGATAATCATGTTAAATATGTAAATGAGATTTAAATATATCCAAATCAATTTTGGTTTGGTTGCAGTAAAATATATACCTGGTTCTCACTGATACCATGCCCATCTGTCTGATTATAAGACAAAACAGTTTTTGTTTTAATTAAAAAATGCCGAAGGCCTTGCAGTATCAACACAAACTACCACAAGACATTTGTGAAACGACCAATAAAACCAGGGATACATCACAAATAAAATGCTCCATCTTTATATCATTTGCAACCTTTATTTGTATTCTTTATAGCAGTGTGTGCATCACAGGTATCAGAGGACCACCAGATATTTATGACCCATCTATACCCTCATAGTAAAGACATAACATCTACAGGGAGATATGGTAACAAGTGGTTTACAGCAACAAGCCGAAATAGACTTGTGCAATGAGGTTTTACAATCAAGGAGAGGGGGTGTTTATCTAGTAATAAATACAACATTTTACAGGTAAGGGCCTGGTTAGGATCAATGGAGAAATTAACTTTGATTTAATGAATGTGCATTCAGGTGAGCTGGTTTGTGAAGGTGTCTGGACACATATCTATAGTATCAAAATGGTGAAGACAGGTGAGACATTAAAGGTGACATCAAAATAAAGGGGGGAGGGGAGAGGAGAGAGAGACTGACAGCTCTTAACTCCTAATTGCACACAAGCAGGGGCACAATTTAGCTATTAAATAAACCACTGATAGGTCTAATGGACAACCAAACTATGCCATCATCTTCCTTAGAGGCCCCTGCTAATAGCAATAAACTTATCCTAGTTAAAAGCCACCCAATGACCCTTTGATCTCTCCGATTTGACCCCTGTCCAGGCTCGGACCAATACTGATCTATCGTCACAGTGGGCTCTCCTCACTGCAAGATCAGCTGATATCTATGGTTTACAATTTTTTCAGTTTAGGTGGAGTCCATTATGGGAGAGATGTATAATGTCATTGCTGTTTAAGAATATTATCACGGCATGTGTTGATAGTTATCTTTGTATTTGTATAGAAAAGTAAGTAGCAACATCATGCCAAGTGCAGATGGGGGAAAAAACTTGAATAGTTCTTTATTTACATTGCTTCGGTAAAACAAAGAGAGGACAAGTTTCAAACTCGAGAACTGTTTTCAATTGGAAAGTAATACTAGTTAAGTGTTAGGGTTACTAAGGTTCAAACATTCTTGACAAGTTCCAATTAAAGCAGCCCCAGGACTGTTCTCTTTGCAGGAATTGGAAGAAATTGACATACAAAAAGAACTTATACTCTATGCTGCTATAAAACCATACGTGTTTCAGAGAAGATTTTTGAACCAAGATTATAACCAATTGACCTTCTTTCAAGATTCAATGCCAGTTTTGGAAAACTTGCAAAAAATGCACTTAGATTACATATTTGAGGTCTTTATCAACAGCCAGAAGAATCAAACTTACGATCCAATCCATTATTTTTGCCTTACGCCATTAAGAACTTATGGGAATAATAATGGCCACTAGCAGAGCAAACTAATCAAAATTAACAACGTAGAACAAGTAGAAAGGGTGGAGATCAGCAAACAACTGGACTCCCATTCATCATTCTCAAAGTTCAGATATGGCAATGCAATGTCAGCTCACTGATGAGAAGCTGAATTTAGTTTTTTGCAGAGTACAGATGTCTAAGTATGAAGAATGTGTAGTAAATTTGTAATATTTAAATAGATGCCAATGGAAGATGATCTACCAGATTAGACAAGAGAATAAAGCACAATCAGTAGCCATATCTGCCCCTAATCATCTCCCCTCCCTCCAACTACAGGTGCCCTTTTGAAACTTGACCTCACTTGACCTATATAAGTGATGTAACGATGAGAGAATGAGACTAGCTGACCACAAAGAATACCATACTGAATCACCTGCAGTCCTATGCACTTGTTATTGTAAGCAAGCCCTTAAAGAATGCAAAGTATTCAGATTTGAAAAATGATAAAAATACACGTCATGTATTTGACTGAGCTTGAATGACAGTCTGGATTGCCGTCCACAAAGTACTACTGTCTCTTATACAGGAAAAGGCCGTCCCTGTTCAGACTCTCACCCTAGGCAGTGGTAAAACCACAATCCATTTTAATGCATGAAAACTTGAACCATCAAATTCTTCTGCATTGACCTCCTAATTCAAATCCCAAGGGACTTCAGAGGTTTAGTAAATGTTTCTTCTAAACAAAAGAGGTGAGGTAACAAGGAAAAAAAAGTATTTTCATCTGTGCCTTGGGCAATGACGCAACTACTACTACAACAACACTAAAACATATCCCATTTTAAAGCAATCTAAGCACATGTATTTAGTATTTATACAATAATCAGACCTTCTCAGTGTGTGTTCAACATTCAAAGCTACTGTGTGCAGAAAGTTGGTTATTTGTCATGAATCACTCCATGGTGGCAGGAATATTTAATCACCTATGACTATGACTCAATAGAATGTAACCTCAAACACTATCTATTATATATAGTTACAGGCCCAGCCTCTCAGTTATGCAGTATATTTAGCTTGGTATATACTGCTGAAATTGTTAGGTGAACACATGTGCACCTGAAATTCTGCTGATTGCAAATATAGCATTATATTCATGTCTACATTCTATTTTCTTAAGAAAACCCAGATCTCTAAACAAAAAGGACTTGATTTCTGTATTAAAAAAAACTTGTGTGGTGAATGGGTGGGTGGGGGGAGTCTAGGGGAGGAGAGGGGGAAAGCAATGGTGCCAAAAAACTTTCTGGGAGAAAGCACGTCCAGGCTACAGTGACCTTTATTTGACCACTGTTTGAAATGGGATTATCCATAGGTAAATAGAAGACAGAGTGTTTATAGCTGCTCAGGAGGAATAAATCCCCACAACAGGAAACAAGCTGATGGAAGCTAACCTTCTGGCTATTTAGCATGAGTGAACAAACATTTCCTGGAATTCTTTCAGAATGACCCCTGCTGGTCAGACTTAGCATAATTTCCCTGCAGAGCCTCCCTTGGAGAGAGAGATCTGCAGGAGGGGGCATACCATAAGCAGCTAGTATGTGTGCCACCCGCTGAGAGGTTACAGCACGAGGTATCTAGTCTGAACCTATGTCTGAAGATAGTTATATCATTATATGACCAGTTTTCAATTCAGATATCTTACCTGCATCATGATGGATCCCGTTTTAGATGATAAGTCTGATATCATTTATGAATTTTTTGTAACCCAAATTCTCTTTAATAAAAGATGATTAGAGGAAGGAGGATGTGGGCCAACCTGCTTAACTGATGACAAGTGAAAATGAATACAAAAGTAAAAGATTATCTTTAAACTGTAGGTTGTTTGTTCTAATGAAAAATGTCTTTTCAAATGGAACAATCAAGTCCTTGTAGGCTGATAGGTGCACTTAAGATAAACACAAAAGTAAAACAAATTGTTTAATATCTGTACTTTACTAATATAATCACCAAACAATAACCAAAAACCCACCCCCTGATAAATTATGTGGAAACATTTTACAATGGCGATTACAAATGCCAGGAGGACACAAGGACAATTCTTAGTTATCAACCATTCCAATCTAAATTTGGATACTTGGATATTTCAAACTACCACCAGGTTCTGGTAACTAAGGGATTGAAAAAGATCTAGTTTCTAAAACAACAGCAGTAAGTGTAACTGAGAAGAGAGTGGCTTAGTGTTGAATTTGTAACAAAAGACTGATTAGTGGCAGGAAAATTCAAGACTGTTTTAATGAGAAAATAGTTGGCAGGGTCGCCACAGAGGGGACTGCACTTGTCATCATAATGTCTGAAATATGCCACATATTTTACAGATGATAGGACAAGAAGGGGCATTTGTAATGCTATGTGACACTCTTTGTGACAAGCTATTCAAACAGCACTGTTCTTTCTCCTGGTCACACTATCCTAGTGTGTGAAGTGGACACTTTAAAAGGTTTTAAGAAATATTGCCACCTATCTTCTAATGTTATACAAATTCCATGTGTATCACTGCTTGTCTGCAGGAATCCATTAGCCAAACTTACATCACACATTACATCTACCTTAACACGATTGCCTGCAATGCAAACCTATTGCTGCAGCCTGTGAGGTGAACAACTTAGAAATAACAAAGAAACAACACATCTTCTAATTTTCATAAACCACCAGTGACCTGTGTCTGCAACCCTCTCTCTTACCTCACTGACTATCGCAAAGAAAAAATGTATCTTCTAATAAAGTTGCATAAACCTCCCCCCCCCTTCAAAAAAAAAAAAAAAAAAAAACTACCTGGCTTATGAAGCAAAAACATAAGATCAGGGTCATGTGTTAGTAAAGTTTTATGGATGAACAAACCATGCTCCAGTCCATATACTATCACTGTGGCCCAGATGGGCACTGTGTAATGGATCATTTCCTGAGGGTTAATGTGCTTTTAGATGCCCAACACTTATGCATACTGATTACAACTAACATGAGGCACTTCTTTAATCACCCATGAAAAGTTATCATTACAAAGCTTGTTTTGGTAGAAACAACCTCTCTCTTCTGGTATAAATATCAAACACAGCAGAGAAGGTACAGAATAAAAATTACCCATCCCAACATTAAAAATCCCATAAATAACACAGATTATCTGATACATCGATGTGATATCCCACTTCTCTGTCTGTGAAATAAATCATAGTGACTTCCATGCAAATACTACATCTAAGAACAAGATGGCATGCCATCTGTCTCTTCAAAAATAGACCCCGTGTCATATCACAGTGCAGTATTGCAAATGGCCATAATGCTTAACCTGCATAGGGTGTTAAATTTTATCTTGCTCTCTCTCCCTCTCAGTTTCTCCAGCATGGCAACGTAATCTTACTGAGCAGGTAAAATCGTCTGATAAATAGGGGTTGATTAAAGTGAATAGGTAAGACTGGGTTAAAGGTAACCGCACCCTGTGTCTCCCCACCCTGCAGGCCCTTGTGATATATGCCTGCCAGGTAATAAGACCTGTCCATCCTCTACATGGGGCAATTAGTGATTAAGCACATTAGCAAACAGTTAAATCACTAGTTGCATAATGTCCATCAGGTACACAGGGTGTCCTTACACCTAACAGGTGGACTGATCTTGTACAGGTAAATAGTACACCTTAGTGTACCAGTTTCCATACTAATATATGTAGAAGACTGCCTTGAACTCAGTTTGCACATATGTTAACTATGTGTGCCAACTGATAACTAAGTAAGTAACTGTTTGTACATGTTTCAAATGCAAAGAAATAAACCTCCACACTGTGATATACATATTAAATGACAGAAAAAACTTGTTGTGTAACTAGAAACAAGATCAGAAATATTTTTATACCAGTAGTCTCATTCTCACAGTTAACATGCTAAGTCAGAATTGTACATGAAGCAAAGGCAATCAAGGATGGGCTGTATAAACCACCACATTGCATGTAGATCAAGATCTTGACCACAGCTGACATGCAAGGATGGTGAACTGGACATTCCTTATTCCTTAAAACTGACCAGGGCTCAACTGACCTAGTTTACAGCATTGAAATATGCAGCCTGACTGTCACAGGTTGACCAGAAAAAAAGGATATAAAACAGTCCCTCTTTTTGAAATGGGACTGGCCAAACTAACTGTATCCTGATAAAACCGATAAGCTACTTTATCAGTGACTGTGATACTGATACATATCAGTTTATAAATAAATGCGTGACAACAAAAGATAGGCACATCTCACTCCTCCAATAAATAGAATAATATAAATTATCAAATTCAGATACCAAACTTTAAGTCATTCTATTAAAATAACCTATAGACAAAAAAAAAAAAAAAGCTTCCAACAAGTTCAACAAGATACACGCCCCTAGACATACCAACTCGTTGAGGCCCACAATTAAAAGGTAATTTTCATTCTGTCCATATCATATATTAATATTCTGAATGAGAAGTGGCAAAAGTTATTCTTTCCTGTATTCAATTGTGTTGATGCATAACTTCAACAAGAGGGTATGGGTCAGTGTATTGATTCTGAGCACATTGCTGTAATGCCAGTAAACGTAAACCTGATACAGTCTCCCCACAATCAATATATACAGCTCACTACAGAGGATAGGCACTTGGAAATTCTTTTGATCCTATTCAAACCCTTTGGTTGGGCAAAAATAAAAGTGAAAAAACACAGAGCAAGTAGTGTCACTCTCATTTACACAATTTTTTTATTCCTTCATGCATTTTTGTTTTACTACCCCAAGAAAAGAACTAAGCTATAGTTCTCAGAGTTATTGATTATAATAGTGTTTTTTTATTATCTGTTAAAGAGTTATTCTTCTAATATTCAAGATCTTTACCTTGGAGCATGCTGCGATATGCTGTGTCAGCAATAGCATACACGTGTGGTGGAACTTCATGCCTCTTTTTGCCTTTGTACAGCTCAATTACTTTCTCAGAGTAGATTGGGAGCTTTTTGTAGGGGTTCACAACAACACAAAACAATCCAGAATATGTCTGAAATTATAAATATAGGCTTTGGAAGTGATGCATGATAAATAAGTTAATAGTATATAATAAATTTATATTAAAATGTCTGTATCATAAGAACTCTCACATGATAATACATTTTGAAATGATTCAGATTGTATTAAGTGCTTCTTGTTTAATCTAATTAGATTTTTATAATATGATTTTAATTCACAGGAGCCTAGAAGACAACTCTAGTAGTGCTTCATGTGTATTAGATATGGTAAGTACAAACAACTGGTGAGTCACCAGTGTCAAAGCCAAACTTCCTGTATTGCATTCCGTGCCACATGAGCTGGCTATGACTAGGTTGGTGATAAGACAATAAGTGAGTTATCCATATTTACACAACAAATATGAAAGGGAATTTACATTTCACTGAGACTATTTTGGCCAATTTCTTAAACTTTGCAACTGGCACATGCTTCGCTCAAAACATACATAACCTACAAAACTTGAAAAAAGCATGAGATAAAAGTCCATCTATTTGTTAATTACCCTTGCAATATACCGATATCTGACCTAATCACTTTCGGTTGTTACTTTACCAAGCAAATATAGATTAATGGGACGTTTATCTGTAAGATTCTTCGATTTTAGCAGAGCCTCAGAGGTCAAGGTTTTTTGTTCTGACACCAAATACAAACAGAGGTACTCACATATATAAGACCGG